TTTTTATAGTTGCCTAAATAGGCATATTAATTATGTTCTGTCATTGTTCTGTATGTCAAATCAGTTTTCCGTTTCCGGCTTCCTCCTTCCTCTTCAGTTGTGTTTTGCAATTGAACGGAGATGTGTGTTTCGCTGTGTTTCTGGATGTTTGGCTGTGTTAGCTCTCTCTTCATTTTACAATCGTGATGTATTTTGAATTTTTTGAACTTTGTTTGTGTTTGATTTTTAAGATCTTTATTAAAGGTAAGGTTTAAGTTAAAGGTCTTTGATTTATCTAACAATTGTATTTAATAATCCAAGAAAGTGAGGTGAGGTAACCTAACCAAGTCCAAATGTTCCTGAATTTTATTTTTTAACAATGTAATATTTACAACGCCATATATTTTTACAAAAAAAAGTGATCAACTCCATATTTTTGTACATAAACTCCACAATGTGATATTACACAATTGTTCAAGTCCATATGTAAAAAATACACGTAAATAAAACATTATTGTTTCTAATGGACGTCACTTTCTCTTGTATTCCAACGATATTTGTTATGTGTTCTTAAATCTGGTACTATAATAAATATTATACTTTTTAATCTGTTGTTTTATTTGTTTGTAAAATGTTTCATGGTATAATTTTCTGTAAATTAAATTAAATTATTTATTGTAGATTTTTATGCACATAAAATGATATAAGCCAACCATCTAACACTTTACAATAGTTTAACCTGGTTTAACCTTTATATATAAATCCTTGTTTTTTACCATTTGACTTGTTTGCCAACTTGGGACCAATCAGATGACTACACATTATTTTGTAGAAATCTGATTGGCTCTAACTGGCGAACAAGTCAATACGTCTTGTTTAAAAATAAATTGCATCTATTTAAATTTGCCGCCACATTTGTTACTTTCCTGGGTGGCTAAATGGCGCCACTTCAACATACAGATTACAGATTTCTTTACAAATTTGAAACCGTTTTGAAACTAAAAAATGCATGGGAGTTACGTTCTTCTTTAGTGTGTTCTGTGCTTATGAACCGTTATAGCTAGACAGTTGAAATTTTCACAGATAATGTATCTATGTTGCCACTATAAGAACAAATACTAAAAACAGAATGAAATAAATGTTTATAAATAGAAAAGTACTTTCACTAATGTAGTGTAACAACCCAAATTCGTCAACAAAGTTGAAGAGGTAATATTTTGACCAACTGTATAACAAGAAATTTAAATGAAAGAAAGGAACCTACGTTGTGTTAAATATATTTTTATTGTGATTACCTCGGATGCGCCTCGACAGAAGCAATATTTTGGGAAATTTGAGGAGAATAGGTTATGTAAATTACGCTAAATTTGCAAATAACCCTACTTATTTTATTAAATGAAATGAAAGGAGTGCCGTACTCTGCCTGGAATTCACATGTAAAAGAGCACGGCAGAGAAAACCACGATCACTATTCCAGAGAATCTAACTATGCTGTCCTGAACTTTAATAAAAGAGAAATAATAATATAGAAACTGTTCTCATACCTAGGTTTATAGTTTAATACATTCAAAACATTCCACATTTATATCCTTCAAAACTGAAGAGGTTTTTGTTAGTTTAACGGGTCCCCACCCGTAGGTACGAAGTCCCTTGTTGCGGAATCGGCGCTAAAGTTGAAGGTTTGGTGCCAATATCTTATAATTTAATAAGTTAAAAGTTATTCTATGAATTATTTTATTTATTGTTTTTGTTTAGCCTTTTGCGAGCTAAGATATTCGCCCATGCAAGGTCGAAAATTGTTAGTACACTCAACAAGGCTCTTATTCTCACAAACGACAAACATCGGCACGAAGGAACAGTAAACGATTTCATTTAGATTACTTTTAAACTGAAATTATTTACAGCATAAATAGATTCCATTAAATGCATACACATGTTATATATTGTCTTTGTCAGATCAAATGAATAAGGAAAAGCTTTAGAACAGAATTACAACAAGAAAACAAAATAATATGATTTAGTTAACATTAGTTAAATAATGAGAAAACATTTAATACTTTACCTTTAATAACATTCTTTATCACAAAACTCAAGAACCAAAATAATATCAAAGCGTCTCGAATGGTAGTCTAGAAGCTATTATCTAACAACTATCACCTCTGTTCGTCGCCTGATTTCCCTCTCCCTAGTTTGTGAATAGTGTTTAAAAAATCAATAATTTTGTTTATGTATACTGAGTGTCTTAAAAATTAATGTTTTGAATTTAAATAAATATGTCTATTTTTAAATAGGCGGTTCATCTCACTAAACATTATCTTTTCAGTAAGAATTTTGCATAGAATCTTTCAAGTCCGCGGTGGCCGCGTGATAAACATTAGGACTTGACGCTGCTATGACGTTGGAGCCGTAGTAAGGCAGGTTCGAACCCTAGTCACGGCGACTTTTTTTTAATCTTTTTTTTTAATTTTTACATATTTTTATATATTTATTTTTACTTTTTACATATTTATTATTGATTAATACAATTTTTAGTAATGTGTTTCTTCATTTTTTTTAAATTACTTATACGCGCATTCAAAATTTCAGCTAATAATCGGAAAAAAAGTTTATAATAATATAGTGTCTAATGTTGTATAGATAATGAATGGTACGGAACCCTTCGTGCGCGTGTCCGACTCGCACTTGACCATTTTTTTATTTTTATTTTTCTTATTTGTCAATACTTTTTTAGCAAAATTGATCTTTTGAGATTTTGTACACTGAACGCTTTTCAGGAAAAATAAATAAAGCCCGCATAGATATTCAGCGATTCGTGTTTTCTATATACCGTATGATCGAAAAAGAAAAGGGCGTCAGCGATGGCTACAAAATCAAGATCGTTGCCATTATGGGGAATGTCATTGATATTCATTTCCAAGTCAACTGGACGCCGTTTTTTTTCAATCATACGGTACCAATATTATATCAAAATTAAAGAAAATAAATAAAGTAGTTTTCGACATATAACGAAAAATCAACTCTATTAATATAAACATTTTTTTCTTAAAAACGTATAAAGTGTCACACCCTGAATTGTTTTCTACTACATAATATAATAAAAAATCAAATACACTGTAATATATCTAAAAGTAACTTTTATTACCTACTAATAAATCTATGAAAAGTCTAAGGAGCCTAAAAAATACCTATAAATTACTTAAAAATCATAATATCTCGATATTATGGCAACATTACGTAGTAGATTAAATTTACGAAAAAGAACACCCAGAAAAAAATCCAGTGGTGCTCAGAATATGAGCATAACATCATTTTATTGTTAAACTAGCGTGTACCAGCGACTTCGTTCGCGTAGAATTGTTCATTTGTAATGGTAATGATAAAGCAAAGCAAGAATTTCCATTAACATACAAACTGGATAAAATTTGTCAGCACGAGAAAAAAAAATATGGCGATATTATTATATAACTTGGTAATATTTGAGGGGTAGTTTCATCTCGTTGGAATTTGACTTTAGAAAAATCCGTTTGCCAAAAATAAGCCTTTTACGTCAAGCAGTTTAAGCAAAATCGTGGTTAAGAAATTACCCAACTTTTTGGAACACCCTGTATGATTTTTTAAAAATTTTCACAATATGTAAAAAAGCAAATAAATTATGCTTGTCCAAGCGTTTTCCCGAAAGACTAACCGTTTTTTAAATAACAAATATTGTAATATTTGAGGTTTTTTATTACTTTTTTGGTTATTTGGGGCGTTTTCACCCTCTTGGAATTTGAGATTCGAGAAACCCCTCCTTATCGAACCTCTACACCCTACAGTCAATCCGTTTGCCAAAAATCAGTTTCAAACGTCAAGCAGTTTAAGCAGAATCGTGATTACTCAATGGTCATATTTTATGAAACACCCTGTATAAATTTATAAAAAATCTTAAAATATGTAAAACAACATAATAAAATATACGTGTTTAAGAGTTTTTCCGAAAAACTCACCGGTTTTTAAATAAAAATATTTTAATATTTGAGGGATAGTTTCACCCCCTTAGAATTCGAGTTTCGAAAAATCCCTTCTTATCGAACCTCTACACCCTAAAGTCAATCCGTTTTCCAAAAATCAGCTTTTTACGTCAAGCGCTTTAAGCAGGATCGTGATTAATCAATGGCCAGATTTTTCGAAACACCCTGTATACATTTTTAAAAAATCTTAAAATATGTAAAAAAACAAAATAAAATATACATGTTTAAGCGTTTTTCCGAAAAACTCACCGGTTTTTAAATAAAAAATATTTTAATATTTGAGGGATAGTTTCACCCCCTTAGAATTCGAGTTTCGAAAAATCCCTTCTTATCGAACCTCTACACCCAAAAGTCAATCCGTTTTCCAAAAATCAGCTTTTTACGTCAAACGCTTTAAGCAGGATCGTGATTAATCAATGACCAGATTTTTCAAAACACCCTGTATACATTTTTAAAAAATCTTAAAATAAGTAAAAAAACAAAATAAAATATATGTGTTTAAGCGTTTTTTCGGAAACTTGACCGTTTTTTAAATAAAAAATATTGTAATATTTGAGGGGTGGTTTCGCCCTCTTGGAACAGGAATTTCGAAAAATCTCTTATCGAACCTCTACACCCTAGAATCAACCTGTATGCCAAAATTGAGCTTTTTACGTTGAGTGGTTTGAGCAGGATCGTGATTAATCAGTATGTCAGTCACTTAAGGATTTTATCAAAAAACTGATTGACAAATGAGTTTCATATGTAATATTGAACTGAGATCTACTAGATCGCAGCTTAATCACTACCAACATGTCTGCTAGGCTATGCCTAGGATCTCAAGAAAAATCTTAATATACAGCGATGGCTATATGAAATGAAGATCGCAGTCATTATAAATGCAAAATTATATGGGGAATGTCATCGATTGTCGTTTCCAAGCCAACTGGACGCCATTTTGTTTCGATCATACTGTATTTTTATGTGTTTTTATACATTTGTTATTTTATTATTTTGATGACTTTTTTTCAGGTATATTATCCTAAGTTGTGGAGTGTTTATGGACGAGATAGATTCGAAAATGTTAGCTCTCCTTACTCAGCAACAACTAGAACTCCTCAGAACAGACCTGTGCAAAAAAAGAGGCTCTCTGGTACTATTTTTATATATTTTTTACATTCTGTTAATCCATGAACGTTTTAGGTAGTGCATGGTATCGCAGGTACTGGCAAAACACTCTTGATCCTTAAGAAACTGCAATTATTACATGAAAACAACGAACTGAATGATGCAAATAGAGCTCTCTATATCTGTTATTGGCCAGGAATAAGGTATGAACTATTACACATAATCCTGTATACCAGACTAGGTAATGTATAAATAATTTTAACTTTTGGAATTTTCCCGTATATTCATCTATACCGACCTGGTCATTTGATTACTGTGTATAGGATTTTAACGTGTAAGACAGAGAATAACATAAATGACCGGTTGACAGACAGAGAGACAGCATCAAAAGGGACCGGCGAGGGGCCGGTGCGACCGATACAGTGTTGCCGGTATTTACGGGTGTGGGCAAGGTAACGCATAAGCATGGTGGGAGAACGCATTGAGAGGGGCGGTGCTTTATGTTAAGGTTCGTATTCACTATCCGAAAGAACAAAGGAATGAAATTCGGTATATTTGGACAGCAAACTGAATGCATGCGGCCGTTCGCCATTCGGTTCGCTCCATCATCCGTTTCCAGTCGGTATATCAGAGACGTTCGCAAACGAATGAGAATTATAGAACCGCGCGAACAAGACTGGACGTTCGCTCGTTGGATAGTGATAGTAGCATTCGTTCGTTCGGATAGTGAATACGCACCTTTATGTAGATGAAAGGGTGGGGAAAGGAAATAGATCACCTGAGATCAAACTATTTTTGCATCATTCTTTTCGCCTAGCTGTTTCGGTATGTACGTTAAGTGTTTCAAAAATGGCTATTTATACGACCGAAGAGAAGGTGCATATCGTTAAATGGTTTTACATTTCGTCTAGTGTGGAAGAGGTCATTGGGCGTTTTGTGTTCACCTTTCAAGATCGCCCTGTGCCTTGTGCCACAACTGTACGCAACATTGTCCATAAATTTGAGCAAACAGGCTGCATTGCGGCGTGCAGAAATTGTGACAATAAGGAAAGCGCAGAGAAGGTGATTCCCGACAAGGAAATTAATATTTGTGCCGCGGTCGAAACAAGCGAACCTTGTTCAAGCCGAAATATAGCCGAGCAAATTGGTTGCAATGCTCGAATGGTGCGCAGAGTTTTAAAAAGGCATGGATATAAGTCCTACAAAATCAGTACCACGCAAGAAATTTTTCCCGCAGATTGTAACAGACGTCTGGAGTTTTGCGAGGCTGTAAGAGAAAGAGCCGATCGGAATAATTTATTTTTGGAAAATATATTATTCTCAGATGAAAGCTCGTTTCCCTTAGATGGCTACCACAATCCTTCGACAGTACGTTATTGGTATCGAGAAAATAAGCACCTTAGTATGGCACTGCTGACACAATATCCACAAAAAGTAAATGTTTGGGCTGGCATGCTGCAAATTCATATCATTGGGTCTTTTTTTATTGATGGTATGTTAACAGCTGCCAAATATTTGGATATGCTACAAGACCAAATTGTACCAGCAGTTCGAAATTTGCCAATCAATTTTGAGGAAGTGTGGTATATGGTTTGCCAGGAATTGGCGGTGTTGCCAAGAATGGAAAATATACCCAGATTCAAAGGACTTTCCGAAAAAATCGGCGTCCAGTTAGCTTGGAAATACGATTGATGATATTTCTCATATTTATAATTTTACATACAAAATAACACCGATTTCCAAGCCATATCTCTTATACTTTTTTTTCGATCTTAACTATAGTAGGTACTTGTGATAATATATTTTTTTTATTTATTCAATAACGTTTCGTCCGTATCTATATAAAACTACTGAGTGAAAAAATATACATTTCTGTGATTTTTTACGAAAAAAATGTTTCTTTGTAAAAATCGCTACGAGTAACCGTTCTCAAGATATTTAGAATGGTATTAGTCAATACATGTCATTATTGACAAAAAATACTCATGTTGAGTAGATGTGACTGAAATGATAAAATTGGGAACTTTTTATTTCTTTAAATTAATCATAATCATAAATGTTTCTTTTCTGTTGAACATTTGGCTCAAAAACATTTCAAATTTATGCTTTCAGTCTAACAACTATTTACTCAACATGTTTAATTTATGTCAATGATGACAGGTATTGATAATTTAGATTCCAAATATCTCAAGAACCATTACTCGTAGCGATTTTTACCACGAGACCTTTTTGCGTCAAAAAACGTTGTAAATGTTTGTGTTAAAAACGTTGAAAATATTTTTTTACTCAGTAGTTTTATACAGGTACGGACGAGAAGTTATTACTTTTCAGAACAATTAAGTTTTAAGTCATATTGATATCAAAATCAAACTTATGTCATAAAACCCCAGACACCAATTTTCATCCAAATATTAACATTCAGAAATTATTTAGAAACAATCGAAATAAAAATGAAACTTCTGTATCTTAGGACAAACACCTATAAGAACTTTTTTACTTATTTTTATCTGCAGACAGGGGTGGATGGGCCATATGGGAAAACGGGAAAATTCCCGGTGGGCCGGTGGGAAAATGGGCCGGCAAAAATTAAATGGTTAATCTTCTAACTCAAGTGACGTAAGATTCTTAATGACTCCATAACTAACTAATCAATTTGCATCAGTATAATCGTCAGTTGCTTTTAATCATAAACACCAATTTGTAAAATAACTATTGTAAGATTGTAACTTATAATTTTAATAAACATCTGTTGTTTGTCGGTTTGAACATTTTTATTCAATAAGTGCAAATATTTTCAGGGCTGGTAGATCTCAATAAAAGAAACATAATATATTCTCTTTACCGAGTTTCAAATAAGTCTAATCGAGTTATTAAAGTTTAGAAATAAAAAAAATAGATTTATTTTTAAAAAAAATTGAGCCACCTCAATTTTTCGGTATTTGCATCTCTATTAGTGCCGTAATGTCAGAGATTAAGAAACTATACCTTGGGAAATTTGCGGTGAACAGAAACTTCTAAAAAGTTTTCTAAAATATACACGAAAATTTAAAAGAAAATGCTCGATTTTAAACATCTTTTTTGCAAAAAAACCTAGACGTGTTCCTGGGGTCGAAATATACGACCCCTGAAAATATTTGCACTTATTTAAGACTCACCCTGTATAGTTTTGCTACTATTCTTTTATTAATAACTAATAAATATGACTGACTGAGAACTAAAAGCCAAGTCTAAAATGTCGTTTAAAATGTTGCTAAAATGAATTTACTAAAAATTACTGAGACAGCAGAGAACAGTTAAATAAGGTTTAAACTAGATTAGATAATAAAATATTAATTATTTATTAGATAATAAAATATTAATGATTCTTATTACGGACTGTAACACACAGATCAGAACACATTTATATCCACTGCCTAGGTATTGCCTAGGTTTTTTTTCGTTTGAGTCATGGCATTATCATACAAGATGTCAAATGTAGAAAAGTAAGAGGAAAAGTTTTGTGATAAGAATGAAAAGAACTATATAATAACTTAAAAAATACAGCAGTTTTAATGGCGACCGCGGTTCATTCAGTTAAAAACACGTATACACGACGAGGCTGCTGCTGTACCAGAAAAGAGGAAATTTCTTTCTACAGTTTGTAAGAAAGTATATACCTGAAAAGCTAAAAATAATGTATTTCACAGAGGATTGGGTCAGCTGAACTGAATGAATTAGGAAGTTTTAAAGTTTCTCAAAACCGTGACTCAAAATCGTAGCCTATTCAAGATCAAATTACAGTTATCGATAATGGAAATAAAGCAGTAGAACCCTATAAAACTGAGCCATTTTGTCACAGCTTACAGAATAACATAGCTTTGACACTCGCCAATTTTTCCCACGCTCGAATTTAAAACGCCCCACTCCGACGATGCGCTAACTGAATTAAGCGACCGACAGTCAGCCTCATTCAGTCGATTCATAGCCTCCACCGGTGGCGCGTAGGGCCGTATTACGGAATATTTTAATTCGATTTTTTTTCTTATATTTAACCATAGGTATTTGTGCTTTTATTTCAATTTTATTTTTATTGATGGAATGGGAAAAGGTTTTCCGGGATGTGCGGCTGCTGGTTGCACAAATAATTATGGAAATAATTCAAAATATAGTCTGTTTAATTTTCAATTCAATTCAAAATTAATGTTCAATTCAAAAGTATATTCACACTTTAGAGCTTTTCAAAACGATGAAGACTACTTATTTGGAGGCTTGCTAATGCCAAGTGACAATTTTTTTATTTAGTTTCCTCATTGGAGGCTATTTTTATAAGTTTTTATTTAACTTGCTTTGTATGTAACTATCTATGTATGTATGTATGTTTGTTCGGGGCAAATCTTGTAAGCTAAATTAAAACCACTTCCTTTTATTGTAGGAGATTGAAATTTGGCATGTAGGTTCAGTCCCGATGACAATACATTTTTTGCATGGCATGACCCGAATTTTGACAGCTGTCAAAATGGCGGCATTTTGAGGTTTTTGATTTTAAAATTCTATTTATGAATGGTTCGGCCTGAAATTATATATATATATATAAAATTCTATTTATATATGGATCGGGCTAAATATATATATATATATATATATATATATATATATATATATATATATATATATATATATATATATATATATATACAGGTTGTTAACTCGACAGTTACTTATAGGGAAACAGAATGGCAACACTGCCTATTGAGAACGTATGCATTATTGATTTTTCTGCCGACTCGTCCTGTCGCGTCGTCTATCGACGAGCGGGCCGAGGTTATTTCAACCATAAAACTCTTGCCGCGAGTAATGAACAATTTAACAACCTGTATAGGTATATTGTGGGTATATACATATGAAAAAAAAAATATATGGGCGGCCATCTTGAAAAAAATGTCAGTTTAATGACATGTCAAAATTTCAAAGTCAACCGATTTTCATAAAAATTGATATATAGGATGGCCATGGGCTAAAATGAAAGAAAAAAAATTTGAGCTGTCAAATTTGACAGCTGTCAAAAAATTTCAAAGTTGTCCGATTTTGATAAAAATTGATATATAGGACGGCCATGGGCGAAAATGAAAAAAAAATGTTGAGCTGTCAAATTTGACAGTTATCAAAAAAATTTCAAAGTTGTCCGATTTTGATAAAAATCGATGATGGCCGTGGGCTAAAATGAAAAAAAAATGTTGAGCTGTCAAATTTGACAGTTGTCAAAAAAATTTCAAATTTGTCCGATTTTGATAAAAATCGATATATTGGATGCCCCCTACCCCATAGTCGGTTTTCATTTTATTTGTCTCACTTTTTTAATGAAAATCGATATACATATTATTAGGATACCCATAGAAAGTTATTTAAGAAAAAAAATGAGTTTAAGTGTGTGGCACTGAGAAACCAGCATAACTAAAAAGTAGAAAATAAATTTTATAAAAAAACCTTTTTTAAAAACAAGCTTTTATTTAAATACACTAAAAAGAATAAAATAAACTCTTTTTCTTTAAAACTTTTATTATGAACTTAGAACGTCATTACACAATTTTAATATTAGATATATAAAAGCTTGTCGCGAGATTTCTCTACATCGATAAACAAGTAAATTAACTAAAACCTGTGTCTACCCTGTCTCATTTTCAAAGTTTGTGTTATGATAGACCACTAGACCAGGAATTACAAGATAAAGTTGTCGTACCAGATTTTTATGAGTGCAACTGTACACTCAAATCTCGCGACAAGCTTTTATATAATATTAAAATTGTGTAATGACGTTATAAGTTCATAATAAAAGTTTTAAAAAGAAAAAGTTTATTTTATTCTTTTAGTGTATTTAAATAAAAACTTATTTTTAAAAAAAAGTTTTATAAAATTTTCAGAACTAATTTGAAGAACTTTCCTTAAATGAAAATATATTATGTAAATTCGTTAAATTATTTCAGACAATTAAATTCAACCATCAATCAAAATTTTCCTATAATGTATTTTTTGTTAAAATTATACGCAAAAGTTAGAATTTATTATACCTTAAAGAATATTAATAAGAACTTAAATGTAGCAAACAAAAAACCGAAAGCTCCTAATTTAGAAACATTCGTAAATAACTATAAGTAATCAATGTACCTATTTCATTTTGCTGTTATTTCTAGAAATAAATTAATTAATTTGTTTTTTAAATGTTTTTCTTTGAGAATGCATATTTATTTAAAGTCAACAATTTAAAAAACGTGTATCTAAATTATGTTCTAGCACCAGTCGAATAATTTTTTACGTCACGTGTAAATTTTTTTTGAATACATCTCTGGGCTGACTGGCGCTTACGCGGCCTTTGATTTTGGCGAGAGAGCTCGCCGCTCCAGTGTTCCCCCTCTTTCGAATCGCAAATCCGAGCGTAAAAAGATCAAAGCGGCACGCTACACTGTCCGAGCTGGTTTTTACTTAAGCTGTGATTTTGTAGTAAAAATTCAGATGTCCGACCCAATAATGATCTTTATGAAAATTTTGATTATGACCATGTATTTTTTTTAACCGGAGGCAAAAGAGCTTTTTCGCGCGAGCGAAAAATACCCTTACTTATACAGGGTATCCCAGAAATAAGTGCAATTATTTTAACTGGTAGTATATTTTACACGTCTATGACCTATTTTTTGCGAAAAATTTTTTTTGAAAATTTGCATTTTTTTAGTTTTTATTTAAAAAAACATAATTTCTTGATAATATGGCAACATAGGTAGTAGCTTAAATTTACATGAAAGAAAATCCAGAAAAGATCCAGTGATTTTCAAAATTTTAGCAAAAAATCATTTTTTCTGGAAATTTTCAAAGTAAAATAAAGGACTTAAGCTTAATTTTCATGCATCCGTTGTCCGACGATACGATGATACGATATTAATTTTATTGGTTGAATTTAAACACTTCGGTTGGTTAGAAACGGTTAACCAATCGAAGCCTTTAAATACAACCAATGAAATTAATGTCGCATCAACGTATCGTCGGACAACGGATGCATGAAAATCAAGCTTTACTTGAAAAACAGTAAAAGGAAAAAATGTTCCTTTTGACCAGATCTACCCTCCGTTAAAATACTTGCACTTATTTCTGGGACACCTTGTATAATAATAAATAAAATGTTTCTTCGTTATGGTCATTTTGCTTTTGTAGATTTGGGCCGGTTGCCTGTTTTTCCCGGGCCGGTTTCCACTTCCTAATTCACCCCTGTCTGCAGAATATGCTGCCGAAATTTCCGGAAGACAGTTCGGACCACACTTTATAACAAATAACTATTATTTATTCTCTTTTTAGATGTGATGTCATAAACAAACTAAAAACTATGGGAATAGATCGATACGTTGATACAACCAGGTTTTTCATCACTGCCGAAGATTTCCTAAAAAATAACAAGATTAAGTACAAACACATCTTTATGGACGAAGCTGAAGCCACTATTCTCAGTTTTAAAAAGGAAATTGTTGAAAACACGTTCTACAACATTTTCCGGGCTTATCACAACGGCAACTGTCCTTTGGAAACCTGCACTTTGGCTAGCTTGGAAGCTTTCGAGAAATATAACATCTCTACGCTTATTGAGTTACACCTAGACCAGAAAATCAATTGGGGACAGCTCTGGTTCATGGTGGATACGAACCAAGCTCTTATGTTCCTCCCGAAACACTCTCCAAAAATACTAAAAACCCCCCAAATAGTGTTGAACAAGGTTATAAGATCAACCAAAAGAATATGTAGGTTTTTTCGTTTTGCTAGTAACAACAGTTACTTAGAAGAAGACTTTCCGAGGTCTTCCAAAGACCCGCCTATTTTCTGGGCGAATAGAGGCACTAATGTAACCGAAACAGTTTCAGAAGTTTTAGTGGACTTATGTGCCACGAAAGGTGTCAAACCTCCAGACATTTGTGTCATACCCTTCCTGCAAAACGAAAAACTGTCCAAGGACGCGATCAATATGCAGATTTATCGGAAATTTGTTGAGAACGCGTTTAGACCAGTAGGTGTGTCAGATGTGGAGAGTTTTTTGAACAGGAGAGCTCCCAATGAGTTCTTAGTAGCATGGGCTCTCAGAGTGAAGGGTTTGGAGTTCAAGGTGGTTGTTATGGTGGTTGATGAGGATCAGTTTGATCAACAGGACGCGGATGACCGAAGGAAATTGTATGTGATAGCTTCTAGGAGCACATGTATGTTGGTTGTTATCGGAGACGAGAGCTTTAAGAATAGTTTAGAGTTGAAAGACTGTTTCCAGGATTATTGTTTCAATATAGAGTTTGAATATCAAAAAGCTCTTAGTGATACATAGGATGTCGTTTTTGGTTTTTCGAAAACTAATAATACAAAATTGAAAAGTTTTATGATAGTGATACTTCAGTGATCAGAAAATGCCAGACCAAGACTTACTGGTATTGGTCTTATTCTTTCTTTCAAGACTTCTTCACATAATATATGTTTGAAAATTCGTATTCCCCTGCTTCCATGGACCGCACGCCGCTGACAAAGGCCGTTATATTACAAATTTTCATTGAAATAAAAATTTAAAAAATATGAAACAAGACGTCATGGTAGCCATTTTGAAACACTGTTTGTCAGTTTCGTTTGACAGTTATTTCGTTAATGTAGTTTTTAGTGACTTTTTAGAATAAGTAAGATAAAAAAAGTGATCTCAACGATTTTATATAAAATTTAGAAACAAAACTAGGCACAAAATATTGTTGTTATACAGGGTAATATAGACCTTTTTAACATTAATCCTTAAAAATCAAATAGTACCTATATATACCTACTTGATAGATATATTTTTAACATTACATTAACTATGCTTTCTTCTAACAACATATTTTACACCAAAATGTAGATTACAGTTGTGGGTTGGAACCTTTGGTGTTACACAGCAAAATAAAACACTAAATCACCACAATACACCAAAACACTTTTACTTTTATACTGGACGCGCGTTTCGCTAACCATGTTAGCATCATCAGCAGATGATTATAAACTTATTCAGTCTATCATCTGTTGATGATATGCTAACATGGTTAGCGAAACGCGCGTCCAGTATAAAAGTAAAAGTGTTTTGGTGTATTGTGGTGATTTAGTGTTTTATTTTACCAAAATGTATGTAGCGTTAATAATTTGAATTAGTATTATTATTTGTATGATTCTTATCTCTAGCAATAGTAGAGTACATACATATATTTTATTATTTTATTTTATTTCTATTTTTTATGGATTTTTAAAGAAAAAGTAGGTATTAAAGGAGATAGTTAAATGTAATAAATAAGCTTTTAATAGATCAGCTTAATGTAAATATTTTGTATTTGATATTGTAGACAATATATATTTTTAAAATCTAATATTGTTTTATTTATAACAGTTAGTGCTATTATCAATTTCACTAAAGCACGTGCTTTTAAGTAGAACGCGATAAACAAAAATACACACCACGTACAGTCAGTTAATTTACAATAATACAATCGAAAAACCAATAGTTTTAAGCCACATCATTTAAATACATTCCAAAAAATCCGGCCTGTATACCAACATAGTAGGAATATTTAATGATAATTACATCTATCATTTTCAGCTATCTTTTGCTATATTCCTAGTTCCGAACATATCTTTCTCTCTCTATCGCACGGTACTAGATAAAGACAGAGATTGAACCAATAGTAAAACTAATTTGCGATAACTTTCCTTGTCCAAAAGTGACAACGCAGCTGAGTTTACAACAGATTTTGTAAATATAAACACAGACAATTAAATTCCCAAATTTGTGCAGAATGGAATAGTTTTAAGAAGAATATAACTACAATTACTTAATCATTTCCCCTTTTAAGTGCTACCCTTAGGTAATTATCAACAAAAACGAAATAATTGAGTCGTGCAATATTGTTTTAATGAATTTTATTTTTAGAACTTTGGCAAAATTTATTTAGCTCCTATTAAAAATGGGCGATGAAGGAACTGGAGATGGATTTAATCCTTGCGAATGTATTTGGAACCATGAATTTGCAATGCGAAGATTATTAAATGTGGTGAGTTATCCGTTTATGGTTGATAGATCAGATGATTTCTTTTTAATTATACATCCAACTGTTTAATTGTTGGTGTTATATCAAATATTACATGGGTGTTCAAGGTTGAAAGAGCTGATAGGCAAGTCGACAAATATTAAAAACGACAATTTTTTTAGTTGAGGAATTCCCAAGCTCTCTGTACTGACAATGAATGTTTCGAAACAGGTGAGGAAATCAAGTTAAATTTTTGATTTAAGAATATTAAATAACTTAACAATTATTTTTGGATAATTATACAGACTCTACCACTCAAGTAAGCCAAACCACATCAGAAAGTTTCTATTTAATGACATTTTTAATCGCTATCGGTATATTTCTCTACTATTTTCGGCCTAGAAGACAAATGAATCAAACACTGAATAAACCAAGACGACTAGTAAGTAGCCAATTTATAAATTATAAAAATTGTAAATAAATAAACTGATTTTCCACAGGATCTGGATGATTCTAATCCACCACCGCCAGTCGATTAGTCTTTGAGAAATTTTTAAATTTGCAAAATTAAATATATTTTATTCATTTATTCTAGTATCAAATGGTTTTTGGTCATTACTGTCACGAATAATGCTAAGCTTTTTTGTTTGATGTAAATTATAATCATAGAAACTATTTATCACAGGCAACTTTAGTCTGTGCTATTATGTATTAACATTCCTTTCTGCACAAGAATTAATATATATGCACAAAAGAGATTAATTATATTTAAACCAATCTACGAGTTGTTTCATTTCAAGACATACACGCTTTAAGAAGATAAGCCATATATTTGTAAAGAGGTGGTATGCATATTCTACTATATCTCTGCTATACTAAATATTACTGCTATCAAATAGGTGCTGTAAATTAACTATTTGATTTTTATTTTATATCTCCAGCATTAGAGAAACTAAATATTTCTCTATGATCTCCAGCAAGTTGCAGTTCTATAGTTAAATATAGGGAGGTAGGTAGGTAACAAAATAGTATTCCTACTTTTTAATTATGAAAAAAATATATCACAATGGCCTTTGAGATATATAATCAGATATAATAAAATTTCTCTCTCGTATCCACCCCTTGATGTCCTCTATTAAAGTTTGATAAGAACTGATACTTTATATAGACATAGCATATGTATAGACGACCAACGACGGTTTAACCGGTTAAAATTTATTATCGATTATAATTTAAAATTTAAAGGCCACTGTAACGCCTCTTTTTATCATTTAATTCATTTAAAAAAAATCTATACAAGTTTTTACATCTTCTACCGTATGATAAAAAAAACGGCGTTCAGTTGGCTGGGAAATGACGATCGATCATATTTTCCATTTAAATTTACATATAAAATGTTAGCTATCTTCATTTCATAGCCATCGCTGACGCCGTTTTTTTTTCGATCATGCGGTATAACCAGATATATAGAGATAATTTTACCTCTATATCTCTGCGTATAACCTATTGTTAGGCAACCAAATATACTAGTATTCCTACTTTGCATAAAGAAAATTCCTACTTGCACAAGGAAAGAAAGGCAATGATTATGATCGAAAAAAGATGTCATAGTGACCTTTGGAATAATAATTTCTGCAGGGTTCACCTGAATATAGCCTCTATTGATGGGTTACGTAAAAGTTTGATAAGGCCTAATATTTGATATAGAAAAAATGACATATGTATCGGTATCGGTTTTGACCAGATTTCTAACATTATTGATTGTAATTTCAAATTCTAAGGCTACTGTGACGACTTTTCTCATGTACTTGTTAATGAAAATTCTATGCAAACTGTGCATTTTTCCTAATTTACCAAACTAAAATTTAAAAAAATGGATTTTTAACTGATGGGAATGTTGAAAAATAAAACCCATTTTTTTATGAGGTATATTTTAAATTTTTCACATAAAAAGTAATTTTAAGGCATTTTATTGTACAGTATTGCTCAATTGATTTATATTTTCAGTATACAAATATTTACAATATTTTCAAAACTATACTTATAAAAAGGGAAATATCTTTTATTTAAAAAAATTGTACAGAATGTATATGATAAATAAAAAACTATGTAATTTCAGACAAAATTAACTCTTATTTATTTTTTTCAATGTATTTCGTACTTTCTGAATTAATCCAGACATTTGTTCGTATTTGCCCGTCGAATTTGGCAGGTTTTCAAAATCGATTACTTGACTGACACCTTTCGCAAAATTGTCAGGGTTAGGCAACCGGTTATACGGCGTGGTCGATTTTAAAATTGGCGTCCCGTATATTTTGCTGGTCACAGACTTTGTTGCTATTTCAAAATTTACAGGCGATATGCAATTAACTTTAGAGTCGTCTTCTTCCGTTTTTGAGTTTGATTCTTCTTCAATTTCTTTATTTATTTCTTCATTTTGACTGACTTCATCTTCAGTTTTAATCAGTTCTTTTTCAGGCATACTAGAAACAGTATTTTCCTCTGATGGTAAATCCCAAGAAGCCACTTCTGTAGATTTCTTTAATTCTTCCAACACCCTATTTTTTTCTTTCTCCAAATCTCTAAGAGATGGCGAAGGAACATTACCCGAATCAGAATCTCCCTAAATGTCATGTAATGTTAATAATTGATTAAAATAGATTTAAAATAATAAATACCTGCAAAATCATATTATCTATACTTTCTTGTCTGATTTCGGTATCATCTAATTCGTTTGTATTATCTATATCTATCTCCATGTCTTGAGCCAGGCAATCATCTTCTTCTTTCATGCATTGTTTCTCGAAAAATTCTAACATTTTGTCTTTGCTGTGGTTATTAGAAAAGGGCGGGACACGATAATATTCACATTCCTAAAAAAATGAAACAATAATAGGAAATAACCCAATTAGGAAAGCATATACAGGGTGATTCACCGCCATTGCACATTAGACCAGGGCCATGTAAGTGAAATATTCAAAATGGTTCCAGCAAAAATTTCCCAATTATGACGGGTGATGGCGCTGATCGTCAAGATTTTTGGACCGGGGTTTTGCTTACCGACAATACGACGTGAGCTACGACCGGACCAGGACCAATCAGAATGATCAGTCTTTCTTGGACATTTGCCGCGGAAGTGTGTGTTAATTTCTGTTGTGATAAGTGTGGTTGTGTTTGCAGTTTGATTTTTCCGTTTTGATATTTTTCTTTCGGTTTTCTTCCAAATTAATAATTTTTCAGATGAAATCCCTCAAATTCAACGCACAATATTTTATGTTCTATAAGATATAGTGTTTTAGTGTGGTTTTTGCACACGTGCAGAAAATCCAAAGAAATAGTATACAAACTGGATCAAAGGGAAACTTAAATCTAGTCCCTTTTTTTATCAAGGGTCGGATTCTAGTAAAAATTCAAAACATTTTTATATGACATACTCTATTTATGGTTGGTATGATACCTGTTTCGATGTTAAAAAATAAAAAAATCATATTTAAAGTTTTTCTACAACCACTTGCTTTTTTTTATTAAATTAGTTTTTTTAGTTGTATTGTAGTCCATGTACAAGGAGGACAACTGTATTTTAAATGTTATATTTAATTTAACGTTTTTCAAACAGGGTCCATTAGACTATATTTTTACTAGGTACATTATTTTTAAAAAAAATTAAGAGTAAAAGTAACTTAAACATTCATAAAAATAGAAGTATTTACTGTTGTAGATTCTCAGTAACAATAAAAAAGAGGAATCTATATTGTAAACATTGAAATAACTGGAAGCTAAACTTTCTACCTGCTTATATTTAGAGCCAGTGTCTGACGACCTTTTTTACGATGGCCCCAATATGTTTACTTCTAAAGTCCATAAGAGCCATCAGTAGAAGTCCATATCAGTAGAAAAAAGAAACAGATTATCTCCCTTTTTGTCGGTCGCGCTTACACAATGCTTTTTGTTCAGCCTATTTGTTCTGCTTGTCCGTGCGCGCTCGGTTCGTTCGGGCTAAAATGCTCAAGTCTGGACGCACCTTTAGGAACAATCCTGTTTTTGTCCTTTATTGATATAATGGTGAAAATCTCACATCTCACTCTACACATATTAAATTACATAGACGTAGGATGTAGAATATTCTGTTATGAAACGACTGATGGAATAGCAGGCATCGCGGATTTGAAAAGCATAGAAATAACGACGTTATCGTGTAGTCAGGGTTGGAAATTTTACTTACTCCATTTACCACAACAGTATTTATTAACGAAAAATCAATCCAAGAATATTTTAAATGCATTATTTAATATTAGAACATTAATTTAATAAGCTCATAAACAGCAACTTCGCTTTTTAGTTAACTCGAATATTTTAACATTTCTGAAACAATATTTTCTAATTGGTAAAACGTAAAAAATCGTTAGATCTGACAACTCTGTTGAAACTGGTCGTTCATCTGGCCGCAGCTATTAACGCAATACATCCGGCCAGCTGACGGCCAGGTCGTTGCAACCTGGTCGTCAGTGAGTTCAAGCTCTTAGTCATTCAGTTTGTTTACTAGATGCAACAACGTGCTTAAGATTATAAGAAAAAGGAAAAAGTGTGCTCTAAGTTTAAAACGAATTTGTATTTATTAGAAATTAAATTTGGTAGTAGCACAGATAACACATAATCCAGATGGCTCCTTACGTGTTAAAAATTGTCACCCCAATTTCACTCCAATTTGGGAAAATATTGGAGTGACATTTGAATAATCTGAAATTTTTAGATTCCTTTTCTAACTTTTTTGGGAGGTTTTGCTTCTCTTGCACAGATGTCGCTTGCACTTCAGTTGCTTTTGTCCTCGGTAGGTTCATGTTTTTTACATTTTTACCATCGAGATCAAACATACTCAAATCAGAATGCGACGTTTTGGCATCCTCTAACCAACCGGGGGGATATCCTAAAATTCTCATTTGATACACGTAACTTGGAATTTGATTTTTCTTCAGACCGAGAGCTTTTCTTAAATCATCAGATATTTGTCCTGGTTGCAAATGACCATACCTTTGATCACTTCCTAAATGGTATCTTCTAAAATATCAATTAAAAAATAATAACTTGAAATATTAATGCCATATAGTATTACTTACACAGATTTATTTTTATTTTGAAACATTTGACGATTGGCAGCTATTTTCTGATGATTTCTTGGTTCTGTGCATTCTATGAGAGAATGTTGCTGTCCGCAATTAAAACACATTGAGTTAGCTTTTGGTATAGGGCTAGCTCTGCTTTCTTCATCGTTTGGTTTATCATCAATAACAAACTTTGCAGAATATTTCAATCTGTCTTTATGCAGTGTAATTTCTGGAGTTGTATCGACAACAAACAAATCTTTTTGTTTCTTTTTCTTTTTTCTCTTCTTATTTGTTTCATTTTGATCATTTAATTTTACTTGATTTTGAACACTTAATAATTCTAGGAGGTCTTCCTTTTTATCTGATGAACCCAATGTATTATCTAACACAACCCAATCCTTAGGATCTAAACTTACATCTTTATTAACATTGATAGTTAAGTCGTCTTTAGAAGTTATTTCAAGCTCAATAAATGATTCGATAAATTTGCAAAACCTTTCTCTATAGATATCTGCTGTTGACTTATCAACAAATTTAATTGTTATAAGTGGTACACATGCCGATTCACATACTTCACCCTCCTCTAAAATGGTTTCGTTTAAATTTGTTTCAGTGCTATTTACTATAATGTCCTCTTTTTGCTTCGAATTCTGTTCTTCTTTGGTGCCATCTAAACTATCGTTACACTTGGTTTTGTTTAAATTTTCGTCGTCTTGAGAGTCGTTCAGTACAATAACATCATCACAATTCTTTCCTACATCTAAAGAATCGTCCAAAATTATAATTTCATTAGAAATATTTTGTTCCTTAGGAGATAAACACAGGGTTTTGAGGTTAGATTCGTCATTGTTTTGACGGGAATCTGCCACGTCGGAGTCTCGAGACTTCAGGACTTTACTTTCGGGTTCATCATCAAGGGACTCTTCGGGTTCGGGAGATAAATCTCTTTCAGAAACTTCGAAAATATTATCAGAACCTCTTGTTTTTCGTTTTCGGGGATGTCGTCGAGGCGACGCCATTTTCTTTTTGATACTTTTGATTTTTGACAGATCGGAATTGGCGCAACGCGCAAAAATATTCAAATTACAAATTGTTTAAAAGATTTTAAAATTAAAGTTTTGTGGAAAAAATGATGGGTTTTTTAGACATATTCAGCACCGTTACTTCATTGTTGTGTTTTTTTGACGTTCTGTCATTTTACACGTTGAATGTTCTTACTAGTTTATTGATTATACAAAATACTATGCCTTTTCTGAAAGAAAGAAATATTTTAACCAGGTCGCGAGTTTTGGAGGATATGACAAAAAAGAACGGGTTTAGACGGACGATTTATAATACCGTTGGAGATAGATACATTGGAGAATGGAAAGACGATAAAAAGAGCGGTAACTGACCTTATATATCCATTAATCCACGATAAAAAGATAATAATATTTAGGAAAGGGAATAATATTGACCAGAAACGACGATTTATACGAGGGCGATATGGAAAGAAATTTTCGACATGGGTTCGGAGTTCTAAGCAAAAAAATACCGAACACAGAAGTTTATCAGCTGTGTTACAGGGGCGATTGGAAGAATGGAAAAATGCACGGTACGGGACTGAGAATTTATCCAGATAATAGTTTTTATTTGGGCCAATTTTGTAATGGTAAAAGACACTGGCACGGTCAACAGTGGTTCCCAGATGGGGCATTTTTCGATGGCTATTTCGAAAATGACAAACGGAATGGCGTAGGTACGATTTTTTTTTATTTTCTAGGGTTTTTGAGTTCATAGGGTGTTTCCATATTTCGTGGACATAGAACTACTACGAATTTTTGGAGTGAAAATACCTAAGTCCATTGGACATAATTTACCTCTATTCAAAAGTGCTTCGTTTGTCCGTTAGAAGGCATCAAACTTTAAACAAATAAACCCTGGGTATTTTTTTTACTTTATTCAATAGAAAATGACACTCTGAGTAGAATGGCATATCATATATCAACTTTTGACATGTCTGCTTTAAAAAAAATAATCGTATTTTAAATTTCAGTACCATAGCTGTGCTAAAAACACTAATTTTTAATCAAGAAGCCTTGGAAAAATAATTTTCATCGTCTTAATGATTTTCGTGTCTTGTCCTGGCCGGTTAAAAGATGCCCAATCCGTATTTTTAATAATATCTCAATTTTTTCAAACGGTACGAAGATGGCTCATTAGCATATTGTAAAAATCATTTTTTACGAATAATTTGGTACCACACACTTGGTATTTCGAGTCAAGTTGTCGTTATGAACTGTACGTTAAAATTTCACATAAACCAAATGTCAAAAGTTGACATATGGAATGTCATTTCTATTCAGAGTGTCATTTTCTATCGAATAAAGTAGAAATATACCGAGGGTGCCATTTAAAATTCCTTAAAAAAAGTTGTAGTCATTTCCGGCGGTGAATCAAGAAGTGGCCAAAAACAATTGAATACGTCAATCAATCCTATATGTCATATTCGCACCCAGTATTTCTACGTAATATTGTGACAAATGGTGATTTTTTATTAAGTATATACCGTATGATCGAATAAAAACGGCGTCCAGTTGGCTTGGAAATGACGATCGATGACATTTCCCGTATACATTTACATATAAAATGACAGCGATCTTCATTTCATAGCCATCGCTGACGCCGTTTTTATTCGATCATACGGTATACTTTCTATTTGTAGGTGTTTTTGTTCAAGCTAACGGTAATCGATACGAGGGTGAGTGGAGGGATGATTTGAAACACGGAAACGGGTTGTTCTTCCATTTGGATAATGGACAATTGCAAGATGGTGTATGGGTCGACGATTGGTGTGTTCACAGTGTTTTGAGAGATATAAACTATAGACAGTGTTCAATAGCACCTACTATATATCCCGTACCGCAGGTAAGGTTGTATATATACAATATTTGTCCAACGTGAAGATCCCTGACGACAGAGACCGCAATATCTGTCACTTTAATTCACAGGCAAATGTATTTTCTGTTCATTTTTTGAATGTCGCGTGTCGAAATAATCTTCTCTGGCTCTTTGGACAGAGCCGATAAAACATAATATTCTGAATAATTCTATATAAGTTAAAAAATACGTATCTTAATAATACAGTTTTTTATTTATAATTTGTAAAACAACAGCTTTTTATCACTAATTCCGTAAAAACATAATGCTAGATTGGTGTCATTTCATTCTCGCCCCTATGGTAACTGCGTATAGGGCTGAGATTAAACAAGCAAATAGTGCGAAAATTTCAAGACTCTGTGTATTGTTAGTTGCATACCTACCTATTGAAAAAAATAGTTTTGTCTTTAGAGGGTAATTTAAATGATTTTTTCATATTGATTTTTTAAAGTAAATTACAAATAATTTTCCGAAATCTATTCTAAATTTAGTTATTTATCATTTCCATCTCAAAAAATTTGTTTTCTTTCCAGATTGCCCTGAAACATGTTGAAGGACTTTGTATGTTGACAAGGGAACGTATTTTACTCGGCTATAAAGAAACATGTGACCCTTACGAGCTTTTAATCTATCAATCGATATACGATTCTGACAAGCTGTTCGAGATAAGCTTAGACAAGGAAAGATACGAGTTAAGAGCCAGCACGTACAGCTAAACGGAAAATAGCAATAATAAGAGACACAATTGCAAAGCTAAAAACGATTTATACAATTAGAATTTTAAAAACAATTTACAAATAAATAAAAAATATATATGTATATATAAAAAATATTTTTATTTCTCAAATTCCTGCACGATATCCTTAATATAGTTGAAATCATACACGATATCTCCGTTAATAGTGAAGATAGGAGGATGCGGTTTGCACATACCTGTTACCCCACTTTTTTATCAAACGGAAAATACTGTAAACAAAATTTTTGTAGCCCTCTTGATTTCCGAGCTACGCAAGGTCTTTTTGAAAATTTTGCTATTTGGGAGACTTCCTGTATATCTGTTATTGTGAAAGATGTGGAGAAGACGAAAACTGTTTTTTGTAGAACTTTTTACGTAGAATTCATCAGTGGCTTAGTCTGATTTTCTACGAAAAAAAATATTTTTGAAGAATTTTTTTTGAATTTTCAAAAAAATCCTTTATGGGTATTTCGCCACTAAACGGACGCTGCTTATCTGAAAATAAAATAATAAAATAATAAAAAAATACCCAAAAATACCCATAAAGGATTTTTTTGGGAAGATGAATCCGCCACATAGGTATTAGGGCATTCAATCCCGGGATCCCGGACATTTTTTCAATCCCGAAATCCCGGGATTGTCTTTTCTTTAATCCCGGGATTTTCGGGATTCATCATTACATTTTTTCCTTAATTTAAATCGTACACAAGTCTTTCATGATAGTACAATATGCGCTTATAAACAACCCTGAATGTTTGATCAAGTTTGAAGATGATGAAGATCTAGTTTGAGTGATAATACTCTTGATCGGCTTGTTTTTTTTAAGAAATTTTTTCAAAACCAAAAAAAACATCTTTGTTACTGCATAAGTTGTTATTTTAGTAATCCTGTGTTATGCTGTATTCGATTGGTTATGTAAATTAAATAAAAAATGTATATTTTAGTTCCTTTTATGTTTTTTTTGTTAAATAAACTTATATGTTATGTTGTTTTGTAATGGGGATGACGTTTAATTTATGTTAATGTTTTTTTTGTTCAATAAAATTTTGTAAAGAAAGAAAATATAATATAATTCCAACGTAATTAATTTTTTCGTGAATCCCGGGATCGAAAAATTATAATCCCGAAATCCCGGGATTGAAAATTTCTTTCGGGATTGAATGCTCTAATAGGTATACTAAGGGCTGGCAAAGGTTCGTCTTGGGTCGAGATTTCCGTATGTAAGAAGAGTACAATGTGTTTATAACGTACTGAACAAAGAGAGGACAGTAAACACGTTTCCAAACGTATGAAATAAACCGAGAAATTGTGCATATCGCTAAGAGACGTGGAAGGGGATATAGCAGATTTGTCGCAGTTGACCGGTCGACCCAATCAATACCTCTGTCAGTACTTAAAGTTCTAGGGAAAGGTGTGCGTCATGCGTTCAGCTTCACGATTTAATTACGTCTCGTGATACTTAATTTGTTTATTTATTAACGAGTCGTTGTAATTTTCCCTATAGCTAGAATTTTTTTAAGTGCAAGCTAGAAATACTTCCATTTTTGGTAGAAATAAGTGGAATTGAGTGGGTGTTCGATAGTGGTCGCGCTATTAGAACTCTGAATTCAAAAATCGATATCTCGGAATCTATTAGAAATAATAGATTGTAGTTTTTTCAAGAACTTTGTTAATATTTCTGCTGTATTTTCTTTGTAGACAGTATGTGAAAATCTTTGTCAATAAAAAAATTACTCGATTGCTGAAAATTGATATGCTCTAAAAGTAAATGGATGGATTGTTTACAATTTTTGAATGGAAAAAACAACCTTATCGAATTTTTCTTATGTAAACATATTGTAAAATATCCAATCTTGAAAATAAAAAAAGTTTCAATATCTAAAGTGGTTCTTGAATTATGGCCTGTTATGTGTTAAAAAGTTGAGTTATTAAATTATCGCGATTACTGACGTTTTCTCGTTATAAAAAAATGAACCTTAACGATATCCTTATAATTCCATTTCAGATGCTCAGAAACATGTCTAATGATTTTATCTAGTTATCTCTTGAAAAAAAGTCTTTTAAAAATAAGCGGTTTGCGATCGTGATTTTACTTTACTTGATAGGGAAAGGCGTATCGGCAACGCCGCAACAGCACACCGTCGCGCGTCGCGTCGGTCGGTCGCATTTCTCTCACTCCGACTTAATAAGATCCCTATGCGATTTACTTCCACACATGTAAATGTCGACCTGTGATGTCGACCCAAAAGTAACAGTTGCCAGCACGGTAGACATTTTTTATAAATAAGTTATGTTTTCTTAAACGAAACACCCTGTATATTTATATATCATATATGATCTGGCTTGTTATGAGCTTCTCAAAAATATATGTAACACAACACTCTATATTTATTTTCACTATTTACAGCATTATTTAAAGATATCATGTTTTTATTAAAAAAAATCAAAATGTATTTATTAACATATTCATATACATATTAAAATTTTGAGACTAAAATATTATGCTTTTAAATTTTTTTTTACTGAATCTACTGTTGGAATCAAAATAAGTTCATTTACCACAGAATTTACCTCTATACAAAAGTGCCTCGTTTGTCCGCTAGGGTCGAGGTCGTCACACTTAAAAAAACCACATTTTTTGAGATATTTGAAGAATCGTTATTCCCATTTGAATATGATTTTGGGTGTCTAGATGGTGTCTAGGTTTTGCTAATTGCTTTAACATTTGACTTTTCCCAAAAATCAAAAAAAGTACGGGAAGGGTAACCCCACCACTACATAAATTTTAGTATAAATATTTTTCAACTCCACCGACTACAGATTTTCTTTTCGTATAACGATCCCTCTAGTAGTTCCTACATTTTTTGTCTCTTGTAAAAAAAACGCCACATCGCATATAGTTTTCGAGAAAACATTTTTTGGAGAATTTATTTTTCCAAAACAGACCTACAAAATATACAATGAGTTCTAATTTCTAATATTCCGTGGACATAGAACAACTACAATTTTTGATTAAAAATAAATTAATTGCACATATTTTATCTTTATACAAAAATGTTTCGTTTGTCCGTTAAAGAGAACCAACCGAACGTTATATTTAAAATTTATTAATTTTTTAAGCTTTTTATGAAGCTTATTGTCATTTTACTCTCAAAATTTCATTCTAGGTACTAAACAAAGCAGAATCGGGTCTATGTTGATATGAAAAATATAAAAATAAATCTTATTTTTACGTGAGGAATTTCTCCACGAGAGATGGCACGTTTTTTGAAACACCCTGTATACCGAGTGCGTCTCAAAAGTGGCTCACCCCCTATAACTTTTTTATTTTTTCAGATAAAAAAACGATATTTGGTATGTTAGTATATGACATAAATTAGGATTGATTGACATATTCATTTGTTTTCTGTCATTTCCTGTTCCGCCGGAAATGACTACAACTTTTGATTTTTAAATGGCACCCCCGTATTTTTTTACTTCGTTCGATAGAAAATGACATTCTGAATAGAATGACATATCATATGTCAACTTTTGACATTTTTGTTTAAAACAAAATTGAATTTTAAATTTCAATCTAGAGTGCCATGGCTGTGTTAAAAACACTAATTTTTAATCAAAGAGCCTTGGAAAAATAGATTTGATCGTCTAATGTTATTCGTGTCTTGTCCTGGCTGGTTAAAAGATGCCCAAATCGTATTTTTAATCATATCTTAATTATTTCAAATGGAACGAGGGTGGCTCATTAGCATATTTAGAAAAAGCTCAAAATGTCATTTCGTGAGACCACAGACTTGGTATTTCGAGTCAAATTATCGTTATGAACCGCATGTTATAATTTCAAATAAACCTAATGCGAAAATGTCAAAGTTATATATGATATGTCATTCTATTCAGAGTATCATTTTCTATTGAATAAAACAACAAAAAACCGAGTGTACCATTTAAAAATCAAAAGTTGTAGTAATTTCCGACGAAACAGGAAGTGACACAAAACAATTGAATAGATACGTCAATCAATCCTAATTTATGTCATATATTAACATACCAAATCTCAATTTTGTATCTGAAAAAATAAAAAGTTATAGGGGTGAGCCACTTTTGAGACGAACCCGGTATTTATAATTTCCATCTCAAAACATGTTTTTTTTTCAGATTTTCATGAAAGATGCGGAAACAATTTGTACATTAACAAGGGAACGTATTTTACTCGGATTGAAAGAAACTTGTGAACCGTTGGAGACTTCCATGTCATCTTTCATGTATCACATTGTAAACGATTCTGACAAGGTGTACGATCTTGGAGGCGTCAGCTTGTACAGCTAAATCAAAAACCAGAATAAAAGGCACAAAATTACAAAGCTAAAAACGATTTATTCAACTCGAATTTTAAAAACAATCTCCAAATAAATAAAAAATATATATGTATATATAAAAAATATTTTCATTTTTCGAATATCTACGCGATAGTCTTTAAAGGTGCCTTCATACCGGTGCTGCATATAGTGTTCATGTAGTGCAAATCATTTTTTAACATATACTGTTGTGCGCTCTAAAAAATACACTTTTCAAAAGTACATGTTAAAAAAGTGTTTTGCGCGGCGCGGCGCAGCCGGTATGTACGCACCTTAATACATTATTTATTTTCTATGTACACAGATAACCCTTTCAACGAAGCAAAAAAATTAAGATTATTAACCGATTTATAGTTAAGATAATTACATAATGGTAAAAATAATCTACTCAAAATATATACAGGGTGGAGCAAGAGTTATTCAGTCTCCACCAATGAGGTTATAAGGGGTATATAACCTCATTGGTCTCCACTAATATTTCAAATAACCTCTTAATGTTTAATTAAGATATCTGTAATTTTTTTCAATATAGTTATGATATTTTCCTTTTTATGACATGTCTGCCCAACAAATATGCACATAAAATTTATAATGAATTAAATATTATACTGGGTGCGCCTGAAAAGTTGCTCAACCCTATAACTTTTTTAGTTTTTTAGATAAAAAACGAATTTTGGTATGTCAGTATATAACATAAATTAGGATTGATTGACGTATATTTAATTGTTTTTGACCACTTCCTGTTTCACCGAAAATTACTACAACTTTTGATTTTTAAATGACACCCTCTGTATTTTTTTATTTTATTCTATAGAAAATGACACTCTGAATAGAATGACATATCATATATCAACTTTTGACATTCCCGAATATGGTTTATTTGAAATTGTAACAAGCGGTTCATAACGACCATTTGAGTCGAAATACCAAGTGTGTGGTACCAAATTATTCGTAAAATAATGCTTTTTCCAAATATGTTAATGAACCACCCTTGTTTTTATTGATATAATATACAGGTTTTGACCACATACATTCATAAAAACGAACCAGTGTGCGGCGAGACGATAACTGGCCAGGACAAGACATGAAAAATATTAAACGATCAAATCTGTTTTTTCCAAAGCTCCTTGATTAAAAAATAGTGTTTTTAACACAGCCATGGCACTCTAGATTGAAATTTAAAATACGATCTTTTAAGCGAAAACGTCAAAAGTTGACATATGATATGTCATTCTATTCAGAGTGTCATTTTCTATCAAATAAAGTGAAAATATACCGAGGGTGCCGTTTAAAAATCAAAAGTTGTCATCATTTCCGGTGAAACAGGAAGTGACCCAAAACAATTGAATACGTCAATCAATCCTCATTTATGTCATATACTAACATACCAAGTCTCGTGTTTTTATCTAAAAAAGGAAAAAAGTTATAGAGATAACCCACTTTTGAGACGCACCCAATATATTCATTCAATTAATTTTAAAATTTCTTATTTAAGAATTTCAAAATTATTCCTGTAAACACACGCTTATTGTCTAGTTTAAGTAGTCCAAGTTAAGTTGGTTTATATAATATTTCATATTTAATATTAATAATACCAAATAAAAGATTTCATATTAATAATACCAAATTGACTAAAAATATTTATGCTGAACATTACAAAGTTTAAATCATTTCTGAAATTTAAAAAATATTTATATTTGTAATAATGGCACACTTAATACAGAACCATCTAAATAAGTACTAAAAAAACTTAATATTAACATATCTATTTCAATTGTAAATAAAATTCTGAAGTCAATTCAGTAAAATTATGAGATTCCTAAAAGTTACTTTTAAAACTTTATAATAAAATATTCCTTATATTGTCACTATGAACTAAACAGTTTCAATACATTAGTTCACTGTATCTTGGGCAAACTTCATTACGAAAAATATCTATTTACACAGCCATATATATGTCTTAAAATTTTCAATTTCTATCATACTACTTGTATATTATTTTGCATCGAGTCCCCAGAGAAGAGTTTATTGCCTGTCACATCACCAATCTGATCGTTCATTTTTTTCAATTCTTTCATACTAATTTCGTATTTGTGGGCCACCAAAGATCGGTAGAAATGCACCGCAAATGCCAAAAACACAAATAAAATAGGCACTAGAACCACACAAGCTGACCAAGCAGCTATCTCGTTTACATTGTAAAATTTAAGCCAGCAAATTATTGCGATCTCTGCTAGGAATAGTAATAAACCTAGCAAAGTTGAAAAGGCCCAAGCAATTTCAATATACCAATGTAATCGCTCATGCGGAGATTCATCTACAAAATTTATCGAGTCCAAACTGCATACTGTTTCGATGTTCGGAAGTATACAGGTGCTGATCATTAAGGCTAACATGTGCACTGCCACTAACAAAGTAGTTATCACTGCGAAAACCACCAGGATCGGTGATGGAATGGATTTTTCGTCGTTGAGCTGGAGCTCGACCATGGCAACCATGGCAAAGCCAGAAAGAAGAGCTGATGTTTTGCTAGAAGCCTTCAATTTTGCTTTGGATAGGTGCATTTTCCTCCAGGAAAGGTAGCGAGGGGTATGGAACATTTCCTCGTTCATTGACATTTTCTTATGCTAAAAATTAATAAATATATTAGGTTTGGAGGCATTTTTGCAAAATTTAAATTTTCTCTATTTGATGTTTATTAGTGATGTATTTACTTTGTAGAAAAAGGATTTGATAAAGATCTAATACAGATGGAAACGTTAACAATGATAATGTGTTTGACTTAAAAAAATATTTTATTACACCGTCCATAAACCCAAGAAACCATCTTCAAAAAAAATATATATAGGTATCTATTGTCTGAAGAATGGTATAATCCAAAAAGAAATATATTTTTATATTGATAAATTAAAACTTTAGTTACAGAGATAAATAATGATTTAAAGAAAGACATTGTTTTAAAATCACAATTTTAGTAGATTTTGAGAAATACTTAGTTCATTAATTGTTACAGTTACATTTTTAATTTATTATAATTGTTTTTACATTTTTAGTTTTATAAATGTTTTGGGATTGTGAAAATTTACAGTATTTTGATTTAAGTTATATGCAGATGTTATTAAAAAAATTGTATGTCTAATTTTTATTTTTTAGTCTAATATTTACATAGCAGTGCCTATAAACGTGCATTTTGTGACTGTTTTTTTATTTAACACATAATGTTTAATTTTTAGACTTTCTATGGGTTAAATATGAGACACATTTTCTGCATACTGACGTTTTTAGGGGTAATTTTGGTATATTTATATGCTTTTGCAACAGTTTCCTTACCACCAAATGCCTTTTATAGAAGAAATTCTTTTGTATTTAAGTGGTTGTAATTAAGAAAAAATACTAAAGCTTTGAAAAATGTCTAATTGTCTAATTTTTGCACCACTTGGGCATACTATACTTATGCACATACTTATGCACTATTTTTTTTCTATCTGTCAATCAAAGAACGACTTTGAGAGACAAAATCATAATAAAAAAATCATTTGCATAATAATAATATAAAATTCTTACTTTATTGTAACCTCTGTTAAATAATTGAGTATTATTTGTAGTTGTATGGTCCTGATGAATAGATTTTCCCAAATCCAAACCAACTGCACTTGTGCTCCACACATACATTAGTTCACAGAATTCTACAAAAAAATAAATAAAAAACTTAGTCATGAAACCAGTTGCACTTCAGTTCCAACGTACATTATAGCACAGAATTCTACAAAAAAGAATAATAATTTATTATAAGATAATAATAAACTACTACTCATAATAAATTGACATGATATAAAGTGATTTCTTTTTTTGCCTGTGGTACAATAATAAAAAATATCAATACAGGCATTTTATCATGTTATTACTCAGTAAGAGCTACACAATAAAACAGGCATAAACACTGATTATCATGGTATAAATATTTAGATGGTTCTTATCGAAAGCTGGCCAAATGTTTACAGAAACTGCGAATTTTATAACACCAATTTAAAAAAAAAACTTACTGTGACATTAAATTTTCTATATTACGTTATAAATAAAAATACCTCATCGTTTTTCTGTTGTTATTGCACGCGTCGAACACAGTAAATATTAATTATAACATCATTACAATCAAAAACCACTTGCGAAAAAAAATCCGCGACACGCAAACAGAAATTGAGGTTATGCCAACTGTCAAAACTTTCTCAACAAGATTTCTTCTCCTTCTCTGGTATGTAACTTCCGTATAAATCCGACTCGCTTTAAATAAAATGTAAATAAACACGGTAGACACAATAAATTCATTTTTAAAAATAGTAAGAATGCGTTAATCACGGTGTACAAAAAATTATCTTACATAATAATCGTCTACGGGCAATTACGGTTTGTTTGTTTACTAAATTTTAAACGATGTGTGATTAGACAAGATAATTGAATGAACTTACTTGGTACTCCAGTGGAAGGTTGTCTAGGAGGTGGTTTCTTGGGTATGTGCCTGCTATTAATTTGATCTAATTCTATGATATGATCATTCGTTTCCTTTTCATTTTGAAAGGGTTGAGTTTTTATCCCTTTGCAATAATCTAGAATCAAAATTGAGACGAGTTTTAGTTATTAAATAGCAATATAAATTGACAACAATAAATCAGATGTGAGATTTCACGTTCTTGCCAAATCGAACGATCGGAGATGATGGCAAGCAAAAGCAAGTTTGCAGTCAAGGAGTGGGGTTGATATCTCCGTAAATTTGAATGAGGTAATAAAAATGTATAATTATTATGATAGTTCTCAATGTCTATTTATGAGCAATTCATCAGAGCTTTCTTTGGACAATCAATGATTTTTTAAGGAAATTTCATTTGAATTTCTTTTGTTTTAGCTTTCAAAATTCAAGCTTATTTAAATCTTAAATTTATTTATTTATGCATTAATATAGGTATAATTTAGCCGTTATTTTTTTGAAGGTAAATCAATACATTCGATTCATGTTATTGTGTTTTTAGAAGGCATAATAATTTATAATGTTCCGCTGCTGAATTAGTAAAATAATAAGGGGAACTATGGTTAAATTATTTAGCGTGGTTAATGTCTCGTTAATTTTTAATTTTATTTGTTTTGGTCATCGAATTTGGTAATTGTATTTAATTAAAAAAAAAAAATAGAAACCAGTGCTTCCCATTGAAGGTAAATAAATATCACACATTTTGTATATTATCAAAAAAAAAATAGGTACTACAAGGGTACTACGAAGACATGGAAGAATAAAGAATATAAAATTTAGTATTTTGCTAATAACAACTGGTACTGTATTTTGCTAATATGTACCTGGGTACTTACTTAAAATAGTGGTATTTTAGAATTTTGCTAATAATAACTAGGTAAAATAAAAACACTAAATCACCACAATACACCAAAACACTTTTACTTTTACACTGGACGCGCGTTTCGCTAACCATGTTAGCATCATCAGCAGATGATTATAAACTAAAGTACAATCTACAAGATGAGCGTTTATATACTCGCTCAGTGGGCCCCGAGTGGGCGTGGCAAAATCTAGCCAACCGAGTCAGAGCCAACTGAGCGTAACAGTTAGATTTCCGCCACTAGAGTAGTAGGAACAAAAAAACTTGAAGGAATTGGACCGTTGACTCTGTTCATACTATCTTTACATTTATTAATTCTGATGCTTTCATATGCATCTAATTGCCTGTAATTTGAGACTTGTTTAATTAATTTTAAATTATTAAGATCTATACAATGTTCATTATCAACAATATGTTCGGCAACGCAAGATTTATCCGGTCTACCATATCTTATCTGAGCTAAATGTTCTTTAAATCTAGTTAATATTGATCTTCTAGTTTGCCCAACATATTTCTGATTACAATCTTTACAAGAAATTTCATAAATACCCGACCTTTCCAGTGGAGGTGTTTTATCCTTTGTATTGCCTAATAATTGTTGTAATTTATTATTAGCACTATACACAAGTTTATAATTGACATTCTTAAAAATTACTTTTAGACCACAGGATAACTCTCTATCAAACGGTATCGAAAAATATTTAGACGTATCTTCCTCCACTTGAAAAGTCGAATTTTCAGGAAATCATTAAGCTATACCTACGTTTTCTAATTAATTTATCAACTAGTGAAGGAGAATATCCATTACACTCAGCTACATTCCTAATGTAATCTCTTTCTATTTCATTTCTTTCGTTGGAAAGTGGGAAACTAAGTAATCTATGAACTAAGAAATTTAAACTAGCCATTTTATGTTCAACACTATGATGTGATTCATTAGGAATATATCAGCGTGTGGTATTTTTCCTATAGATATCAAATTCCACGCAATTATTAGTATTTCTAATAACTAATACATCTAGAAATGGTAATCTGTCGTTGTTCTCAATTTCATGCGTAAATTTAATGGAAGGAAAACGATTATTTAACTTAGAAATAAAATTATCTATGGTGTCTCAATGTGTGTCAAAAACAACAAAAATATCATCCACATACCTAACCCATACTCTTGGAAAATACTTAAACTGATTCTTAGCTTCCACTTCAAACCTGCTCATGAATAAATTAGCCAAAAATGGAGACAATGGATTACCCATTGCTGTACCTTCCCGCTGTTCAAAAAAGTTGTTATTAAATTGAAAACAGTTTTGTTTCATACATAACGATGTAAGCTCAATATATTCAATCACAGTTTTGTTGTCGAGACCATTTGCGTTCAGTAATTCCTTCAAATAGCCTAAAGTATGTGGAATTGGAGCACTTGGGAACAACGAAGATACATCAAAGGAGACCAAAATTTCACCTTCATGCAATGTTATATCTTTAATTTTGTTAATGAATTCAATATTATTTCTAACTGAGAAAGAAGGTTCATGATCAGGTAAATTTTCAAACTCACTTGATAACCATTTTGCCAAATTATAAGTCGGAGAACCTACAGCCGAAACAATTGGGCGCATAGACTTGTCCGGTTTATGAATTTTTGGCAAAGCATACAATTTTGGTAATGAGGGATTGGATACTTGCAATTTCCTCTTTAAAGAAAGATCAATAAGGGTGTTACATTCTTTTAGAGTTTTTTTAACGTCTGCTACCATCTTCGGCAAGAGATTCTTTTTCAAATTTATGTAGGGGCCATTATCGATTAAGTTCGATAATTAGTTCGATAATTCGATAATAATTATCGATAAGTTCGATAATAAGTTCGATTCCAGTTTATAATCATCTGCTGATGATGCTAACATGGTTAGCGAAACGCGCGTCCAGTGTAAAAGTAAAAGTGTTTTGGTGTATTGTGGTGATTTAGTGTTTTTATTTTGCTGTGTAACACCAAAGGTTCCAACCCTCAACTGTAATAACTAGGTAATTAAAATATTCTTATAATCTTTAAAAATCTCTAAAAAGTATTTACTTATACAGGGTTGTTCACCACATACGACACGGAGTATTGTAGCTAAACGATTATAGTTTTACAAATTTCAAGTTTTGGGTTCGATGTAGGACTATTAGAGGTACAATTTAAAAATAATTTTACAAGATACAGAGTATCCCAAATAAGTAAAAAATATCAAAGTTGTATTTTTTTAAATGGAACACCCTGTATATTATTACATTTTTAGTTTCTACGATTAAAATAAAGGTAAATTTGATTGAGGTTTATTATACTTAAACTTACCGTTTTTTGAAATATTTTCAATTTTGTGAAATTGCAGTCAAAATTTTAAGGCTTCATTTCTCCAAGAGTACCAAAGTTTTTAATATTAAATATTTACTGAAGTTTATTTATTGGTCAGTTATTGTGTTGCAATAATAAAAATAATACTACCTCATACAGAGTGTCTAAAAATTTATTTTAAATAATTTCTAGCTTCAAACGGCAATAACTTCTTTAATTTAAACGGAATGCCCTGTATATTTTAGGAGAATCAGATGCACAATTAAATTGTCTATCAAATTGTATTATGCCATTTTTTATCTATCCCTTCAAGTTTTCGTAGAAAATGCATTTTCTTATAATTTAGACTTCATTTATCAATATATCCATGGAATATTGACATTTTAGATTGTTTTTAAAGCAGCAAATGTACAAAATGTACAGACTAGTAATATTATCGTTTTTAGCAAAACGATAATATTACTAGCCCATTTGTATGCAAAAAGAAAACTATTTAAATCTTTATCAAAGAGTATACCATTAATTAAATATAACACCATTATTTCCGCCCATATACTAATTAATTACATACTTAATTGTGTTCGTTAATAAATTATTATAAATAAATGTGGATTTGAGTCAGAAATCAATATAATAATAAGTTATCAAATTAAAGTCTCTGTTGTTATAAATAAGTATTTATGAAAAATGAAATTTCATTTTTAAGGTGTTACTTTTTATCACACTGTCTAATGCCCATACAAAATTCAGTTTTTTAGTATTTGGAGCAATTATTATTAATCAACGCAAACAGTCAGTTAATGTAGTTTGAATACTGGAATCATATATTAATTGGTCCTCTTTAACAAATATTTAAACAGTTTTTTTTTATTTTTTTAATGAAATAAACGAATTATATCGACAATATTAGTATCTGTACTCTTTAAAAATTTGGTACATCTTTAAAAACAATCTCAAATGTCAATATTCCATAGGTATATTGATAAATGAGGTCTAAATTATAAGAAAATGCATTTTCTACGAAAACTTGAAGGGATAGGTAAAAAATGGTATAATACAATTTGATAGACAATTTAATTATGCATCTGATTCTCCTAAAATATACAGGGCAGTCCATTTAAATTAAACAAGTTATTGCCGTTTGAAGCTAATAATTATTTAAAATAAATTTTTAGACACTCTGTATAAGGTAGTATTATTTTTATTATTGCAACACAATAACTGATCAATAAATAAACTTCAGTAAATATTTAGTATTAAAAACTTTGATACCCTTGGAGAAATGAAGCCTTAAAATTTTTACTGCAATTTCACAAAATTGAAAATATTTCAAAAACGGTAAGGTTTAAGTATCATAAACCTTAATCAAATTTACCTTTATTTTAATCGTAGAAACTAAAAATGTAATAATATACAGGGTGTTCCATTTAAAAAAAAATACAACTTTGATATTTTTTACTTATTTGGGACACTCTGTATCATGTAAAATTATTTTTAAATTGTACCTCTAATAGTCCTTCATCGAACCCAAAACTTACAATTTGTAAAGATCTCGTTGTTTAGCTACAATACTCCGTGTCGTATGTGGTGAACAACCCTGTAGAGGCTTTTATACATTTTGCAATATCTACATATGTATATAAAATGTTTATCTGTGTCATCTCTACTGAAGTAACGACTTGCTCTAGAAAGTTGCTTTTTTTTACTAAAGAATAGCTAATTGGCTCTTCTAAAAACTGTCATCGCCGGATTTTTTGTTTTTCATTTAATTAAAAAAATAAAAATAAAAAGTATTATTTTTTCCTGATGTCGCATGTCGTGGCGGATGCGCCAGGCTTCAACTAGTTTATTATATTTTATAATTGGAGGTAATTTTTAAAATATACTTAAGAATTTTCCTCAAAAATAGAGTATTTTGACTATATTATAATAATTCTTATAATAATACAATCAATTAAATAAAAGTTAGTTTATTTTATATTATTTTATATTTTTGTTGTTTTAAATTTACACTTTACATTATTTTTTTAAAACAACCCTCTTAGAAATGACACGGCTTTAGGTATACGTATTATTACAGTTGGGGATTGGAGCCTTTGGTGTTACAACAGAAAAATAAAACACTAAAACACCACAATACACCAAAACACTTTTACTTTTACACTAGACGCGCTTTTACACTGGACGATTAAAACTGGTTCCTGGTTCTAGTTTTAACCATCTGCTGATGATGCTAACATGGTTAGCGAAACGTGCGTCTAGTGTAAAAGTGGTTTGGTGTATTGTGGCGATTTAGTGTTTTATTTTGCATACGTATTATCCTATTATGATAAGAAAAATTATCTGAAAGGTCTAGTGATCTAAAATTAAATGAACAGTAGTAACGGTAGTCTTTTTATAACACATTTATCTTTAGACCAATCTTGTATAATCCTTTAATCTGTATACATATTAAAGGATTTATGTAGCTTAAGGTATAAAAGGGATTTAGTACGTTAATTTCAGTTGATAGGTAGGTATGTAGATTTTTGTCTAAAGAAATATATTTTATTTTAAATTATAATTATTTTTTAGTAGTATATTTACATAATATAATAAGACCATTTATTATTATTCTATATAAAAATAGGCACAAATTTATACGTAACAGAATTTGAGGCACTAAAATAAGTGTATAGTGTAGTCAAAGCATTACAAACTGCTATTTTTAATTACATAATGTTTAATATTGTAATTACATGTGAAAAAAAATGAATTAAAATTTTGAACAAGTCTTGTCATACTTAACAAGGCAAAATAATTAAAATATACAGAATTTCTTTTTAAAAATATTTTTAGACTTTAAATAAACCAGCTAAACATAAGCAAATGGCATTTTTTATATTTTAATATAAATAAATACAGAATAGTTGGCAGTGTTGGCATAAACAAAAAAATGTCATTTCTGGATAAGGAATTCTAACATATACACATGTGTTTTGTCTATATTTACTTTTAGATAAAAATAAACGAATCTCACCTGACTTTGCGGTATCCAGTTTTGGAATAATGGTGTGATTTTCCAAAGGCACAATTGGCGAAAAATTTCCACAATTTCATGGAAATAAATCAAGGAACAGATTTTTAGCGTTACGTGAGTGTTATCAATGCGATCCAAAACAAACTAAATCCATAATATCTCCCCTCTCTATGCCGGGTTTTCGACTAAACCAGTGGCGGGTATAAAAAAAGCAAGACTCAAGAGGCAGTGAATTTAATTTAAGCAAAAATGTAGTACCAAAAGAATGTTTTTTTGTTTAAATATTGTTAAAGATACTTAATTATTTATATATTTAACCTTAAGTTCTATTTTAGTCTCTAAAAAGTGTTGTTCACCTGTGTCTCTGCTTTATCAATAAAATTTTTACGTACTTAAAATCCATTTATACTGGACCATTTTTCAATTACTTGTCAGACTGATTGTGAGATTATCTCGGGGCATGAACATTTATTTTCGAATGAATTCGCATGTTTCGGATACTAATAGACTTATTACGTTATTATTTTAAGTTATTGTTGCGTTATTAACTAATTACGAAATAAAAATGCGGAGATGAAAAACATGAATTTATTTAAATTAGGTATTGTTTTATATTTCACTTTTTTAAATTTGATAAGTTTTAATGAAATGGCGAATGCGCAAGTTTTTACCAAATTTTATGGAATTTAAATCACACAGATAACATATTTTATAAATATGGTTTACTTTGTTATCTGTGACAATAAATTAATATATTATTTTATATTTCTTTTCTTATTTTTAATTTATGTAATTTCCAATACTGGCATGATTTTATAATCTTTTAAAAGAGTACCTATACAGGGTGTCACAGAAATAAGTATTTTAAGGGGTGGTAGATCTCGATAAAAGAAACATATTTTTTCTTTGTCGTTTTTCAAATAGGTCCAAAATAACGGAGTTATTTTACTTTAAAAATTTAAAAAAAAAATTTTTTTCCTAAAATTTTGAGAACCGCTGGATTTTTTTGTATTTTCTTTCTTGTAAATTTAATCTATTACCTAAGTTGCCACATTATCAAGAAATTATGTTTTTTGACTAAAAACTAGAAAAAATTCAAAAAAAAAATTTCAAAAAATTCCGAATTAAAAAAAAAATTCGCGGAAAAAACCTCATGGGCGTGTTTCTGGGGTTGAACTATACTACCAGTTAAAATATTTGCACTTATTTCTGGGACAACCTGTATAAATGAATAAAAATGAAACAGATAGGGGACTTAATAGAAATATATTATACACAGGGTGTCCTCAAAAATCGGGACAGAATCGACTGTGAATATGACGATTTAACATTTATATTCCATACCAATTTAACTCTTAGTTACGTAATCGAGGGCGCGATTTTTAAATTTATTGTTGCCAACCATACATCATTTTTAGTGTACAGGGTGGGTCAAATTCGACGCTTTTAAATGGAAACACCCTTTTCTATAGGAGATAGACGAAAACTAATATCGGTGTCTGGAGCTCAATTTTCATCAAAAACATGATGGTGAAAACCGCACATCATTGTATGTTACCATTTCGGAGTTACGGGGCGTTTTTCAAAAATGTGCATTTTTAACAAATCTCTGTAACTTTTTTGCTATGGAAAATTTTGTATTTCTATGAAAACATTTCCAACGCGCCTTTTTACGTAGAATTTAATGGTTTAAGTATATTTTTTTTCAAATTAATAATTTAAGAGTTATCAACAGGAAAATTGATTTTTTATTTGGGACACCCTCTATATTTTTAATTAACTGAAAAGAATTTAAAATTACCTTTCTAAAAATATAGCACATTTGATATTTTGTTATAATCCCCTTCGAAATACAGGATTTTTAAAAGTTCGTCACTTTTAACTAGTAGGCTTTGGACCCCTTATTGATGATATGCCCTTAATGGAACTCGAAAACATATTTTTCCAGCAAGACGAAGCACTGCCTCTGAACGCTGAAGTTATCAGCAAATTTTTGCAGCCAATTTCAAGAATAATTGGATAGCTAACCAAGGTCCCAGCCGTTGGCCGTCGAGGCCGCCTGATTTAGTACCCATGGATCTAATCCTATTGATATATTTGCGGAAGAATAATGGTTCCTTATTCTTCCGTATAATCTAGACAAGAATTAAAAATAGTTAGCAGTTATGAGAGGGTATCTTTCACCCCCACTGAGTTAATGAATTCCGCGAGAAATGTTCAAAAACTGCCCCGTCTGTCCATAACAGAAGTCGGTGGATATGTCGAACACCTGTAGCAAAATCTCCTTGGTTTGCTATTTATTTTTATTGTTATTAGATATAGTTTAAACGTGTTGATGTTGGTTAAATATATTTTAAATTGTTATAAAATTCTGCATCTCTCATAACAAATATTATTTTCGTTTTAATTGATGCTCATAGCTAGATTTTTTTTGCATTACAGCCGGTGCTGTTCAAAGCCTACTTATTTAAAGGGGGCGAATTTTTATATGCTCTATATCTCGAAGAGGAATCGAGCAAAATATCAAGTGTGTTATATTTTTGGAAAGGTAATTTTAAATTCTTTTCAATAAATTAGAAATATACAGGGTGTCCCATATAAAAAATCAAATTTTCTGTTGATAATTCTTAAATTATTAATTTTAAAAAAAGTATACTTAAACCATTAAATTCTACGTAAAAAGGTGCTTTGGAAATGTTTTCATAAAAATACAAAATTTTCCATAGCAAAAAAGTTCCAGCGATTTGTTAAAAACGCATATTTATTGTAACTCCGAAACGATAACAGATATCGATATGCGGTTGTCACCATCATGTTTTTGACAAAAATTGAGCTCCAGACACCGATATTAGTTTTTGTCTATCTCCAATAGAAAAGGGTGTTTCTATTTAAAAGCGTCGAATTTGACCCACCCTGTACAGGGTGTTGTGTTTTTGGTGTACAAAAATTTTAAATGAGAAGTAATTTCCTTGCTGTGGGGTGTCACTTATGGACGAGAGTATACAGTATACAGGGTGTCACAATATTCCGTGGACATAGAACTACTACGTATTTTTTAAATCAAAATCAGTTAATGCTTCTTTTGTCTGTTAAAGGGCATCAACATTTAATAATCCCGAACGTTAATTAATTCAAAATTTATGAAGTTTGTAGTGTGTTGTTGATGAACTAGTAGATCATCGTCTACTATCACCTACTTGATTTTAACGTTTGATTTGATAAGAAATATTTTATGTAGGTGTATGTCAGCTTCCAAAAAAAAAATTGTTTTTCTCAAAAAGTATGTGTGCTGGCATTTTTTTCCAAGAAGCAAAAATTGTAGTAAATACAAGAACAGTTTTACGAAAAAGAAATTAGTCGTCCTTGAATTTGCAAAGCATTTCTGCTCCAATTTATGTAAGGGTAGTTTTCATCCTTCTTGTAACATTACTATTTTTTTTTCAAAACAAAACATAGGCACTCAAAATCTTACTCACAGACTCACATCGGAATATGTGATTAGAGATTTAAAATATCTTAAAAAATGTGTTTATTTTTTTTAATTTGATACCCTCTGGATAAACTATGCACTTTTGTATAGAGATAAGTTGCGTTCTTGAGATTGACATTTTTTGTTCCAGAGATATTCGGTGTTAAATATTTCTGAAAACAAAAAATATTTCTTTTTAGATTTTTTCAAATAACTCGAGATTTGTTAGAGATATAAGAAAACGGTTTGGGGCAGTCAATTCTACGCAAAATGAACTATCAATAAGAATATTTTAGTTGTGAGACATTTCGATTTTTGACTAAATTTGCATCGATTTGTAGGTATGGATTTTTTGATTGGATTTTTTCGAAAAATTTTGGAAAATCGATTTTGCTTATTTTGTAAGATGCTGTAGTCCTGAATGTGTACTTTACAAAACCGTTTCGTTTTTGAGATTGACACTCTTTGTTCCAGCCATATTCGGTGTTAAATGTTTCGGAAAACAGAAAAAAATACTTCTTTTGTAGATTTTCTCAAATAACTCGATGTCTGTTAGAGATATCGGAAAATGACTGGATATTTTCGAAAAACTTATTTGTGTGTATATTATTATGTGTTAACGTATTTTGATTCCAAAAGTACCTACCTACGTAGTAGATCTGCGTCCACGGAAGATTTTGACATCCTGTATATGATTTCAACAGACAACATCCAAAAAGGAGAAAAAACAATCTATATTTGAATTAGAATGGAAAACAACTGTCAAATACATTCATATCCGTATGATCGAAAAAAAGGTCGTACAGTTGGCTTGGAAAATGATGTGATCGATTACATTCCCCACATAATTTTATATACACAGGGTGGTCCGAACTGTATTCTGTAGTTTGAGATGTTTTCATTTTGTCGAAGAAAAATTTATGATTAATTTAAAAAAATAAATTTATCATTTCAGTCAACTGTACTACTTAGCAGTACTACAGCTGTACTACGTAGCAGTTACTATGTACAGTATCTACTCCAAGACACCAATTTTCATCCAAATACGACGTTGAATGACGTTACTTGAGAAATTATTTGGAAAAAACACAGCGATTGGCATTTCAAAGCCATCGCTCAGGCAGTTTTTTTTCGATTATATGGTATTTGACAGACTATTATTATGAAATAAGACCTGTGATGACAGCTTAGTTCCTTTTTTAATAAATTTTAATATTAAATTTATAAATTTCCGAATGAATTATTTTTTTTTTTCGTGGGGAAAAATCTGCAAACCAGAATCCAGAATGAATTATTTAAAATTAATTTTGTAGATAATGGTCCTGTTTTTTTAATAAAATTGGGTTTTAACCTGTTTGTATGGTAGTATTAAAAACAAAACTATTAAGGAATAACAAGCAGTACAGGTTATACAAGTAGATTAAATGAAACCTGATGTGACCACTACGCAAGAAGATACGTAAATGAATACCTAAAAATATACCTACAAAGACAGAAGAGACACATCGATCGGGAAAAAGGCCGTCATAATAGCCTATGATATGATAATCATTCATATTTTCTCTCTCTATACGTCATTTATTTTGAATTTATATCTAATGGCCGCAGAAATACCTTGTGATGAAAAAAAAAACGGCGTCCAGTTGGCTCAGAAATAACGATCGATGATTTAAATCTGACAATTTAAGCGTGACATAAGGAAATGGGAGAGTCACAAAGTTGCAAAAATCAAAAAAAAAGTTGCGTATGCACTATTAACCCTTTATAGGTTGATGGTCGCTAAATCGACCTCTTTAATTTACCCAACTAAATCAGTCGCGTGGAAGTGTATCATTGCCCAGTTTGTTTACTATGCTTATTTCTATTCTCGCTTTGGCCATTTAATCAACCATATCTATACGTAGGCCGAATTGGCGCGTAAAGTTAACCTAAGCGGTTGATATACAGATATAATCAAAATGAACTTACTCTTTTCTTTGGATGACACAATTTAGTTTCTTACATTGGATGATACAGTTTATACTTTATACATATATGTCACTGTAATGTCCGAAATGCGGTAAAACCTAGGTTATTTGGGGATTATTGGTAAATCCTAGGTTTAGCGCGCTTATCCTAGATTTTACCGCGCTTATCCTAGGTTTTACCGCTTTTCGGACATTTACAGCCACATATACATTAGATCATTACATATTATTTATTTGCTTTAACAGTCTCTGGTTGAAAAATCGACCACTACTCCCTCACTCCCTTATTTGTTAACTTTTTGAATAATGTTATTAAGAAGATACACACATGGCCAAAATTATTGCATATAACGATATTTTTATTTTATTTTGGACCTAATATGATTCTTTTTATATTTTTGGACATATTGGCTTACTACACGACTAACTAATATAAAATTAAAAATCTAAATGCAACTAGGCTGTTATTATAATTTTATTTCACCATGAGTGAAAATCAACAAAAACAAATTTCATTTTAAACAGAAAATATTGAAAACAATTTTAATTATTTCTCACAACTAATAGTCTTTATTGCCTCCTCGAGCCTCAATACAAGCTGTAAGAAGACGTGGCATGTTCTCAATTAAGTTGTCCAGAAGATGTTGAGGAATGGCTTCCCATGTTTCGCGCTCAGCAATTTTCAATTCATTTAAGGTACGGGGGGAGGGGGGGATCATTCCTTTTGGCAATATGGCGTTTTAGTATGTCCCAAGCATGCTCCATCACATTCATATCTGGAGACATCGCGGTGGCCACCACCAGTTTTCCTTATACCCTCTTCCTCACAAAATTGGCGAACCGCTAAATTGCGATGTAGAGCACATGGGAGGAGCATTATCGTTACCGTCCATGTAAACAAATTCATCCCCCACTGCCCCTCGAAATGGACGCACAATAGGCTCTAAAACGGCATGTAAAAAGATATGAGGCACTTGTCATTGTGCCATCAATAAAAACAAGAGGAGTTCGAGCTTCGTGCATTATACCTGCCCATACCATAATGCTCTCCCCTTGAAACAGGACACGGGGTTGGGCTGCATTCAAGCGTGCTCGTCTTCCAGGTGCTCTCCAGACCAAAATTCGTCGCGAGTCTGACACTAGGCCTATTCTTGTTTCATCACTAAACATGACGAAATTCCAATTAGGTCCATTTGCTCTCATCTCCTCAGTTCATTGTAGTCGCGTAATTTTGTGCTGTAAATTAAGCTTCGGAACACGTAGAGGCCTCCTTAAATGTAATCCTCTGTCATGGAGTCTTCTTGCTATGGTTTTTTTTTAAACATTTACTCCTTCAAGGCGAGCTAACTCATTTTTAATAGCAGTACTAGAAAGCAGGGGATTGCGTCGTGCAATTAGGGATATTTGACGGTCTTGCACACCAATAGTAACTCTCTTTCTACCTCTTCCAGGCCGGTCTGTAACTTCGTTTGTCTCCCTGAATTTTTTTTAATATTCGCGAAACATCGCTTTGGTTAACTCCTACAATTTCAGCTATTGCAACTTGCTGGTAGCCCTGTTGAGACAGTGTTACTATTCTGACTCTATTAAACTGTGAAATAATGTTTCTAGGCATTTTAAGGCCAAAACAATGGTCAAATTTCTTCTGAAACCCAAGAGACCACAAATCGAAATGTGCAAGAATTTGTAATAATATTAGGTCTGAACGATAAACATTGTTTTCTATATCCATTTTAACAAAAAAATGTTCATTACAGATTATCAAAGCTATGTATAAAAAAAGATTCTTATTAAATTCCTTTCCCTATATTTCTAAACGATATATGCACTAATTTTGGCCATGTGTGTATGCTCCCTTTGTGCTAGTTTATATATTTTTGCAGTCAGTTTGATTAAACTAGAAAATAATTAGTGCCCTATAAAGGGTTCCCATATAACACAACACAATCCTATAGATATCTTGAGGATATCCTCCAAGGATATAGTAAATATCTTAGGGATATCCAAAAACTAGAGGAGGATATTTATGGGATATCCAGATGGGACAAAAAAAGTCATCTTCAAGACATCCCTAGGCAAGCCTTTTACGATTATTTGGGATATTTCTAGGATAATACAAGGATGATGTTGGGAGCATTATAGAATATTTTTAGGACATTATATGAGGATTGTTATTTGACAATACTTACTTCATCCTTAGTTTATAGTAAAAACGTTCGCGATTTAGTTTTATTTAGCCACATTTTGACGTTATTCATTGGATATTTTTATTAACAGCTCTAAAATATACCTACATATTATGTCAATGAATTTTGCGTCAAAATTTAGAAGTTTATTTGTATGAATGTACCATCGAAAAAAAAAACGGCGTTCAATTGGCTTGAAAATTACGATCGATAGCATTCCCCATATAATTTTACATACAAAATAACATCTTCATTTCCAAGCCACCTCTGACGCCGGTTTTTTCGATCGTATGGTAGGTATTATACCAGATTATACTACCCTTTATAGAATCTAGCAGTTTATGTCTAGCAGCAACAGTTTACATCAAAGTTAGCACACAGGATACAGGTATAATTTCTAACATCACACATTCCAGAAACTCACAATTTAAACACAAAAATAGGATTTCTGTTTGAATAGATCAAACACGAAAATGGGTTTAGGGATAAAGAACAAGGGGTTTTCAACAAATTTTTACCTATAATTTTGTCACAAATTTTTCATTGTGAGACCCTGAGTCGTTCGTCGTTTTTCGACATTAGTTGAGGTTAGGATAGAATTTCTGCTAGAACAAGGCTAGAACTATGAGTATAAGAAAAAACTAAGTCAAACTCAACCAGTTTTGTTAGTTTCAATCATTTTTAAGCCCATTCAATATCGACAAACGACCGAATTCACCTCGAATTTCACTAAATCAAAGAACTGAATAATATACGATGCAAAAACAAACAACTGTCGAGATGGATTGTGGGAAATTTTTTGCGCGGGCGTTTTAAATTCTCTGTATTACTGGGAGTGGCCAAGCTCATAAATATCCAGATTATCTAGAAGATACCAACAGGCTATTGTGTTGCCTTGACGTAATATATATCTATCTGTATGGTTTATTGCATTTTATCTAATATAAAAAGTAGTACATTATTTATTTTTCCTAAATATCTAGACGATATTGTTAGGATATTTTATTATCATAAGCATGTTTGGATATCTCAGCTGGATATACATTAGATATACGACAGAGATATCCATAGGATATTCTATTCTGAGACATCTACAGGATTTCAGGGTGTCTGGAGGATATCCTATAGATGTCTTTATAAGATGATTTTATAATGGGACATTCCGACATTCTATGAATATCCTGCGGATATTGTGTGTTATATGGGTTAATATCTGAAACGCACAAGTATTTCTTTGTGACTATTTTTCATTTTTGAAAACCAGTACACGCTCACCAGTAAAAAAGCTACATCATAAACTTTTCGGCTTTTTAGCATCTAATTTTTACAATACAATAGGTCCCCATTACGCTCGAGTAAATCCTAATGTAATAATTCCCATTTCTCTCCCCAATTAGTTGATTTACTCAATATAAATCGTCAAATAGGCACACACAAATTCTTCGATAAATTCTATCGACAAAGTGACTCAATATCTTTACTACTGGCGCTTACACCAAGTCGTTTCACTACTTTTTCGGTTAAAGTGGGACTAGGATAATTCCATTCTCGACGCAAGTTTCACTTTCGTGTCGGTTCTTCGCTGCTCAAGTAGATTGCCAGCGGGTCTACACAGCACGTAGCACACGCAGAAGTGAGCGAGTAGTGAATGTGAACTGGTGTACGAAAAATGAATACAGAAAATCCCGTTCTAGACGACGATCAGCGCTTCGCTTTTATGAAAGTAAGCCATCATTTCTTAACATAAGTGAGATTTTTTATCATTCGTAATAAGCGGTTTCTTGTGAAATATGTGCGGAATATTTGTGTGTTTTATTTTGGTTCTATTAAGGAGAAATATAGCTAGCTTTTTACAATGCTTGTTTGCAATGTTTTTTTAGTAGCTCAAAAGGAAAAAATCGGAACCCTGATAGGATCACTCCAGTGTTGTTCGTCCGTCTGTCTGTTAAGACCTTGTTAAGACCCTTTATCTCGGGAACGCGTGCAGATATCGTGCTGAAATTAAAACGATTTACTCAGGTCTACTGTCCTTTGAAGCTTTGAAAAAACAACCTTCTAAGTTAACGCAAAAAAAAGATACGGCCCTTTATGCCGCAAAAAACGTATACAGGGTTGTTCACCACATACGACACGGAGTATTGTAGCTAAACAATCGTTTAGCTAATTATATTATAATTATAATTATATATATTTATTATTATAATTATAATATACTTATAACATCTAATCAGATGTTTACAAATTTTAACTTTTGGGTTCGTTAAAGGACTATTAGAGCTACAATTTAGAAATAATTTTACAAGATACAGAGTGTCCCAAATAAGTAGAAAATGCTATAGTTGTATTTTTTTAAATGGAACACCCTGTATATTATTTTATTTTTAGATTCTACGATTGAAATAAAGGTAAATTTTATTAAGGTTTATCACACTTAAACCTTACCGTTTTTGAAATATTTTCAATTTTGTGAAATTGCAGTCAAAATTTTATGGCTTCATTTCTCCAAGGGTATCAAAGTTTTTAATACTAAATATTTACTGAAGTTTATTTATTGATCAGTTATTGTGTTGCAATAATAAAAATTATACTAGAGTGTCTAAAATGTTATTTTAAATAATTACTAGCTTTAAACGGCAATAACTTGTTTAATTTAAATGAAACGCCCTGTATATTTTAGGAGAATAAGATGCATAATTCAATTGTCTATCAAATTGTATTATACCACTTTTTACCTAGCCCTTCAAGCTTTCGTAGAAAATGTATTTTCTAATAATTTAGACCTCATTTATCAATATACCCATGTAAGATATATACCCATTTAGATTGTTTTTAAAGCAACAAATGTACAAAATGTACAGGCTAGTAATATTTTCGTTTTTGACAAAATTATAATATTACTAGCCCATTTGTACGCAAAAAGGAAACTATTTAAATCTTCATAAAAGAGTATACCATTAATTAAATATACCACCATTGTTTCCGCCCAAATACTAGCTAATTACATACTTAATTATGTTCGTGAATAAATTATTCTAAATAAATATGGATTTGAATCAGAAATCAATATAATAATAAGTTATAAAAATGAATGTCTCTGTTGTTACAAATAAGCATGTGTCAAAAAATGAAATATCATTTTTAAGGTGTTACTTTTTACTACACTGTCTAATACACATAAAAAATTCAGTTTTTTAGTTTTTGGAGCAATTATTATTAATCAACGCAAACAGTCAATTAATGTAGTTTGAATACTGGAATCATATTAATTGGTCCTCTTTAACAAATATTTAAACAGTTTTTTTTTATTTTTTAATGAAATAAACAAACTATATCGACAATATTAGTATCTGTACTCTTTAAAAATTTGGTACATCTTTAAAAATAATCTAAAATGTCAGTATTCCATGGGTATATTGATAAATGAATTAAAATTATAAGAAAATGCATTTTCTACGGAAACTTGAAGCTATAGGTAAAAAATGTTATAATACAATTTGATAGACAATTAAATTATGCATCTGATTTTCATAAAATATACAGGGTGTTTCATTTAAATTAAACAAGTTATTGCCGTTTAAATCTAGTAATTATTTAAAATAAAATTTTAGACACTGTGTATAAGGTAGTATAATTTTTATTATTGCAACACAATAACTGATCAATAAATAAACTTCAGTAAATATTTAGTATTAAAAACTTTGATACCCTTGGAGAAATGAAGCCTTAAAATTTTGACTGCAATTTCACAAAATTGAAAATATTTCAAAAACGGTAAGGTTTAAGTGTAATAAACCTTTATCAAATTTACCTTTATTTTAATCGTAGAAACTGAAAATGTAATAATATACAGGGTGTTCATTTAAAAAAATACAACTTTGATATTTTTTATTTATTTGGGACACTCTGTATCTTGTAAAAATATTTTTAAATTGTAGCTCTAATAGTTCTTCAACAAACCCAAAACTTACAATTTGTAAAAATCTAATCGTTTAGCTACAATACTCCGTGTCGTATGTGGTGAACAACCCTGTATTTCGACACTTTCAAAGGAATCAAAACATTTCAAAATTTATAGGGTATTTTCCGTTGATCTAGAACTACTAAATTTGGCAGGTAATATTGTCTTATACTACAAATGTGCTACAAACTTCAAGTATAGGGAAAAATCTGAAAACTATAAATTTCCAATTAAATCATAAAAAATATACAGGGTGGCGCCTCTCATACGCCGCGGACGCTATACGGAGAACGACAGTTTGTATTGAAATGAAATTTTGTGAGCATATGTAGGTTAATTCAGAGCACTTTTTCGAAATATAGAGAGTTCTACAGGGTGTCCCCAAAAAAAGTTACACATTAAAGTTGTGTTTTTGTAATGGAACACCCTATATATTAATTGATTTTCGGATTCTGGGAGAAAAATAAAGGTGAGTTTTATAAGTGTATGTCTAAAATGTAAGGTTTTTGACATATTTAACATTTTCTAAAAATAAAGAACAATTCATAAATTACTATAAAACCTACCTAAATGGGCTCTTTCACAAAAAATAAAATACCCAATTCAAGGACAAAATCTGAAATAGAAGACTATTTTCAGTATATTTATCCAAAAAAATAGTTCCGCGACATTGAATAATTTTTTTATAGGCCCTCAAAATTGCTTTAATTTGAAATAATTTTAAAGCGCCAATTGATGACGTATGAAAAATACACCCAATCACATTGCAGAACCGTGCTCGTGCGCCAGCCAACAACTGGCAACATTGCGATTTGATTTGACAGCACCACCTCAACTCAAGGCCAATCAACATGATATGGGCAAAGCAAACATGGCGGAGAAGGCAGCGCATTATTAAATTGTTTACCTTTAACCTGAAAAGCCGGTAGTGGTTTTTCGTTCCGATTGCATACCAGAAATAATTAATTATCTCTAGTTTGTGTGCTTCTGCAACACGTTTGTTTAGTTCTTAGTGTTCAGTGCATGGTGTGATCAGAAAATTGTGATAAAATAACAGTGTAATAAAAATCCGAACCAGACATTCCATATAGAGAACTTCAAACTTTTGTGCTTGTCGTACTCCTCTATTATTAATTATTTTAAGGTGAGAACTAGAAGTATTTATCAAGATATTACACCTAAATGAGTAAAAAGCCTTCGCCGCGAGTCTGCATAATACTTTATAATAGTTACTTTTACAATAATCAAAAGATAGGTATTAAAGGGTAGGTATTAACATTTTATTGTAGCATGCCTTTTACATGCTCTGTTCCAAATTGTAACGGAAATTATAGAGGGGGTCCCAAGGTTTCTGCTTTTATATTCCCCAAAAATGACGAGCTTCGTAAAAAATGGTTGATGGCTATTAAAAGAGATTATTTCACTCCTACTAGTAGTTCTCGGGTAAGAAGTGCATTAAATATGTCTCAAAAGGGCCAAAGGCCAAAGCCTCTGTTACCCTAGTGAGGATATAGTTATGGCTACTGCTTACACTTACCTCACTATAGGTAAAATATTGGAAGAAGAATCAAGCTTTTTACATCAAAAAGATCACAGAAAGATATTGAGAACATTGACATTTGAAAATATAAAGGGCCTGGATGTAAGTCTTTTTTTAGGTCACAATTTCCCCTCACATACGTCAGAATTTATTATTAAATCCATCTTGTTTAGAATATCAAATATATTTTATTGAAGAACTATGCAAAAAAAGGAATGACGTCTTTACCACAAAGACAATACCCTATGTAAAGAGAAAGAGTAAAGAAAACTAAGCTAAGCGTAAGTTTTACTTACGAACCCCTAAAAATGTATTTAGTTTTTTTTTCTATATAAAATCTTGAAACACATATTATATTTTTAATTTATCCTCATCTATTATAGCTTAAATTTATTCCCATTTGTGTAATGCTGCAAAACATAGAAAAAATATTCCATATTTTTTGACCCAAACCAGTGTAGTTTATAATTCGAAGAGCATTTACCAAGGCTTTTACTAAGACAAGTAACTTCCTATACTGTCCATAATAGTATATATTTATCAAACGTTCAGTAAATTCTAAACTATTGTAGGTAAGTGTTTGCAATTGAATATTTAGTTTATATTGCTATTTTCTGTCATATATTTCTGGTTATTTCTTTTTCCGCTGATTTTTAACACCCTATATATGCTACTTCAAGTTTGAATGTTTTAACACTACTTATTTTCTGAGAAAGCAGACCTTTTTATAAAAAGTAACTAACTGATGTTTTCATAAAAGTAATAATACAAAAAATTCCATACTTATGTGGAGAACTTTGACTCCCTGTAAATTAAAAAATTAGTGAAATATTACGTAATCTAACCCGACATTTGTGTGAAAAATGTCTATTTGGAAACAAAGCAGGTTTTAAAATACGCGCCAAATAAAGCACTTCTATCTCCGCCATATTGGATAAGGTTGAATGGCCTTATGTGGAGGTGGTGATGGGTCAGCATGGTGGCCCGGCCGCGGTCGTGTTGCCGCTTTTCAACATGCTAGGTGTGACGTATTAAAAATAAAGTGCGGATTTTTATTCTGGGCTTTTTTGTTTTTATTTATTTTCTTAAGAACCACTTCAAATTTTTCGAAAGTGAGATAGCAGAAAATTCTAGAATTAATTGTTTTATTCAATTATGCTAATTCCAAAATATAGTGAAAGAGCCCATTGGAATTTACCCGGTATAGCCTAATATATAGTTAAATTAACTATTGTACTTTAAATCAAATTAAAACTTGATCCAAAAAGTTATACAGGGTGAGACAAAATTAACATTGAACATTGGTCACCTTTAAAAGCATGTTACTCGTTTATTTTAAATGGAACACCCAGTATATTATTTCGATATTCAATGGAGTATTCATGTCTCTTCAAAATACTATCAATGTTTCCTAGCCCTCAAACCAATATTTTCGTAGATATTTTCATTTCCATGATTTGATCTGGGTAAATCTTTATTGAGCCGAGCGTCTCGTTTGCGTCGCATCCGCGTGTCGAAATGGAATCAATTCACTTAACTTAAATTAGACCGTTCAGGCAGACAGCGTCGCGTTAGGCGTTGCGCTAGCGTCCGATGAGCGTCGGGGTTCAAGTTCAATGGGGCGGACGCGACGCTCTCAGCCTGAATGTACCTTTAGGCTTTATTTTTATGCATCCGTTGTCCGACAATACGTTGATACGATATTAATTTTATTAGTAGAATTTAAAGACTTTGATTGGTTAGAAAATAACGCAGTTCTTAAATTTATTGAATTTTCATGCCTCCGTTTATCGGATATACGTTGGTGTCATTTTATATTTTCGTTTCCATAACGATTTTGCTAGTTTACTTATATGTTTATTAAGGTTAGATTAAATTTGTCAAAAAAGTGTCAAAACGTCCGTTATCGTATGAACCTTTGAATAAGAAGATTAAGGAAGGAGCATAATGCTATCCATGTATTCGTGCATGGTGGGCGGAAAAAGCACTCTAGGGTGGGGATCCTTGACAGTTCTGTTTGACGATTCATTTGACACATTTGAATTTGATTTAAATTTTGTGGATTTGTCAGTCTTTACGGAGCTTATTTTATGTTATTTATTATTTATTCTACTACTGGTAGTTGTATAAAGATAGTAAATCTAAGGTGCAAAAAATAGTGAAACAAACTTCAGTGTGGCTAGAGATAAAAATAAAACAAAATGTTCCTGTGAAAAATTAGAAAAAATTCAAATCCTTATGACTATAAGAAGCGGGAAAATACTATGCTGTTGGATGTAACACGTTTTAATACAAAACAGATTAATGTATTTATCATTGTAACATTACAATGATAAATGTAAATTGCGATTTTGTGGCCTACTTAATTATATGTATTTTTAATTATATACAGTATTATTCAATCAATGTTTACATTATAAGATACCGATGGCAAGAGTATTCCGAGATAAATGCCTACCACAAATACAATAATTTATACAGGATGTGTCAAAAACATATGCCAACTCCAGGGGTGGATGGGCCATATGGGAAAACGGTAAAATTTCCAGTGGGCCGGTCCCGATCAGAGCTCAAAAAAAGATTGGATTAGCAAAAATTAAATGGTTAATCATCTAACTTAGGTGACGTAGGATCCTTAGTGACTCCATAACTAACTAATCAGTTTACATCAGTATAATCGTCAGTTGCTTTTAAACATGAACACCTATTTGTAAAATAACTATTGTAAAATGTCTTTCTCTGGGACACTTATAATTTTAATAATCATCTGTTTTTTAGGTCGGTTTGAAAATTTTTATTATACAAGGTGAGTCTATAAGTGCAAAAAGGCTAATATTTAACACAATTTACAGACATTAGGGGAGGCCCGAGCACCATGGGCCCTCTCTGTATCCGCCACTGAGTGCAAATATTTTCAGGACTGGTAGATCTCAATAAAATAAACATAATATATTCTCTTTACCGAGTTCAAATCGAGTTATTAAAGTTTGGAAATTTAAAAAAAAATTGATTTATTTAAAAAAAAATTGGGCCACCTCAATTTTTCGGTATTTGCATCTCCTTTAGTGCCGTAATATCAGAGATTAAAAAAATATACCGTGGGAAAATTTGCCGTGAACACGAAGTTCTAAAAAATTTATATCAGGAACATTTAAAAGAAAATGCTCGATTTTTAACATCTTTTTTTGCAAAAAAAGCTCATAGACGTGTGCCTGAGGTCGAACTATGCCACCCCTGAAAATATTTGCACTTATTTAAGACTCACCCTGTATAGTTTTACCCACTATTCTTTTATTAATAACTAATTAATGGCTAACTGGCAGCAGAAAAAAGAATGAATAGCATTAGGTAAATTTAAATAGTCTCGATCTAAATGTATACTAAGAATACGGTAGCGTAGATTGACAACTCGTTGCAATATTTTTCGAGCTTCCCTTTGTAAAAAGGTAGACTAATTTGACGCGAACTCTGTGGTTGACGGAGAAAACATATCTATGATTGGTTTGAATTGGGGACGGACTAAAAGTCCCAGAAGACCGAGTCTGAGAACTAAAAGCCAAGTCTAAATTGTTGTTTAAAATGTTGTTAAAATGAATTTGCTAAAAATTACTGAGACAGCAGAGAAGAGTTAAATATGGTTTAAACTAGATTAGATAATAAAATATCAATAGGTATGTCTCGAAAATCCAAATATTCTTATTATGGACTGTAACATAGCATTACATTTATATCCACTGCCTAGGTATTGCCTAAGTTTTTTCGTTTGAGTCATGGCATGATCATACAAGATGCCAAATGTAGACAAGTATAGAGGAAAAGTTTCGTGATAAGAACTATATAATAACCTAAAAAATGCTGCAATTTTAATGGCGACCGTGGTTAATTCAGTTAAAAACACGTATACACGACGCAGAGAAGTAAAGTGTAGCAGAAAAGAGAGAATTTCTTTCTACAATGTGTGTAAGAAAATACTATATACCCGGAAAGTTAAAAGTAATGTATTTCACAGAGGATTGGGTCAGCTGAACTGAATGAATCAAGAAGTCTTAAAGTTTCTCAAAAATCGTGACTCAAAATCGTAGCCTATTCAAGATCAAATTACCGTTATCGATAATGGAAATAAAGCGGTAGAACCCTGTAAAACTGAGCCATTTTGTAGTAAAAATTCAGATGTCCGACCCAATATTTGTCTTTACGAAAATTTTGATCAAGACAATTAAATTTTTTTTTAAAAAACGGAGGCATAAGAGCTTTTTCGCACGAGCGAAACGCCCTTACTTATATATTAATAAATAAAATATGTTTCTTCGTTATGGTCATTTTGTTTTTGTGGATTTGGGCCGGTTGCCTGTTTTTCCAGGGCCGGTTTCCACTTCCCCATCCACCCCTGGCCATCTCTCGTGGGGAGATTCCCCCCGTAAAAATAATTTCTGCTTTGCTTCGTAGTTACAGGGTGTCCTCATCTTTTTTCGATTTATTTTACCACGAGAGATGGCGCATATTTTTTGAAACTCCCTGTATGTATCTGTTCTAGGAAAAAATACCTAGATTATATTTATCTCGAATAAATTATTAAACGAACATCTTATTCTGCATAGTCTTCTAAGGAAAATACAAATTATTTAATTTAATTAAAAATGTAGTTCCAGGAAATAATACTAATTATATAGATGCTGTGTTGAAACTTATACTTAATATTTATTTCAAAGTATTTAAAAATGATTTGTATGTTTCTGATGTATGTAAATTTATTTTTTTAATAATTTTGTTTAGAAAAAAAACGAATTTCTGAAAAAATTAGTTTATTATTATATAAAACTTCTTCGTCTTTCAATTATAAATCTTCATCGTCCTCGATTGCACTATCAGGCTTGTTCCTGATCAAATGCACAGTCTCTGCTTCCAATGCCAGTTTCCTTATGTTAGCGAGGCATCCTGCGGCTGCTTCCTGCAGTTTCCAGTCTGTGGAGGAAACAGCTTTCAGCAGGAAAGGTACAACTCCACTTTCGTGCATCGTGATACAGTTAAAGGCGTTTTTTGACAAGTGGAACAGGGCCAGGGCTGTTGTTCTGTGTACTTCAGGGTTGGTGTCGGCCATGTATTGGACCAACGGTGTGATAGCACCCAGTCTGAAATATTACTTTAGTCAAAATAATAATATACAGGGTGGTCTAAGTTGTATTAGCGAAACTTTTTTATTTTTTTTAAAAAAATCATAAAATTTTCTAGAAAAAAATATGATAAAACAGTTTCTGTCGAACAAATAAATCCCAGATTTATTATTTCAGTCCAATAACGATTTATATATTGAGTAAAATGTATATTGTCAAGGTGTATGTGGCGACATCTGTCGGAGAAGTGAATAAACCGCAAGTATATTGCTGGTTGAGGACTATCTGAGGACATTGTTGTTGATCTCTTAACCCAGTAGAAAACTAAGCGAATCAGGCGGGAGAATGATACCGAGAATTTTAGAACGTTCCAGAAACAGTCAGTATAAACCACTTCCCCATCCATCCCATCTAAAGGCACAAATTAATTTGTACTAAAGGCGCGCGATCGGCGGTTGACCCAGTTTGAAATTTGGAAATATACCTTTTTAAATTGTGAATCGTGACAATTTGGCGAAGGATTTTTTTAAAATAGTTAATTGTGTGTTGTTAATCAGTATAAATTGAGTATATATAGTGAGAAAATAAACTCGTTAAGTATTTAATCGTGAGTTTAAATTAGTGGACCCACGGAATCCGTAACAATATTATACACGTCTAGGGGTCGACCTGATGGAAATTATCATTTCGATGGTCACTGTGACACCGATCTTTTCGATTATAGAGTACCAATGTTATGTGATACCCTGCGCACATTAAAAATTATTATCAGACAGGCCCATTATACGAAACTCATAGCTAATTATTGTTTAATAGGTATAGAAATTTTGTTAGTCTGGTTTTAGAAAATAAAAACAAAATTCCAATAAAAATAATGGATATATGTGTCTAACGTCGATCAATATAATTATTATTGGAATAAACAACATTTAGTAATACGCGTTGTTTAAAATTGTTAATAGAGTTTAATTTTTTTAGGTTCTTATTATCTTTTTTTAAGTTACTAATTGCCTTAATGTAAGAATTATAGAAAAAATATTAATTATTGTTTAATGTTAGGATGTGTTTATAACTATTAAGGCCTAAATAATTGATATTTTTTGTCTTTATTTACTTTTTATCCAGTAAACGCTAATAATTAATAATTATGTTTATTAATAAATATAGGAGTTCGTTAGCATCATTATTTATAATAACCACATATTATAGTCTTTTGAAACTTGTGATAAATAACATCACATACATGGTGTTTCAAACTTGGCTCTCCATAAAATGGATTAAATTGGGACTAAGGTGCTTATTAGCGAGCCTAATGATAACCCGTTTAGTAATTGAACTTACAGGGTATATTGAAAAATAAGTGCAAATATTTTCAGGACTGGTAGATCTCGATAAAAAACACCTATTTTCTCTTTACCGTTTTTCAAATAACTCCAAAAAATCGAGTTAGTTTTGAAAATTAAAAAAAAATTTTTTGGTTAAATTTCGATAATCTTTTCTTGGTTTTCTTTCTTGTAAATTTAATCAACTACCTGTGTTAACATATAATCGAGATATTATATGTTTTTTAACTTAAATTTTTTTAAAAAAATCCACATTTTCGAAAAAAAATCTTTAAAAAACCTCATAGACGTGTTTTCTGGTCGAAATATACTATCCCTAAAAATATTTGAATCCGTTTAAGACCCACCCTGTATATTTTAAAAATCGACAACCAGGTGATTTTTGACGACATCGATATTTTTTAAAATATTAACATTTTTGTAGTTGCGCTGGTAAAGTTCATTTTCAATGAGTTATATCTGTGAATATATAAATCATGGTAATACTTGCCTTCCAAACATTTTGCAATTTGAACCCCATGCGCAGCAATATGCGATTGCTGATGCTAAATGTTGTCGTAGCTCTACATCTTCTGTTTCCACCAGGTTGGCCAACATCGGTACAACACCATGATCTACCAAATAAAATAAAATAAACATTTTCATGGACCAAGACTTGATAGTCTGGAGTCAAAGAGGGCTGGGGAATGAAAATCGATGATAATGTTGGCGAGGTCAAGCCCTAAACGTCATTTACTCGACCTGTGGTCTTCTTTATTTTTTAATGGACCTCACTGTCAGTTACCGTTGCCGTTTTTTTTGATCCTACAGTATAATAAACCATTTCATATTAAAATATTAGTAAATTTATATATATCTATATCTTTGTAAAGAGTTCATTCAAAGTTTATATCATATATTCTGTTTGGGGCCAATTTTGGCATTATGTTTAGTAGTAGAGTATATAATGAGTCTATTTTATGGATTAAAAAAAGTATATAATTAGTCTATTTTATGGACTAAACAAAGTATATAATTAGTCATTTTTATGGACTATTAATGATGCACGTGTGTTGACAAATTATTTTACATTGCAAACATATTCTTTGTTTATACAATTTTTATGTTGTTTAATGCTAAAGCCTTCTCTACACATAAGGTTTTACCTGTCAGTCTTACCTGTTCAGTCAAATCGTATCATGTAAAACCTTGTGTGTAGGCGAAACAACGGTCTGTTTTACTTGAACCAACTTAATTTAATATCTAAATCTAATAACTAAATTAATATATTTCAGTTTCCTAAAATATTTTGATTAAAAGAAAGTATATAAAAGTGGGCAACGCTGTGCTGTCAAGCTTGATTACATGATTAAAAGCTTATTTGATATGAACTGCAGACGGTCTTTCATTTTAACTGACAGGGAAAACGGAAAGTAATACGCTATATGTAGACGGGGCTTTATAGTGAATTAGACAAGACTTTTTTATTTTTGTGTGAACTTTTCCAGTAATTAGTCAAGATATCTTTATTTCCTTGTTAAATATTTGCATAGGAACGAAAACGAGTAATTTAACTTAGGAAAATGATAACTGGGTCATCTATTATCAAATATTAACATGCAAAATGTACAAAATGTCACTAACCCTAACGAAATTAGAGTGAAAGCTAGCGGCACAATCACGATTAAATAATTATTAACCCGGTTTGAGTGAAATATAAACAAAAAGAAGTCCTTGAAAGTAATGAAACTTATATCTTTCCTATGCAAATTACTACCGTATGATCGAATAAAAACGGCGTCAGCGATGGCTATGAAATGAAGATCGCTGTCATTTTATATGTAAAATTATATGGGAAATGTCATCGATCGTCATTTCCAAGCCAACTGGACGCCATTTTTTTTTCGATCATACGGTATATAGATTTGTTTAAATGTACAAATTTGGCAATCATAACATTAGAGTCCAAAAAAAATACTACATCATATTTTTACACTCACAATTTTTTACAAATATGGTATCAAATATTTTATTTTAAGTCTATGGTATCAAGTCATCGACTATGACGACTTTTGGTATGAAGCATTGCTTCATTTTTATTGACTAACCTGTGATTACTGCCAAATTTTCAATATCTTTCGCCACTTCTGAGATGGCGGCACAAACACAGGCCAAAACATGCGTATCCTGGGATTTTAGAAGGTTTACTATGATTTCCAGACCACCTACAAAGCATCTGACCATTTCTCCTGAATCTATGGCGTTTTGTATACAAGGAACAAGAGACCAGGCAGCATTAGCCTGTACCTAAAACACATTTAAAAATAATATAAAAACATGTCACAAAAATGAAGCGCAGTATTAAATCGAGGTCCATTTTTTCCCTCTTGGCAACGCCACATATGCTAGAAAATAGAGAAATTAGATCATATATCAGATATAGATGAGTAATTGCAACAAGATTCCAGAAGCTCTTACTTTGAATAAAAAGATTAAGAAAGGCGTTTAATGCTATCCATGTATTTATGCATTAGAGACATAATGAACATCATGAACCCCTATTTTTGACAGATTTGAAGTTGATTTAAAATTTGGCGGATTTGTTGTGCTTTGCTGAGCTTATTTTTATAAAAGTAATTAGATATGCTCATTTATATTTGTCAACTACAGCTGTGTTTTCTTATGCATAATTCCAGGGCGCCCAACAATTTAAAATTTAGTGATTATTCTATAGTGAAGTACGAACAAACTCATGACTGCTCTACCGATGATAAGCTGCCGTACGCAAGGAATAATAACGAAAAACGTTATACCCCTATTTTTGGCGCCCAACGTGGGGCAATCTGTTATGAAGTTCACTTAGAATTAACTAATTAAAATCTTTTCTAACGTTTTATTTTTTATTTGTCAAAAATAATTAGGATGCGTCAATTTCACTTATGTGTTTCAGTAGCATAACAATTATTATAACTTAGCTATTTTTATTAGAAATATATTTTTTTAACAATTTTAATATCTAATTACATTTATTGATAACGTAAAATAAAACCATCAAATTATTAAGTCTATCCTAAATTATACCGGGTGCGTTTTAAAAGTGGGTCACCCCTATAGGTAACTCTTATTTTTTCAGATAAAAGAACGAGATCTGGTATGTTAGTAAATGACATAAATTAGAGTTGAGTGACGTATACAATTGTTTTTTGTCACTTCCTGTTTCAACGGAAATGACTACAACTTTTGATTTTTAAATGATACCCTCGGTATTTTTTACTTTATTCAATAGAAAATGACACTCTGAATAGAATGACATATCATATGTCAACTTTAGACATTTTCGCATATGGTTTATTTGAAATTGTAACATGCTGTTCATAACGACAATTTGACTCGAAATACCAAATGTTTGGTACCAAATTATTCGTAAAAAAATGCTTTTTCCAAATATGCTAATGAGCCACTCTTGTTCCAGTTGATAAAATTGCGATATAATTAAAAATACGATTTGGGCATCTTTTAACTGGCCAGGATAAGACACTAAAAACATTAGACGATCAAATATATTTTTGTCTAATTATCTTTTTATTCAAAGGTAAATGCAAATGTTTGTACCTTTGGAGATTCGTTTCTTAATAGAGACCATATAAGCCTGACTCCATCAAGTTGTTCTATGATTCTCATCGATTCTGGATCTTCTGCGCATTCCCTAAGGACCATAGGGACATTCTCTAATAATGGTGGATAGGTGTAGTTGAGTAAATTGACTAGGTGAGGTATACCCTCTGCTCTGCGCAATGTGCTTCTGTTGTGTTCGAATTTTAGGCATTCCCCTAGAGCCCCTACGACATTGCTAAGTACCAGTTCGTCTTCTTCCACGTTTTCCAGAAGTTTTACTAAAACCTGACAAAATATTTTCATAGAGAATGAATTATTTTTAATTTTAAATTTACAGGGTTGTTCACCACATACGACACGGAGTATTGTAGCTCAATGATTAGATTTTTACAAATTGTAAGTTTTGGGTTCGTTGAAGGACTATTAGAGCTACAATTTAAAAATATTTTTACAAGATACAGAGTGTCCCAAATAAATAAAAAATATCAAAGTTGCATTTTTTTAAATGGAACTCCCTATATATTATTACATTTTTAGTTTCTACGATTAAAATAAAGGTAAAATCGATAAAGGTTTATTACACTAAAACCTTACCGTTTTGAAATATTTTCAATTTTGTGAAATTGCAGTTAAAATTTTAAGGCTTCATTTCTCGAAGGGTATCGAAGTTTTTAATACTAAATATTTACTGAAGTTTATTTATTTATCAATTATAGTGTTGCAATAATAAAAATTATACTACCTTATACAGAGTATCTAAAATTTTATTTTAAATAATTACTAGCTTTAAACGGCAATAACTTGTTTAATTTAAATGGAATACCCTGTATATTTTATGAGAATCAGATGCACAATGTAAGATGTATAATTTAATTGTCTATCAAATTGTATTATACCATTTTTTACCTATCTCTTCAAGTTACCGTAGAAAATGCATTTTCTTGTAATTTGGAACTCATTTATCAATATACCTATGGAATACTGACATTTTAGATTATTTTTAAAGATGTACCAACTTTTTAAAGAGTACAGATACTAATATTGTCGATATAGTTTGTTTATTTCATTAAAAAATAAAAAAAAACTGTTATGTATATTTGTTAAAGAGGGCCAATTAATATGATTCCAGTATTCAAACTATATTAATTGACTATTTGCGTTGATTAATAATAATTGCTCCAAATACTAAAAAACTGAATTTTGTATTATATTAGACAGTGTGGTAAAATGTAACACCTTTGAAAATGATATTTAATTTTTTGACAAATGCTTATTTATAACAACAGAGACATTCATTTTCATAAGTTATTATTATATTGATTTCTAATTCAAATCCACATTTATTTAGAATAATTTATTAACGAACATAATTAAGTATGTAATAAATTAGTATTTGGGCGGAAATAATGGTGGTATATTTAATTAATGGTATACTCTTTTATAAAGATTTAAATAGTTTTCTTCGTGTATAGAAATGGCCTAGTAATATTATCATTTTGCTAAAAACGATAATATTACTAGCCTGTTCATTTTGTACATTTGTTACTTTAAAAACAATCTAAAATGTCAATATTCCACGGGTATATTGATAAATGAGGTCTAAATTACAAGAAAATGCATTTTCTACGAAAACTTGAAGGGATAGGTAAAAAATGGTATAATACAATTTGATAGACAATTAAATTGTGCATTTGAATCTCCTAAAATATACAAGGCGTTCCATTTAAATTAAACAAGGTATTGCCGTTTAAAGCTAGAAATAATTTAAAATAAATTTTTGGGCACTCTGTATGAGGTAGTATTATTTTTGTTATTGTAACACAATAACTGATCAATAAATAGACTTCAGTAAATATTTAGTATTAAAAACTTTGATACCCTTGGAGAAATGAAGCCTTAAAATTTTTACTGCAATTTCACAAAATTGAAAATATTTCAAAAACGGTAAGGTTTAAGTGTCATAAACCTTTATCAAATTTACCTTTATAATAATCGTAGAAACTAAAAATGTAATAATATACAGGGTGTTCAATTTAAAAAAATACAACTTTGATATTTTTTATTTATTTGGGACACTCTCTATCTTGTAAAAATATTTTTAAATTGTAGCTCTAATAGTCCTTCACCGAACCCAAAACTTACAATTTGTAAAATCTAATCATTTAGTTACAATACTCCGTGTAGTATGTGGTGAACAACCCTATATATCTATAGCTACTCCTCTTACTTCGACCGTTTTAAGTTGATCAAAACGTTCAACATTCTCTGGGCTTATCGCCGTTTTCCATATAGCCCCAGTCACTGCAGCCAACAATGCTTTATCCTCCTTAGTTTTCGGATCTCTGGTCATATTGATCAAGGGATCTAATCCGCCAGCTTGTCTAACCATCTCTCGAGACGTTGCCTTTTCGCAGCACTTGAAGATGGTCTCTGCGCAGAACCTTCGTAATTCTGGATACTCCTAGATCGACTTTAGCTTAATTAATTGTAGGTATAAGTATATATTTTAATACTTACTTCGGTAGATAGATGGCGTACTATGTCGCGGATCATTCCTTCTGTCTGGATGGCTAGTTGGTAGCTCGGGTCATTAGCGCATTGAGCTATGGTTCCTATTGTTGGTATTACAACATCCATATGTACAGACCTATGGAAAAAGGTTAACATATCTTTACTTTTAAATATATTATATCAGCTGATGGACCAACTGTTGAATTTCTGTGGGATCCACATCAAATTTTAGTAAGTTAACTTAGGCATACCTGAATAATTTTTGCATTATTAAAAACAATTTAAAAATATGCGATTTTTATTTCAAAATGCTTTCAGAACAGACGAAAATACATATAGAACCAGAGTAACATTTGACATTGAAAATTTTGAGACAATTTTAATTAATGTTAGTTTTTTAAAAGAGTTCATTTTTTCGACGATATTTTAGATTTTAAATTTGTGCTCCGTTTGAAAGTTTGTTTTTGTAGTGTATTTAGTAGATAAATAAATATTATGACAAATAAATGTGTTATATTATGTGGAGCTGTCCGCAATTGGATATCAGTCTTATCCTTATAAAAGACCTCCACAACACAAAAAGTATGAAAACCTCTGAACTATGTTCCATATATATCCATATTTTGAAATGTTTATTTATGTTCACTTAATCACTTTATAAACATTATTATGTAATTTACCTTTGAGAATGTTTTTATCTTCAAGTAATTAGTATACTGTAAAATATTATTCAATAAATAATTAATATCCGAACAATATTATTTTTACTATTTTATATGTGTATTTTTTATTTTTTATATATTTCCCAGGCTAAACTTTTAAATTATTTTTTAAAAATGACATATTCACAAAAGAAAAACAGACGATTGGTCAGTCATTGTCAAAGACAAGATGTTGCTGTATCTTCAACAAAAATGAAGCAAATTTACTTATCCACGAAGTTTATAAGATCCAAGCAGTGCCTTCTATTAAAAGATCAGCCTACGGGCGAGATTTATGACGTCACGCTAGTTAGATATAACGGATTAATAAATATTTTGTAGAATACATGGAAAACATAATTATTCCTCAGATTTTTAGTTTGTATTTTAAAAATGATATAGTTTACATGAAATATACATAATATACAGTTAATAACTACAACATATATACCTATTTATAGTAATAAATACTTTGGCAAATAAACTATGAACCATACAAATGCAACAAATGTTTTACAATGTACAAGTAATGTATAGGTACATAAGATAATGGGTAAAATGTAAATATATTTTAAATTTTGGGGTTTGAAAATCGATCTAATTTAACAAAAAACATTCAATATCTACTAATAGTGATGTATTATTATATGCATTCACAAAATTTATATGTATATTTTGCAAGTATCAATGTTCGAAAATTATATTTACAAATAATACAATATTATCTGGTAAAGGCGTCAGCGATGGCTATGAAATGAAGATCGCTGGCATTTTATATGTAAAATTATTCTAAAACTTTTTATTTTCTTGGGATTTTTAGGTTCGGGAAAAACGCCGATTTAAGTTTTCATTTGGGTTTTCATTATTTTTATTTGGTTTAAGAAAACGTTTCGGCTAACTATAGCCTTCATCAGTGTTGTGTCATATGAGAAAAATAGTGTCGAATATAATCCAAAAAATTACATATACAATATAATTCACACCTCATAATGTTTACTGCAATTAATAAACTAATATAAACTTATCAAATATTAAATTATTATAATTACAGCAATTAATAAACTAATATAAACTTATCAAATATATAGCCGAAACGTTTTTTTTAAACCAAATAAAAATAATGAAAAACCAAATGAAAACTTAATCATCGTTTTTCCCGAACCTAAATCCCAAGAAAATCAAAAAATTTAGAATATTTAGAAACAAGGTTCAAGAATATCAAATTTTCCAAGATTGTAAAATTCTAGTTAATTATTTTATGTGTACAGTTATTTAGGGAATGTCATCGATGTTCATGTCCAAGCCAACTAGACGCCGATTTTTTTCGATGATACGGTATAATTCTTACATAAAATGTAAATAACATTAGACCAATTAAAACAAAGAAATATTAATTTCTTGGTATTTTTAGTAACACCTTTATTCTTAAAACTTAATTTTGTATTATGCAAATATACCAATTTTATTGTTATTTTATTCATATTGTATTCAGCCATCACTTAAATATTTGATATTAATTTGGTATTATAAATAATCAACTCTATTCATTAAAAATTACTGCACAAATATATGTTATGCTTGACATACATTATATATTATCAAACAAAAACACATTCTTCTTTTAAACTGTATCAGTCTTGTCTTTACAAAAATCTTTTTTAAAATTTGAACTCAAAATAATAATCTTTTTCATGATCTTTAATATACTTATTCTTTATTTTTCCCTAGATCATAATACCTACTTACGTGTTTGAATCTATCGAAGCTGAACCAACAACACTTGGAGTGGAGATTCCACAATATGAATAAAATAAACATAATTGTCCAGTTTTCATTAATACCATCATGAGAGAATATTATTTTTAAATTTACTAAAGATATTTTCAATAGAATTCTCTTGATTTATAACTCGTACCCACTTTTCTTGCTCTTCCGGACACTTTAGGCTGCCTAGTATAACTATCCTTTCCACCAGGAACACAACAAAGATGAGGCATAGCACCAAAAACACACTCCACTTAAGCTTTATTGATGAATTGTTAGAGTCTTAAAATACACACACAAAAATTACGATGAGTAAAAAATGTATGGGCACTTTTAGGTTAAATCACTTACACAACGTGTAATTTTTCAATTTTTTTATGCGAAACCGAGAGTGACCATATATCTGGTAGTAGTTTATGTCACTTAAACACCAAAAGTTTTTTGCACTACAATAATAAATAATACCATAAATCATAGAGTTAAAACCAAAAATCAACCGACAAAATATGAAACGGAATCTAACCCAATATCTAAGTATGTACAGCTGATGAAGTAAACAAAAGTCCGTCCCCAGGCTGAACTTTTAACAGAAGGCACTGATCCAAGAATAACATTATTAATCTGATTAGAACGATCGTTTTCAATAAAATGTTCTTCTTCTTCTTACAGTGCCATACTCTATACAGAGCGTCGGCTATATCTGGCATGTACTTGTGACACAGCTTACACACTATTATTAAATTTTAACTAATCAATCTGCATCGATCCACGCCCAAAAATCTTTCAATTCGGAATAAGTGAAAAATGTTCAATTTTGGCCTGCTTACTTTTTAGTATACATAGTTTGCCAAAAAAATACATACAGAGAAAGAAAAAAAAATAAAAACTGATTTTTTCCCCACTTAGCTGATAAATGAAAATCTACTTTAAATCATTAAATCTCTAAAACTATTGAACGAAAGTACATGATATCTCATCATTAAAAAAGGAATTGAAAGACCTTTCACATGAGGTATCACTCGGCCCCCCTTTCCATTTAAGAATTTAGGGGTGGCGCCGCCTTGGAGGTTATAGGTGTGAACGTGATTTTATGATATTTTCTTTTCCCCCTCGAAAACTAAATCGACGTGCCCGGGCGTTTTTCCAAATTTTAATTTTAAACGAGAAAAATTGGGGTGGAAAGTTTCCATTGGCCCACCCTGTATAAAAATAAAAACAAAAAGAATTACACGAATATCTCTCATAAAGGAAAGTGAATTTCACTTATACATGCTTTTATATCAGTAAAGAACCACAACTCACTTCAACAGTTTGGCAAGTAATGGCACCGACCCACTCTTCATCATCACCTGCACATTCTTCTTACTCCTAGACACCGACCACAACGCCCTAGCTGTTGCTCTAACCAAAGCCACTTGACCCAATTCGTTCTCACTCAATTGATCCTTGGGCGTCTTCAAGTGAATCTCGTTACAATCCAAAAAATCCACGAGCCTGGGTATCCCGTTGCACTGGCGGATATGCTTCCTGGCTTTCTTCACCTGGGCCACGTTGTATATGGTCTCTGCAACCAAGATCTGTAGGTCTCTGGCCGGTTCTGTTAGGTTTTTGACCAGAAGTGGTATTCCTCCGAGATTTGCTAGGCATCTGCGTATGTCTTGGTTTTGGGATAGTTCGGTAAGAACGCTGAGAGCGCCCAGTTTGCATTTCAGGTCTTTGGTTTCGAGGAGGTTGATTAAGAGTTCCAAACCTCCAATTTCCTGAAAGAATAATCGATAAGGTCGATGCATGAATACAGGAATCGTTTCCAACAAGTAGCGTTTCATTTTATACAGGATAGGCAAGTTTTTTGAAACACACTAGATTGAAAACTCTTTCGAAATATACCTGAATAGCTAGCTGATTTAACTCAGTGGTAAGATCATGGTCCTTGAGGCAACAAAGTGCCACAACGGTAGCTGTCTGATTGCCAGTCTTTAAGTATTTAACTAGTTTTTGAATATGCCAATATTCAGGAGGTATATCAGATTTGGGTCTTTCAGTTCTACCTTCATCTTCAGACGAAGATCTAGAAAAGAATAATTTAAAAGAATGTAGTGATGAGTGAGATTAGTTTATTAGGAAGAACGCCACCAAGAGGTCTTGCACAATAAGCAAGACCAAGTCCAGAACCCAGCTTGGAAGACTATTGCGGTTTTGCACTTTTTTTATTTTTTTATTTACCTACATCTCTAGGGATGCCATTGCCTACATCTCATTCTTTATGGATAAAGTAATTGAACAAAATAACGAAATTTTCACTTGATTACCCCTCCCCACTATTGATTTAATTTATTACAAACAGTGTTTTCATGACTTTTGCACAACATTTTTAAGAAAACAATGTTGATTCATTATACCGGGTGCGTCTCAAAAGTGGCTAACCTCTATAACTTTTTTATTTTTTCAGATAAAAAAACGAATTGTGGTCATTTGGTCAATCTAGATTTGGTATGTTATTATATGACATAAATTAGGATTGACGCTACAACTTTTGATTTTTAAATGACACCTTCTGTATTTTTTCCTTTATTCGAAGAAAATGACGCTCTCAATAGAATGACGTATCATATGTCTACTTTTAGCATTTTTATATATGGTTTATTTGAAATTGTAACATACAATTCACAACGACAAATTGACTCGAAATACCAAGTGTGTGCTACCAAAGTATTCGTAAAAAATGCTTTTTCCAAATATGCTAATGAGCCACCCTTGTTTCATTAAAAAAAAATTGGATATGATTAAAACAAGATTTGGCATCTTTTAACCGGCCAGGACAAGACACGAAACATATTAGACGAGCAAATCTATTTTTCCAAGGCTCCTTGATTAAAAATAGTCCTTTTAACATAGCCATGGCACTCTACATTGAAATTTAAAACACGATTTTTTTAAGCGAAAATTTCTATCGAATAAAGTAAAAATATACCGCAGGTGCCATTTAAAAATCAAAAGTTGTTGTTATTTCCGGTGAAACAGGAAGTGACCAAAAACGTCAATCAGTCCTAATTTATGTCATATACTAACATACTTAATCTCGTTTTTTTTTATCTGAAAAAATAAAAAGGTTATAGGGGGTCAGCCACTTTTGAGACGCCCCCGGTATATTGAAAAATAAAAAATATCATCAGACAAAATATTGTTTCATTCGTTGAAGTTTCATTTGCATTAAATTATCTAAAATACTATTTATTTGAAATTGTTGCTTTGTAAAAAGTACATCAAGTAAAAATCTATTAAAGCCTCTTGCCAGACTTGCAAAAGTCTTATTAAAATACTATTTATTTGAAATTGTTGCTTTGTAAAAAGTACATCAAGTAAAAATCTATTAAAGCCTCTTGCCAGACTTGCAAAAGTCTTGTAGCAAGACCAAGACCAAGGGAGTCTTGGTCTTGGTTTTGTATTTGCTCCTCCCTAAAAATAAGGAGCAAAATAAAACACTGGTTCATCACTATACACCAAAATTCTATATTTTTAACTACAGTGACATATACTAAAGCATTTTTCAGTGATATCAATAAGTTACTAAAAATATCTTTTTGTAAAAATTTAGATGAAAAACTAAAGAAAAAAAAAATACCCTGAAGCAGATGAACCTTCACTGTCTGGTTGTTCCTCGATAACCACTTCGCGTGGAATATACGTGCCTTGATCATCGCCAAAACCATCGATGCTCACGTCCGATGATTCCATATTCACGCTTTTCTATGTCTCCGTCACTTAAAACGTCATTTACATCATTTCCGTGTCACGAAATCTAATAGTTTTCTTTCTTTTCAGTTTAAAAGGGACATCAGCGATGTACTTCAGCCACACCATGACGAGCAGTTTCTACTCAGATGGTTACGAGGTGAGTACCTACTGAAAAATAAGAAACTATTATTTGGTATTAGAATACTTCAACACGAACTGAACGCAGTCCAATATGTACTAAAGAGAACTGGACTGATCATGGACTGATTTTTTTTATAAACCGATAAATTGACATAAAAACTGTTTATAATGTAAGTTGCACATTTTGTTTTAAGTTAATAATAGACTGAACAGTGGCTATGGACTGAACAATAATAGAATGAAAGGGGTCTTACATCCTCAGGCCAAGTAAAGGTTGATTCTCACTATACCTTCCGTTTCCATTCCATATCCATTACGTAAGCTTCCGTTCCGTATCAGTTCCATACTTTTTATTATACAGGGTGGCGCACGATGTATACCATGATAGCAAAGGGTCCCGGAGACGATCAATAATATTGTCAATAATATTGTCAATGGAAATAAAGATCAATCAATTAAGAACGAACTGATAAGACGTGTCAGAATCATATTGGCATCTAAACTCACATCAAAGAATTTATTTACGGCACTAAACACCTGGGCTATGCCTAGTATTGTGTACTCATTTGGTGTTTTGAAATGGACCCCAACAGACCTGAGGGGCATAGACACAAAAATCAGGACTCTGTTAACAAAATATCGATACCACCACCCAAAGTCCAGTGTGAACCGCGTGTATATACCAAGGTCAAGAGGCGGAAGAGGCCTTCTAAATGTAGAAAATTGCCACAATACACAAGTTCAGAAACTGAGGAACTACTTCTTGAGTAACAACTTACCGCTTCACCGTACCCTCCGAGATATTGACCAAAATTATTCCCCTCTTGACTTGATGAACCCCAACATCCCAACTGTACGAAGTTGGACGGAAATGGAAGAAGAGTGGGCCAGTAAAACTCTCCATGGCAGGTATAGAGCAAATTTAAAAAATACCACAGTTAGTATGCTGGATTCAAATACTTACCCAAAAGCGGGTTACCTGTTCCCAGAAACCGAAGGAAGTATACTGGCAATACAAGATCAAGTTGTCCCGACACTGAACTATAGGAAATATGTCTTGAAGGAGAGAGTTGAAAGTGATCTGTGTAGGAAATGCAAGCGTACAGCTGAGAGCATCCAACATATAACAGCAGGGTGTTCTATTTTAGCTCCAAGGCAGTATCTGGCACGCCATGATGAAATGGGAAAAATATACCATCAAGCTATAGCACTGGGAACTGGGCTAATGGAGGAAGGAATAGAATGGTACAAGTATAACCCAAAGGATATTCTGGAGAATGCTCAATATAAATTATACTGGAACATCACAATTATTACAGACCGATCTGTCCAGCATAATCGCCCTGATAAGGTGCTTTTTAAGAAGAAAGAGGAGGAAGCCACAATAATAGATTTTATAACACCATTAGACGAAAACGTCCAAAAAGCATATCTAGAAAAGAAACAAAAATACGAAGAACTGGCATATGAACTTAGACAGTTATACAAATTAAAACAAACAAAAATCTTACCTCTAGTGATATCCGTCAATGGCTTAATACATCAGCAAACTGTGCGACATACTAAAGATTTGGGACTATCGCCAAATGTTTTATCCACCGCTCAAAATGCTGTAACTCTGGGAACTGCACGCATAGTCAGATCGTTCCTTTAGGCGAACTAGATACTGCATTGGTTAATAACCCGGCTATCTCTCCAAGAACCCTGAAAGGTGATTTAAAAAAAATGTCAATGGTACTCATTGATGCACTTAATTTATCGTGTAGAAAGCGATTGACGCCATTGTCAATCGATTGACGGAGATTGATAGCATTTTTGATTGAAGCACATTGACGGAGATCATTTACACATCGCAATTGAACGTGTAATTGGGAAATTGACAGTCGTTCGGTCAGTTTTTTACCAGACGGCAACAATGACGGACACGGGTGATATGCCGCAGGGCTCTGTGGAACCCAAAAACATTAATCCTCAGGTTCACTATTTTGCAGAAATTATAGCAAATATGTTCATGGGTAAAGCGGCTTCTTAATTTATACTACTCTTTTGACCAGCGTCTCCTCCTCTTCGCTTTTTTCTTGGTTTTTTTGTCTGCAAATAGCTACAGTTAAGGCTAGAAAGGCCATATCTATATTTGACATCATTATATAAATAATAAACCACCCGACTAGTAAGAAATTAATTTAACAACTAAGTATTCATGTGTTCATTGAACCTCCATCAATCGCAATTGCAATTAAAATCATCAATTTTATTGACAATATTATTGACCGTTTCCGGGACACTTAAGACCTATGATTACCTATGGAGCAGTACAAAAATACCTATGGTGAAGTACACAAAACTAGAGCAACGTACAGCAAGGCAAAACCTGTGCAAAGTACAGCGACTGGCATGTATCTGCATCACAGGTGCCATGAGAACATGTCCAACAGCAGCAAGGGAGGTCGTTCTAGACCTAACACCACTGCACATTGTCGTCGGTAGTTATGTGACAATGGAATGTTCATTGACGGAAACAGTACTGGGAGAGTTTTTAGGTCAGGGGCTTGGAACACCCTCAAAAAGAAAATTCCACTTCTTCAACTCCCAGTGGATGACATACCAAGAATTTACGACTTTGAGAAACACCTCATTGTAGTATTGAGTAATAAAAAGGTTTGGAAGGAAGAAACGCTTACTCAGCATGTAAAAGACCATACCATATCTTGGTATACTGATGCTTCCAAAACCAAAGCAGGGACAGGGGTTAGGCAAAGAAAATAGTGTCCTCCTACTCTGGGTACCTGCTCACCAAGGGATAGAAGGCAATGAAAAAGCAAATGATCTACTTAGCTAGAAAAGAGGCGTGCACTGCCCCACTAACTGGGCCAGAACCGTTCTGTTTTCCAAACGGGAACCAACTGAAAGCGGAACTAAAGAATCTGGAAGACTCCATCCGTAACTTGAAATGGGTGTCCTCCAACGGTCTAAGACACTCGAAAAAGTTCATCAGAACTTACGACCGAGAAAAATCAAATGTTTTCCTTGGGTTAAGTAAAAACAATCTTCGGATTGTCACGGGGTTTCTAACAGGACACTGTCTCCTCAACGAACACCACAGTAGGCTGAAGCTGAGAAACAACAGCGATTGCAGGTTCTGTGGGGAAAATAGGGAAACACCAGAACACCTTATCACTGAGTGCGCCGAGACGAAGACCATTCGTGCCATGAACTTTGGTACGGCTGATGTCGAGGATGAAGAGCTGGTCTCTGTGGAGCCGTCTCAGATACTGGCTTTTGTTAAAGCCCTGAGACTGTATGATGAGTTATAACTCGTTATAAAAAAGTAAAAGAAACAAAAGTAATGATACCCAAAAATAACGTCTGTGATGGATTTTGTTTCTTTCAATGTGGTAGACAATGATTCAGTACTGAAACTAAAGGAATTTCGGTCTTCCATTGTCTTTATTTTTACTTACACAGCGTTTCGGGTCACAGATATATCACTGACCGTTATCAAGTGTGAATTAATCTAAATCCTAAATCCTAAAACTACTGAGGATATAGCAACCCGTGAAGTTGTCCACTGAGAATACCCGCATTGGTATGTTTTATTATTATTCCTAGATACCATATTTTTGTATTATTATTACTAGATATGAATTTGCAGTTGTGACGTGGAACCATAGAGTTAAAAATTAATGTGGAACCATGCAGGAAGACACGCATGGTCTGCAATACCTGACTTCTTTGTTTCACCTCTTTGCATTTGTTTTTTTATGTTCGTTAAGTCGTATGTTTAAAGAATGTTTTGTCCCTCCAATATACGACTCACAGTAATCACGAGATAACTCGTAGATGCACTCTTTCTCTTATTGTTTTGATCATTCCGCTTTGTTTTTGTTAACATTCCTTAGAGTAGTCCCAGACTTAAAAACAGTGTTAATTTTATACTTCTCGGCTATTCGCATGATCTTTTCTGATATTCCTTTCAAATATGGAATGGTCAAGATAGAGTGAGTATCTTCCTGAGGCTGACGCACCAATGATTCAGTCTTGCAATTGGGTATAATCTTGTCGAGGAACTTCGCAGAGTAACATTTATGCCCTTTATGTATTTTAACAACTATATTAGTCTTCTTGTGAACTAGAAATTAACTTTTGTATTTTTTTATTTAGCTAGATCCTGGGATAGTGAAGCGGCTGCAAAAATGCTTAAACAAGTAAGATATTATTATTCTTATTATTTTATTATATATGTTAATAATGTTCTATCCAGAGTATGAAATGGAGACAGCAATGGGAAGTCGACACGACGCTCAAAACATGGATCCCACCTGAACCAATCCAGGTGTACCATCCGAGTGGAACTTGCGGTGAAGATAAAAATAGTTCACCCAGTAAGTTCCTTCTGTTTTTTGCTACATACACCCTGTACTTTGGTACCCAGTAACGGTCCTATGAATTTTTTTTCTTTAAAATTTCCTGTATACTTTAGAAAACTTTTTAGAGCTGCAGGTTCGTCATAAATATATGCCCAATTTTAGATGTTTGTTTCGAGTAGTGATTTTTAAGGAAATAATTCACTTTCGTGTTAATATCAGTGGCGGCTTAACTATAAGGTTAAATGGCCAATGTGCCCTCCCCCCTCCCCAAAAAAAATCAGAAGAAAATTAGGAAAAACGTATTTAAATTATACTTTTTGTAAATAACTTTCTACTATTTTAAAATTCTACTATTTTTTCATCCTAACTATTCCCAAAAAAAATCAATTTGTCCAATTTTCGCTTCAAAACATATTTTTTTTGCCCATTTTCTCTACTGCCGGTCAGCATATACAGGGTGCTACAAATTCGAGCTACGAGCATTGGTATTTCGGTAACCGTAATAGATACGAACATGATTAAATTGGGGCAAAGTTGCGCTTTAGGATGTTCACCAACACGCCATCAAAAAAGTTTTAAAAATTTCAAGGATTGCCGAGTTTTTTGGAAAAAACGTTTTTTTTGAAAATCAATTTAATTTTTTCCTGTCGTTACTTTTTAGAAAATCAAAAAACTAATTGCACATTCTCATAGCCACTTTATTAGAGCTATCTGATGGTATTTTTAGATTTTCAAATTAGCTTATAATTTGTGAGATACAACGGCCAACTTATTTTTTTTAAATACGGACCTGCATTTTTTATTTGAGGTTTTGAAAGAACTCGGTTTCCTGAGTACAATGATATGCCACACTTGATACTTTTTTTTTGTTTTGGGTGCCTTAACAATAACAAAACTATTTAATAATTGGATTTAAAATAATTTCAAATCCGGCTCTGGTTTTTTAATTTATTTAATATGATTATATTCATCACAACAATATTGATCAGCGCTAATTAACATTGAATAAGGAAAATCAATAAAAATTGCTTTGGACATTTGAAATCAATACATTTCAACATTAAGAGTATAAAAACAATTAACGAGTAATAAAAAACAATTAAAGAGTACAAAATGCATTCGGAAGTATTAGAAGAAGGTCTGTTCAAAGAGCTATAAATAAGATTGAACGAAAAACAAATGTGTGCATTATGGAGGGTGATAACCCTTTCGAACATGCAGAGCATTAGAAACTAGTTTGGAGAAGTTGATTTATTTATAATAACTACGATTAACATAATGCATATTATTAGATCGTACACTGAGATTTCAAATTCACAATAAAAAAAGTTAAAAATAATAGATAACTTTAAATTGCCTGACCTGAATATTAATTATTAGAATCTTTCAATTCGCGTGAGTATTCAATGTTAATTAGCGCTGATCAAAATTGTTGTGCTGAATATAATCAGATTAAATAAATTAAAAAACCAAAATCGGACTTCCAATTATTTTAAATAACAGTTAAATAGTTTTGTTACTGTTAAAGTAGCCAAAACAAAAAAAAGTGTGGCATATCATTGTACTCAGAAGACCTAGTTCTTTCAAAACCTGAAATAAAAAATGCAGGTCCGGATTTAAAAAAATTAAGTTGGCCTCTGTATCTTACAAATTATCAGCTAATTTGAAACTATAAAAATACCATCAGATAACCCTAATAAAGTGGCTATGAGAATGTGCAATTAGTTCTTTGATTTTCTAAAAAGTAACGACAGGAAAAAATAAAATTGATTTTCAAAAAAATCCGTTTTTTCCAAAAAACTCAGCAATCCTTGAAATTTTTAAAACTTTTTTGATATCATCTTGGTGAAGATGCCAAGGAGGGGTAACTTTGCCCCAATTTAACTATCTTCGTATCTATTACGGTTTCCGAGATACCAATGCTCGTACCTCGAATTTGTAGCACCCTGTATATGCATTTATATTTTTGTGACATTATTATTTATGTGTATTTTAAATCCTACAGTGGAAAATTTGTGTAAAGAACATTGACTGGATTTTTAGTGAAATGGCACTAGACCACCTGTTTAAAAATGTAAGGGTAGGTTTCATTTTAACAGAATATATATTAATTTTTAGATTTATTTTCCTTTAACAAAACGTACAAGTACCTTGTAAGAAAACAATTAAATTTGGGCGCGTCTTAAAAAAAATCGACGCAATACTTTTAGATTTTGACCCCGAGCCGCCACTGGTTAATGTGCTAAATCCGCTAAACCGGTGGTCCTCAAAATTTGACTAATTTTAAAAACCACTAGATCTCTCTTATTGTTTTAGATGTTTTATTAAATTACATGTTATAATAATTATTACAACAATATAAATATAAATTGATAGGACATAAAGATAATCGAATTTTTAATTGTTTTTCAGTTATTGTGATACCGTTTGCTGGCTTCGACATTGCTGGATTGCTTCACGCTGTCAGCAAACAAGACCTAATACGCGTCACCATACAAATAATAGAAAAGAATCTAAAAAGAGCCAAGGAGACTGGAGCGAATAACTTAATCGTTATTTTCGACATGGAGGATTTTAATATAAGACAATATGCTTGGAGACCAGGTACCTAGTGATATTAAAGAATAGAGTGTTTTTAAGTAATATTAATAATATACTAAGTCATAAGTAATTTTAAGTCATATTTTATTTAAATTTCAGCTGGGGAATTAGTCATAGCCTTAATACAAATGTACGAAGCAAACTATCCTGAAATACTAAGAGCCTGCTATATAATAAATGGTGTGTATTAAAATAATAAAGAATAAGAGAAAGCAGACGTTTTATCAAGAATTACATTTTTTGAACAGATTAAAAGTAATTTTTTAAACTATCTTTGTCTTAATATGTTCAGCATATTATATACTGATTGGCAATAAAAGGAGAATACTGTAGAAAAAAGGCCAAAGCTTTGGATTATCACCATACGCATACCAATTGGCATTCCATGTTCTTTAAACGACTGATCTACAAAGGCGCGGGTGCTGACAATTCAATCTCTAAGAGCCAAACTGATCTTGAAGAGCTGTGGTTCCTCTGAGACCACCCCCTCACTCTATAATCTTTCCCTCCTTGAGCTCACGCCCGACAACACCGTAGTACCTGTTGGTTCTTCTGGAAATTTCCAATACCGACAAATCTGCCTCACAGAACCCAACAATTCCACCCCTGTCAAAGTCACTAAGCTGGGTGTCCGAGCAATTCTACGCACTCTAGGCATTAAAATTACTTCAGAAAAAAACTTTGCAACAAACCTTGCTAACTCTACGGTTAAAATGTGACCGTAAATTCGCGAAAACCGCATGGTACTGTGTCAGTTATAATGTCTAATGCAGATGAAGTGAAATATCGAAGAGATAAGCTTATAAATTTACCACTTTTTGTTCAAGGCAAGATAAAGCAGTCAGCAAACATATATCGAATTCTGACAAAACATATACAGGGTGAGTCTTAAATAAGTGCAAATATTTTTCAGGGGTGGTATATTTCGACCCCAAGAACACGTCTATGAGGGTTTTTTTCGCTAAAAAAAGGTGTTGAAAATCGCGCATTTTCTTTTCAATCTCCCTGTATATTTTTCGAAAACTTTTTAGAACTGCTTGTTCACCGCAAATTTTGCCACGGTATAACTCCTTAATCTTAGATATTACCATAGTTACGGCTTTACTCTATGGTTACGGCTTTTTATTCTTAATCTAAGGTTACGGCACTAAAAGGGATGCAAATACAGAAAAAAGTCGGTGGCTCTCAAAATTTTTACAAAAAAATCATTTTTTTTTAAATTTTCAAACTTAAGTAACTCGGTTATTTTGGACTTATCTGAAAAATGGTAAAGAGAAAATATGTTTCTTTTATCGAGATCTACCAGCCCTGAAAATGCACTTATTTAAGACTCCTGTATATGTCACTGTTCACCCTGTATATATATGTGTTCACATTTTTTTGTCACTCAGTATATTATATCGCGGACAAACAAAATAAAGACAATCATAACCATAGTAATTATGATTCCAAAAATAGATGAAAAATTGTATATTGTTTTATTAGGAGTAAAAATGATTTGACACTAGAATGAATTGACACTTTTTGTGGCGAGGCTGTACGTTTAACGCTCGTTGAATTTGACACTTTATGTCAGTTTAATAATATATTTTCGTACTTTTATTTTGACTTTTATGCTTGGGCATTAAAATGATGTTTCTATATTGTCAATCACATCGCAAAAATTAATACGTTTGTGACGTTTGAAAAAAAAATATTTGTGAATGACAATATAAAACATATTTTAATGCCTAGGTGTAAAAGTAAAGCAGTTTTATGTTATGATAACAGTTATATATGATATATATGCAGTTTATGATATTAATAATCAATGGCCTAAGCACAAAAGTACAGAAATATATTTTTAAACTGACATTAAGTGTCAAATTCAACGAGCATAACCATAGTTTCTCGATGTACATGGATAGTTACTTAAGCTTCATTCAGAACCTCGCAATTAGTGGAATAAATTAGTGGTTTACACTCTATACTTTTTAGTTTACGATCATTCACAATGTCTAAAACACAATTAAAATCAAAGATTAAAATTATTAGAATATCCTAGCAACAGCTTGCACTAATCAGTTGTATTCACAAAACATCCCCCTTTAGAACTTCGTCTATCATGTTAAGAAATGAAAGTAAATAATAAAGCGCCCCACTCGTGTTTGTTCGCCCTCAAAAAATTTCAATTAATGCCTGTATATATTTTTAATATATTTTTTAATTTACATTTTTTTAATTGTAAAGTAATATATTACATTTAAATGGAATACATTACATAACAATCATGTTAATTACAGGATTACAAGCTTGTTTTCTAACATTTTTTAAATAAAACGAATTATAAATTTTCAATATATGTATATTTGTCGTAGGTATGAAAAAAGTAAAATATAAAATGGACAAACGCTTACTTACATTGCAATAAAACTTCCACTTTTAGTTTTGCAATCCAAACGCAAATAAAATATCTGAAACACTAAAATCACTGAAACTTCCGCGGCTGACAACGAAAACTGAAAAATATAACGGCACTTTTTGTTTTGGACCTGCATATCAACATTACGCTGTACTATTATGTGTTTGTTGTTGAAATAATATAAAATATCTAATTATAACTTGTAAATTTTAATATTTTAACATGATTTTAACTACTTTTGACAATAACTAACTTTTTGTTATCAAGATGACATTTTAGACGGCAACTGACATATATGTCATAATATTTGAATCTTAAATATGTATGTAATATAATTTAAATTACTATAATGCAACTTTATACTAAGAAAACATTTATACATTCACAAAATACAACAAAGTCTAATAATATAGTTTGAAAACAATGAATATTGAATTAAAATTGAAAAAGTTAAGCGCGACCCCTTGTGTCAAAATTAGGTGATTAAATTTTCGGTGACCAGTGGCGCCTCTAGTGTTTGTTCGGGAGGTTGGACTTTTACTCCCGCTTATGGCCATTAAAGAAAAAGTTCTAAAGGGGGATGTTTTGTGGTTGTATTCATAGAGAAAGCCTAATATTTAGCTTATAAAAAAATAAACTTTTGGTTTCTAATGGTTTCTAACCATTTACTCTTGACGGATGATAATCAAAGGCCAAAATGACATTCCTCGCAAGTTTTGAAGTATAATTAGTGGAAAAGTCAAAAGTTTGTTAACTTTTTCCACTAATTGAAAATTCCTACCACTAATTTTGACGTTCTGAATGCTTACATTCAAATTAGAGAAACCCCTAATTTATTCTACTAATTGCGAGGTTCTGAATGAAGCTTTACAAGATATTAATTTTAAATGTTTTTTATATGATTTGCAACGTTTGAAATTGTTTAAAAAATTGTTTGTGAACGTTCGAAAAAAAAATAGCATGTTCTATTTGGAGTAAAAATGACTTTTTGTGCCTGTAATGTGAAACGTACAACCTTGCCACAAATAGTATCATTTTTACTCCTAATAAAACAATATACTATTATATTTTATTTTAGCCCCCAGTGTATTTGCGATAGCTTTCAACATAGTAAAGAGATTTATGGATGAATACACTCTGAGCAAAATACAGATTTTCAAAAAGGACCCAAAAAAATGGAAGGCTGCGTTACTGGAGAATATTTCTGAAGATAATTTGCCAGTATATTTGGGTGGAACCTTAACAGATCCTGATGGGAATCCCAGATATACCACTAAAGTAAGAATGTAGTTAGAGAAAAAAATATGTTTATTCTGTATTTGCTAGATACTACATATCTTTGATAAAAATAATAGTCTTTTCTAAACTACTCGTTCTAAGCCCCCCTCTCCCCCCAGCACCCCTCCCCCCAGCACCCCTCGCCCCCCAGCACCCCCTCGCCCCCTAGTTGCGCCACTCCCTTTCATCATACCTAAACGACTAAATGTGTTAAATTTTTATTATTTATTTTAGATTAAGCAAGGAGGTAAAGTTCCTAAAGAAATGTACAGCAAAGAGCTTCAAGATTCTAATACTTACAAAGATTTTACCACGACGGTTGTACGAAAAGGCGATAAGCATTCTTTAGATTTTATGGTCACTGAGGACAACTGTTTTCTAAGGTAAACTGCAGACTATTAATATACAGGGCGCTTCTTAAATAAGTATTTTAACTGATAGTATCTCCCTAGTGTTTCTCCGGCGATAAAAAGTTATGAGATTTAATTTCTTCTAAAATCAATGCGAGAATAATTTTTAGTTTAAGAAAAATCAGAGGTATACTATTTTTTTTTTCGACGAATTCCATTTTTTTGCTTAAATTTTGAGGTAAAAGTTTTGGGGTAAATCGGATATTTTTTGGGTTTTCTTTCTTGTAAATTTAATCTATTACCTATGTTGCCATATTATCACTTTTATAGAATTACTTTTAAATATTTTTTATATTATTTGCAAGTTGCCGGTTTAAGTTGTCTAAAAAATAAAATTATTTGTGACGTTTGAGAAAAAAAATAGCATGTTCTATTCGGAGTAAAAATAATTTTTGGTGCCTCGCTTGTAATGCTATGCGTATAGCCTCACTTGAGCCTCACAAAAAAAGTATCATTTTTACTCCTAATAAAACAATATACTATTTTTCTTAAAATTTTGACACCCTGTATTTCGAAAACGAAGTATTTTAGAACAAGTTTATAAGAACTTTTTTATCTTAGGCATAAAATTAAAGTACACTTACGCCAAAGTAAAAAAGTGTACAATTACAAGGTATTACTTATAATATTATACCGGGTGCGTCTCATAAGTGGCTGACCCCTATATTTTTTTATTTTTTTCAGATAAAAAAACGAGATTTGGTATGTTAGTATAGGACATAAATTAGGATTGATTGATTTTGATTTTTAAATGGCACCCTCGGTATTTTTGACACTCTGAACAGAATGACATATCATATGTCAACTTCATTTTCGCTTATAAAAAATCGTATTTTAAATTTCAATCTAGAGTGCCATGGTTATGTTAAAAACACTAATTTTTAATTAAGGAGCCTTGGAAAAATAGATTTGATCGTCTAATGTTTTTAGTGTCCTGTCCTGGCCGGTTAAAAGATGTCTAAATTGTATTTTTAATCATATCTCAATTTTTTTGAAATGGAACAAGAGTGGCTCATTAGCATATTTGGAAAAAGCATTTTTTACGAATAATTTGATATCACACACTTGGTATTTCGAGTCAAATTGTCGCTATGAACTGTATGTTGCAACTTGAGCCACTTTTGAGACGCACCGGGTATACGAACGTTTCAAATTGTTTAATAGTATATTGTTTTATTAGAGTTTTATTAAAAAGTAATTTTTACTCCGAATAGAACATGCTATTTTTTTCAAACACCACAAATAAGTTTTAAACAATTTCAAACGTTCCAAATAATATAAACATATTTAAAAATCATACCTTGTATGTAATTATATATCGAGAAACTATGGTTACGCTCGTTGAATTTGACACTTTATGTCAGTTTAATAATATATTTTCGTAGCACTTTTACACCTAGGCGTTAAAATACCTTTTTATATTGTCAATCACGTCAAAAAATAATAGTTTTGTGACATTTGTAAAAAAAAATTATTTGTGATGTTTGAAAACAAATGCTATTCGGAGTAAAAATACAGAGTGGCGGCGCCGCGGAGGCTCCAAGGAGAACGCCAATTTGTATTGAAATGAAATTTTGTGAGCGTATGTAGGTTAATTCACAGCACTTTTTAAAAATATAGAGAGTTCTACAGGGTGTCCCCCAAAAAGTTACATATCAAAGTTGTGTTTTTTGTAATGGAACACCCTATAAGGAGTAACTTGCTTTTAAAAGTGACTAATGTTCCATATTAATTTTGTCTCACCCTGTATAACTCTTCGGGTCAAATTTCAGTTTAGTTTAGCATACAATGGATACTGTAATTAAATATCAGGCTATACAAGGTCAACTAAAATTCAGGTAGCTGTAATCGAAATTTCAAATTTACTCTTCATTTTTACAAAATGTGAATTATGTCAAAATTCTTAGATTTGAGGTATATGCTTCTTCAATAAAACTCACCTTTATTTTTTTCCTAAAATCCGAAAATCAATTAATATATAGGGTGTTCCATTAGAAAAAACACAACTTTGATGTGTAACTTTTTTTGGAGACACCCTGTATAATTCTATATATTTTTATAAAATGCTTTCAGTTAACCTACATATGCTGCCAAAATTTAATTTCGATATTAACTACCGTTCTCCTTTGAGCTTCCGTGAATTTACTATTTTACTGACCTGGCTCTATTACCTTTAATTCTCTTTTTTCGCCACTTATCACCAAATTTGTATTTTTCAGGTGGCAATTCAAGACGGAAGGGCACGACATTCGTTTCGGTATCACCCTTAAGGACCTCGAAGGCAACACTAGCTCCGTAGTGCGGCATTCGCGAGTTTCCTCCCATCAGATCGACGAAGTTGGTGTTTTGGCGTGCCAGTCACCGGCCACCTGTAAGTTTCTGGCAAATTCCTTTACCGCACAATGTAGACCAGACCTTATTTTACGAGGGTCCGTTTCAAAGTTATTACCTTTGATTGAAACAATTGAGAAGATACCCTAGATCATATATACTTACGTGGATAAATCAACGTCATAAGTTTAGCATTAAAAAATATGTTTCCAACATTACGACATCCAAAGTTGCACGTATTTCCAAAATAATCACAATTTTATACGGTTTAAGCTTGATTTTCATGCATCCGTTGTCCGACGATACGTTGATACGATATTAATTTTATTGGTAGAATTTACAGACTTTGATTGGTAAGAAAATAACGCAGTTTTTAAATTTATTGCATTTTCATGCCTCCGTTTATCGGATTTTGTATTTTACTAAGAGTGAGTCCCAGGTGGGACCCTCCACTGAGGCCGCGAGGGCCTATTGTGGCTCAGTTTCTACAAGCTCTTTAATAGAAAAGAGCATTAAAGTTCGCCCTCAAGACCCAGCCTTTTAACATAGGCCGTTATGTCCGAGGGTGATATGTCTTCTAGGTCTGATAAGTCTAGCGTGGGTTTGCCAAACACTTCAAACCTGGTCCTGCCCCCAGCGGGGCAGGTACACATAATGTGCTTCATTGTTTCGTCATCTTCCATACAGAGTCGGCATTCGGCGTCTTCCACCAGTCCCATCCTCTGTAGGTGTGATCTCAGCCGGCAGTGGCCCGTGTATACTGCAGTAAGCGTACGCGCTCCGTTCCTACCAGCCTTTAGGAGTTCATCTGTTCTACGTTTGGATGGCCCTGCTAGGATTGTTTTGGCATGTTCCATTCCGGGACTGTCATACCAGTCTCGAAGCGTTGCGAGATTTTTTGGTACGCTAAGTGTCGGTTCTGGGCCCACGAATGGTGAGCCTGCACCAGTTTTGGCGAGGGAATCAGCACGTTCATTTCACTCTAGGCCGACATGTCCCGGTATCCATATTAGCGACACTTTGTTTCCATCTCCTAATATATTGAGTAGTTTCTTACAATGAAGAATCGTCCTGGACGTACTTTTCGTTGCCTCAAGTGCTTTCAACGCGGCTTGACTATCCGAAAATATGCTTATTGTTTTCCCGGTGTATTGCTGTTCTACCAGCAGTTGCACACAGGTTTCAATCGCATATAGCTCAGCTTAGAAAATAGTGGTGTGTTTTCCAAGACTCTGGTAGATCTCAGTCTTTGGACTGCTGCAGTAGATTCCTGCGCCAGATCCTTTAGCGTTTTTGGATCCGTCCGTGTACCAACACATTTCCGCAAATAATAAGCCGTTTCTCGGCTTATCCCATTCGTCCCTATTCGGAAACAGGACGTTGTAGGTGCGCGTCAAGAGTTGGATTGGTGGTGTGAGATCCGAGACCATTCCCAGAATCTCATCCGATTGTAGTTCGTTTATCGGATAGACGTTGGTGTTATTTTATATTTTCGTTTCCATAACGATTTTGCTATTTTACTTATATTTTTATTATTGTTAGAATAAATTTGTCAAAAAAGTACCAAAACGTCCGTTGACGGGCTGAAGTAAAATATTTACGGATGAAAAGTGGCGCGAAAACGCTATGACCAATCAGAGCGCCGTCGGACCATCGTATCAACGGATAACGGACGCATAAAAATCAAGCTTTAAAACTTTGGTTTAGAAAGTACCCCTATCATATGTTTATTATTACATTATTACGTGGATAAGTAAATCACTATGGAAACTGTCTCACAAACATATCAACGACTTCCATTTATCTTCTTTTTTTGTTGCACACGCGTAGTGATGTTAATATTTCAGAAATTTTTGATTGTTGCAGGAAATTTTGGGAAATTTTACAGTTTTACATATTTTTTGTTGATACAATAAAGGAATAAATTATGTAGATAGACATTTGATACCAACATGTAAGTGGAAAAAAAAACAATAAACATAATATTAGTTGTTATATTTTTAATAAACAATACATAACTCATAAAAGTCATAAACATAACACATAACAACAATCATTTGGTAACATTTGTACTTTGTACTTAAACTATGAACTATGACTATGAACTTAAAAAAAAAACAAAAAAGCACGAAATATAAATTTAAAAAACGTAAAACACAAATAACTGAATTATTCTATTCCGGAATACTTTCAGGCCCCGAGCTGGTCCCATCTTCATAGGGTATTATAGTAGTAGTAGTAGTACAGTCTTCGTCAGTTTCTATTTCCAAATCAGATATATTTGATGTATCATCTGGTTCTGATTCTGAAGGATGGATCTCTATCTCTACGTATTCTAGTGGTTCTGGAGGAGTTTCATGTTGTTGAATATCAAGCTCCATAATCACTTTTTGTTTTTGTAGTAATAATTTATTGTTATGAGCTACGAACATTATTTTGCCGGCTCTTTGTACAGTTAAGCGATTCCTTTTTTTAGTATGGATAAAACTGTAAGTACTGAAACTTCTCTTAGTGGCTGCAGATGACGTTGGTAAGGACAGCAGAGCAACAGCTAAATATTTCAACTGAGTATTTTTACACATTGCTTGTCACCAACTTAGACAGTCTACATCAAAGTCTACATTTTTAACTGACATCCAAACGTAGTCGAGAGCCCATAAACCCGATTTGGCGCAATCATTTGTTACATCTGTAAAAATGGCTTCTTTATTATTGACAAACTGAGGATGTTTGTTGGTGATATTGTTGATAAATTCCATAGCGGCTATGTGTTTCTTCATTGTTAAGGTGCTCTCCCAGGAAAGAGAGGGGTCCAAGAGATTCGCGGCAAAATGCATTGGTTTAAGAGCCATACGTTTTCTATTTTGTAAGGCGAAAAGCATTCTTTTTTTTCTGATTTAAGAATAGGCATACTTGATACACTTTCGTTAAATTTTTGTTCAATGTCTTGAATTTCGAAAAGAAATTTCTTGCAAAATTCGGATTTTTGCGAATATTCGCGATTTTGGGATCGAATATTTCGAAAATTTCTGAAATTTCCTGCAAAATTCGAATGGAAATATTCGCTACCTACCAACATCACTACACACGCGGTGCTTCTACTCTGTCTATCTTTGTCGAGGACCAATCGTCCACGCGCCACATTTGAACATTAATTTTAAAAATTTAATTTGTTAAATGCATATATTGAAAAAATTGTTGATTTTTTTCTTAAAAATCAAAACGCGTTTCTATAATGGTACCTAATTTAACTTCGTTTTCATTCTTTGATAGATTGATATTCATAGAATTTTAATTAACGTCATATTTTTTGTTGTTTTAAAATGTTAAAGAAGCACAAAATTTATTTAGTTCAATACTATGGAAAGGGTGATGATAGTTATCGGAAAATCTGATACTTTAACAACAGCAAAGAATACGATGCTAATCAAAATTACTAATAACTATCAATCAAAGAATGAAATGGATTGATATTACCATAGAAACGCCTTTTGATTTTCAGGACTTTAGGAGAAAAAAAATATGAAAAAAAATCAACAATATTTTCATGTTTTTCTTAACTTCCTCTAAAACGGTATGAAAATTTGGAAAAGTATAAACGGGATTAACCATTTACAGAACAAGCAAAAATTTTTAATTTTTCTCAAAATGTCAATAATAAAAAAGTTTTTCCTCTTGTAAAGACAATCCGGGGACATACTGTATATTGAAAATTTATTCGTGCTAAACATAGAATAAACAACAAAAATATTTTTTTTATAGGTACTGAATATATCGTATGATCGAAAAATGTTGTTGAAAAATATGAATAATTATACAACTGAAGAATAAAATATTTAAGTGGTATAAAGGAAATCGTCTATAGGTTATTGAAGGTTTTTATTTTTTGTATAATATATTTAAATACACCGTTACAAGTGGCAGAAAAAAAAATGCTTGGAGAATTTGTTGCAAACTTAATGCTGAAATTTTAAGTCATATATTCCAGAATTATTGGACGGGGGGTGAAAAGCGTAGGGCATATTTTTCCATTTCATTTTTTCCATAAGAAAGAGCAAGTACCGTATTTTCGCAAAATAAACGGCGTCAAGTTAGTTTGGAAAATACGTTCGATGGTATTTCCCATATAAAACAGCGATTTCCAAGCTAATTTAACATTTTGAAATCGGACAAAAAATTAGTCAACTTGTATTGCTGGTTGCATACGATCAACCCCAGCCCTACTTATATTCATTCTACACCTATGATCTAGGATTCTACCCTGATTATTCTACCAATATAGGTACATAGATACCATAGTAACATAATATAAGGAAAATTATAGTATATAACTTCTTAAAAAATTATGCATAATAGATATGTTTTATACCATTTACAGATACTGTTACTTTTGACAACAGCTACAGCCTTTTAAGAAGCAAGAAAATCCAACACTGTATTTTTATTACCCCTCCTGTCCGAAAAGTAGACATATCTCCTACAGAAAATGAAGAAATTGCTCTATGCAAGGAAATAGAAAAACTAGATGTATAGTTAGAAATTCTTAAGCAATAGTTAATATGAAATTATAAATAATCTTAGATGTATAGGTCTGTATGTGTTGTATATGTTGAAACTATGAGACTAGTATTTCTACTTTATTTTTTATAAAGAATGATTTTATCTATGAAAGCGTTTTATTTCATCATAAAATTTAAATATTTCATAAAGAAAATATTACTTTTATAATATATGTATAAATCCACCTTTAATGAAATGTCAAAGTAAACACCAATATTGATTCACTAGTGTTTATTAAAGCTTATGTTAAATCTGGAGTTCAAAAATAGAATTTTTTATGCTCAATCATCGTCATTGAAAATCATTTCTACTAACTCAGGCTTTTCCAGTTGTTCCCCGTTGAGTCTTTGTGGCTTATTCCATCTTATCAGTGTTGGAACAACTAATAATTTTGTTCTGGCGTCTTTTCTAAATCCACAGTTTGGATCTTTCCACCTAAAACCATATTTGTGTCGATAATGTAATTCTAATCAATTAAAAATATAAACTTACGTTTCTCTATCTCCTACTTCTACAGTAATAAAATGTGAATCTTCCGGAAGTTGTGATATCTGTTTTTCCACTATAGGCCAAGCTAAAAAATATCCTTATTCTATAAAAAAAAAACTATTCAGTCTACATTAATTTTTAAAATGTTCAATAAAGGTTTTAATATACATAAAAAAGAGTGTAAAACAATAAGTAGAAAAAAAACGTAAATCCTAAAAGAAATTCTTCATTTCTTTAAAAGCAATGAACTAAATTTTGTCTAAAATGAGACATATGTTCCCAAATTAACTGGTAAAATTAAAAATACAATTAATAAATTAAAATTTACCTTTGACGCAGTCAGGACACCAACTCTCTCCAGAGGGTAATTTTGAACCGGTGAAATAAACGTGCACCAATTTTCCACTTGCTTCAAACTTGTCGAAGAATTTCGAAAATTCTTCGTATCCTGCTAAATGTACTTTGACGACCATATTAATAATAACGCCCTAACGCGAGATAACATAAATGATAAATAAAAAACCGACGATTTCCAATCTCTATTTATGCCAAATATGACGTTTCAACATCTGTTTTGAGTGTTGCCAGTTGTATTATGGTTGTATCAGTGCCTTCTATTAAAAGATCAGCCTACGGGCGAGATTTGTGACGTCACGCTAGTTAGATATAACGGATTAATAAATATGTTGTAGAATACATGGAAAACATAATTATTCCTCAGATTTTTGGTTTGTATTTTAAAAATGATATAGTTTAAATGAAATATACATAATATACAGTTAATAACTACAACATATATACCTATTTATAGTAATAAATACTTTGGCAAATAAACTATAAACCATACAAATGCAGCAAATATTTTACAATGTACAAATAATGTACTTTGATCTAAAAAACGGCGTCCATAAATTTTTTATTTATCGTGATTTTTGTGTGTGTTTTTAAGACTCAACAATTCATCAATAAAGCTTAAGTGGAGTGTGTTTTGGTGCTATGCCTCATCTTTGTTGTGTTCCTGGTGGAAAGGAAAGTGGGTATGAGTTATAAATCAAGACAATTCTATTGAAAATATCTTTAATAAATTGAAAAATAATATTCTCCCCAGAATGGTCATTTCAGAAATCTGGCTAACGCTATTTTTTTTTATTCATATTGTGGTATCTCCATATCAAGTGTTGTTATTAGCTTCGATAGATCGCAAACACGTAAGATAAACACGTAAGTATGTATTATCATAGTCAAGGGAAAAATAAAATAATATGTGTATTAAAGATCATTAAAAAGATTATTATTTTGAGTTCAAAATTAAAAAGGGCTTTTTGTAAAGACAAGAATGATAAAGTTTATAAAGAAAGAATGTGTTTTTTTAATTTTTAATATAATGTATGTAAAGTCATAACATATATTTGTTTTTTAATTTTCCATCAAAAGTACGGATTATTTATAATACCAAATTAGCCAAATATTTAAAATTGTAGAATACAATATCAGCAACAAAATAACAATAAACCTTGTGTATATTTGCAATACATATTAATTAATTTTTAAGAACTTTAAGGTGTTACTCTTACACCTAAGAAATTCATTTTTCTTTGTTTTAATTGGTCGAATGTTATTTACATTTTATTTAAGAATTATACAAATTAATGGAAGGATGGAATAGGATATGCAAAATTAAGATATTCTTAACATTTATTTTCCAAATAAAGCATAAGATTAAGACATAATAAATATTATTAGAAAGATCTTAATATAAATCACAAACTAAGTTTTAATTTGGTTTTGTATAAACACAGGTTTACTAATAAGATCAAAACTCAACCTTCACCATATTGTCAAGATTTGGCATTATAGGAAACAAGAAATTGCAAAAATTAATCTAAAATATCACACCACGCACCCACATAATGTATTCTACGATACAAACCATCTCCCTTCTCCATAAAAGTCAATGTAGCTAATTTTACTGTTAAGAATAATCTTCTAAAAAATATGTGGTCATCTTTTAGATATTAATCTATTAGTTTATTAATTGCAGTAAATTATGTGATACAAATATTTCATATCAAATTATATTATATTAGTAACATTATTTAAAATATGTTATTTCATAGCTATCTCCCATTGACGTGTATTGTTTTAGATGATATTGTATTATTTGTAAATATAATTTTTCGAACATTGATACTTGCAAAATATACATATAAATTATTGTTGAATGTAAATAATAATACATCAAAATATTAGTAGATATTAACCATCCTTTCCACCAGGAACACAACAAAGATGAGGCATAGCACCAATAACACACTCCACTTAAGCTTTATTGATGAATTGTTAGAGTCTTAAAAAACACACACAAAAATCACGATAAGTAAAAAATGTATGGGCACTTTTAGGTTAAATCACTTGCACAACGTGTAATTTTTAAAATCTCTATTTTTTTATGCGAAACCGAGAGTGACCATATATCTGGTAGTAGTTTATGTCACTTCAACACCAAAATAATTAGTTTTTTGCACTACAATAATAAATAATACCAAAAATCAAAGAGTTCAAACCAAAAATCAACCGACAAAATATGAAACGGAATCTAACCCAATATCTAAGTATGTACAGCTGATGAAGTAAACAAAAGTCCGCCCGCAGGCTGATCTTTTAATAGAAGGCACTGGTTGTATTTCAAAATTTATCTTGATGACGAAGATAAATATAAATACTCGTGAATACGTTTATCAGTTATCTTTTATTCAAGCTATAATTGAATGAGAAATATTACATCGTTTCTGGAATAATTGATATATAATTGCTATAAAATCAAAAATTTTAATATAAAAACATTTTTAGATATAGGCAACCAAATATACATAACATTTAGTTTCCGTTATATCTTTGAATTAGGATCATCATAGACTAGAATTATCCCTATATTTGATTAATGGTCATTATATTTATAAATCAGTAAAATGCAATATACCAACGAATTAGGTATATTTATTTATGATTTTGACAGAGCCATATTACAATATATTGTTCTAAAAACTTGTTTTGTAAAGACCTATCCTAAATTTATAGCATCCACTCGGCGCGGAGATAAATTCTGTGTATAACATGGAAAACAAATTATACAAACGGTTTATTTATTAATTTTATTACGGAAGAAAGAAAAAAAAATATACAACTAATAAATCAATATATCTTCTAAATATTTGTACCGTATGATCGCAAAAAACGGCGTCAGCGATGGCTATGAAACGAAGTCATTGAAGTCATTTATTTATATGTAAATTTATATTGGAAATGTCATCGACCGTCATTACCCAGCAAACTGGATGCATTTTTTTCGATCATACGGTATCTAATCTACTTTCTAATAAAAATGTATAAATATATTTTTTGAAGCCTAAACACTATTCTTGATCATATCAAATAAAGATAAGTTTAAACTTATAAGTAATCAGTAATTCAATAAAGCTTTGGAAAAAAGTGAGTTTTATAAAATATGCATATACTTTCAAACACCTGCCTTAGAATGGAATTTAACGATATTTTTATAGCCCGAAAAGATTCATATAATTTAGATATATTACATTTTATGTATAAAAACATACTCTATCCAGCAAGACCAGACGACAATAATGATGACAAAAGTCGAAACCATATATTCTCTCGCTAGACAAACTTTATGGAGTAGTATAGAAAATAAAATAAATCTATGAGTCTAATGTATTTATTTAAAATCATATGGGGAATGTCATTGATCGTCATTTCCAAGCCAACGGATGCCGTTTTTTGGATCATACAGTATATAATGGATAAATTTTTTTTTTATACAAATGTTTGAAAGTGTATACTAGAGCGTCGGAATTTTTCTTCATTCAAACTGTCACAAATTGAATTTGTACAAAATATCGAGAACAACAATTTCAAATAATTCAAAGTTTTATTTTATAAAAATATGTATATAAATATTAGGGCAATGCACACATTAAAAACTAACGTCAATAGACAAAAAATTGACATTCACATGTCATGACAACTTGCATATATAAAATAAATGCTTCTTCTCGGCAAAAATTTAAGTCTATCATACATATATACATTTAAATAAGTCAAAAATTAAATCTAAATATATACCTTCTACTTTCGTTTACGCAAAGAACGCTTGCCTGTATCTGACGCTTCCACCGTTGCTGTATTTTGTTGTTCTTTCTTAGCATTCTTCCTTGGCCGTTTGAAAACGACTTCATCATCTGAATAATAATGGTCATCATCAGTATTACCAAGTATTTCTTTTTGATTTTTTAATTTCCTTTTTGTGGCTGGTTCGGTAGTTGATGAGTTCTTAGATTTGCCAACTCGTTTTTCTGAAGCATTTTCCGAATTCTCGGAAACGTTTTCCAATTCCTGCTTAGTATTTTTTGTTGCAACCCTCTTTCCGCGAGTTTTTTTAGGAGAAATATGAGTTTCGGAGTCTTTTTGGTCTACAGTATCTTTATTTTCGTCTGCTTTAACTTGCTTCTTTGGTCTTTTCGCTGCCTTCTGAGGCGTTAACGTATTTTCTGCATCTTTTGCTTTCCTTGATCTACCAAGTCGTTTTTCTGGAGTGTTCTCAGTATTTTCATCGACAACTTCCACTGTTTGGGCAGCTTTTTTCCTTCCAGTTTTCTTTTGAACCTCTTTTGTGGCAACTTCAGTTTTATCTTCATCTACACTTGCTTGTTTTCTTCCACGTTTTGTTGCCTGCACTTTCTCTGACACACTTGGTGATTCTGTTTCTTCTTTATCAGCAATTGCTCTTCCTCTTTTTGGTTTAGTTACTTCAGGAGTATCCACACTATTTGGTATTGGAGCATCTTTAACTGTTCTTCCTCTTCTTGGTTTAACAGCTTCATTTGTCGCAGAAGTAGCCACATTTTCTGTTGGATCTTCCACGTCTTCTGTTTTTGCTGCATTTTTAACTGCTCTTCCTCTTTTCGGTTTTACATCTTCTTTAACTTCAGGAGTTGCAACATTTTCTGTTGGTTCTTCTTCAACTGCCTTCCTTCTTCGAGATTTAGCAGCTTCTACTACTTCAGGAGTACCAACATCTTCTCCTTTTGCTGCATTTTTAACCGCTCTTCCCCTTTTTGGTTTTACCTCTTCAGTAACCTCAGGAGTAGCAACATTTTCTGTTGGTTCTTCTTCAACTGCCTTCCTTCTTCGAGATTTACCAGTTTCTACTACTTCAGGAGTACCAACATTTTCTCCTTTTGCTGCATTTTTAACTGCTCTTCCCCTTTTTGGTTTTACCTCTTCAGTAACCTCAGGAGTGGCAGCATTTTCTGTTGGTTCTTCTTCAACTGCCTTCCTTCTTCGAGATTTAGCAGTTTCTACTACTTGAGGAGTACCAACATCTTCTCCTTTTGCTGCATTTTTAACTGCTCTTCCCCTTTTTGGTTTCACCTCTTCAGTAACCTCAGGAATGGCAGCATTTTCTGTTGGTTCTTCTTCAACTGCCTTCCTTCTTCGAGATTTAACAGATTCTACTACTTCAGGAGTAGCAATTTTTTCTGTTGCTAATGCAAACCTAACTACTCTCCCCCTTTGTGGTTTTACATCAGTTACTTCTGGAGTAGCAGTATTTTCTGTTGTAGCTGATGCATTTCTAACAGCTCTTCTTCTTGATTTTGAACCTTCAATTACTTCTGAAGTAGAAGCATCTTCTGCTGCTGCTATATCCTTAACTGCTTTGCCCCTTCCTCTTTTAGGTTTTACATTCTCTGTTATTTCGGGAGTAGCCAAACTTTCTGGCTCTGAGGCATCTTCAACTACTTTCCTTCTTCCAGCCCGTGTAGATTGCTTAGTTTCATGAAGTGATGGTAAGTTTTCAGATATTTCAGGTGTGTTGGTGGCTTTTTTCCTTGACGACTTCTTAACTTCTTGGACAACAGGATTTGTTGGAACTTCTGAGTCTTCTTTAACCTCTTCAACTTTCTTCTTTCTCCTAGTGGTCTTTCCCGTTTTTTCTACGTGTGTTTCTATGTTATCATCTGTGTTCACATCTTCTTTATCTTCTACTTTCTCCTTTCTCTTAGTGGTTTTTCCTGAATTTACTTCTAAATCTCCTGTATTTTCTTCGGCCTTCTTATTTTTCTTATCAATTATTTCAGCTTTTGAAGTATTTGTTTCTACATTATCTTCTGTATTGTTTTTTGCTCTTCTGGATCTTTTGATTGGTACTGGACTAGTAGTTTCATTTTCTTTAGATTTTGCAGATTCTTCGCTATTTTCTTGTGAAATAGCTTCAGAGATCTGTTCAGTAGGTTCGGCATCTAGTTTCTTCATTCTAGTCCTGCCGCTTTTCCTAACCGGGCTGTTATCCTCAACAGCTGCGAGTTTTTGACGTTTTGCGTGTGAAATTGTATCCACTGGTGTGCTATTTTCTTTAGCTGCTTCAAGCGACTGATCATCATCTTTAAAAGCGACTTTTTTCGGAACTTTAAGTTGAATTTCTGTCTTTACAGCATGATTTTTCTTAGTACTAGAGCTTTCCAAGTTAGTAGTTTGAACAGGTGTTACTCTACTGCTCTCCTTTTGGTTTACTATCTCCGAAAACGGCTTTTTTGGTGTAATGATGCGACCACTTCTTGACCTGTAAGGAGATCCTGTCTCTCCTTGAATTACCAAAGTATTTTTCGCTGAATTTTCAGTCAAAGCACTTTGTTCGTTAACCCATTCTTGAACTCTAGGTGAAGATATAGGTATATCACCCATAGTTCTTCTTTTTGTTAAATTGTTAGCTTCATTTTTAACCGGAGTCATACTTTTACCCCTACCATATTGTTTAATAGGTTTTTGACCAGTCAGACTACTGAACAGATCTTCAGAGTTCTCGATATCGCTGTCTGGATGCAATTGCTCGACTCCAGACACATTGAACAAACTTGCAACAGCACTGACATTATGCAGATCATTTTTAGGTGATTTTTGAGCTTTTGGTGACATAAATCTCTTCAAATTCGGTACGTTTCTAAGATCGTTGGCAATACTTTTGCGGAACATGTTCTTCAAGCCTCTCACATCGCTTAAATCGTTTTTAGGCGAATTTGCTTCGACGGTGACCAGTTCTTTCAAACTTGGTATATTTCTGAGATCGTTCAATGGACTATTTTTCTGGAAGATCTTCTTAACGGCGGAAACTTTAGTCAAGTCGTTTTTAGGAGTATTTCTTTCAAACAGTTTTTTAACTCCAGCCACATCGGTTAAATCGTTTTTGGGAGTTTTCTGAGTTTTGGGTGACACCAAGGATCGCAAGTTTGGCAAGTTGGTGAGGTCATTTTTGGGCGAGTTTTGTTTTTTCCTTTGTACTTTCGGGTGTTTGATTATTTCTGTCTCTTCAGATAGAGATGGATCTGTCTTAGCTATTTTACGTTCTTTTATAAAGCTACCGTTACTCTCCCTCTTCCTCTTTCGAGATTTGATGACGCTTTCCTTGATGCTGTCAAATAATCCCGGGGTATTGACGGGTGTTTTGAATGATTCGTCAACGGTAGCAGCAAATTTTTCGGGAGTTACTGGAGTAATATCTTCAGTTAGAGGTTTGTACAGTGGCGTTGTTACCTTCGTTGACAAACGGTTCGGTTTTATGGCTGACTTTGGAGTTACTCCGTCGTCAAAGATTTTCTTGGGCGTTACTGACAGTGGCGTAGTGTGGGATTTTCTAGATAAAATAAAATATCAATATTACAAAAAAATAATATAAAGAAAATAATATTAAAACAAAAAAAATGAAACATTCCAATGCTCAAACAGAATTCTATCTACACAAAAGCGAAAAGCGACTCCCTTGAAGTCATAAATTTTGATAATTAAATTCACTTGTACAGGGTGGACCATTATGGTTGTTTCTATAGGGTATCTAGGAAACCGTGAGAAATATTCAAATTTTAATATTGCAGTCTAGGGTTCTTTTTTTGAAAAAAATACAATGACGCAAACGGATCGTGGCTATCTTGATCGGTTTCGAAGCTACAGGGGGATTCTCAGATTTTGTACTTTTTGAAGATGTTCGATAGTTTGTTTATTTCAGCAACCACGGAAAAATGAATTATACATTCTAAAGGCACTTTTCTGTGTAGAATGCAGTGGCGTAGTCAGACTTTTTTCAAAAAAAATATTTGTTGAGATATTAACTATACTTATGGTTTTTTAAATAGAACCCCCTGTATATTTTTAAATTTTCTTATTCAGCTTGGCATGGGCTTCTCGAAAATATATAACACTCTATATTTATTTTCACTATTAACCTCAACATTTCAAATTTTTCTTAAAATATCCACTTAGTAGACGGTTGTCATGGTGAATGCGGGACATTTCATTTCTACAGATTGAAGTGTGTGTATTTTAAATAATAAAAAAATTAGTAAATATGAAAATTTTGATAAATATAATATCTTAGAATGTTATATTGAATCTAACAACCATAAGCAAATGGCAGCTGATTTATATTTTGAGCGGTATACAGAGCGCGAGCAACCAAACCCAGCCATTTTTAAAATGTTAGAAGATAGTTTAATCAATTTTGGATCTTTTCAAAAACCGCGTCCGAAAAACTATCAGAAAGAAGATGAATAAAATCAATATATTAATGTCCTCGGAACCGTAACACTAGATCCAACAACATCAAGTAGAGCTATTGAAATTCTGTTAGAGACGGCACGGCGCGGCGTGCAGAGACGGTACCAACTCAGTCAGAACATTTAATGTAGTCTTTGTGTTTTTATTTTTTTTTATATTAACTGAGAAGCCGATTGAAGTAACCTCTTGAGTTTATATTAAAATATGTTCTTTTGTTTCTGTTACACTTATTTTTTATTTGCTTCGTATTTGATTTTATTTAATTGTTAATTCATGTATTCGGCTCCAAGGACATTAATATATTGATTTTCTTCATCTTCTTTCTGATAGTTTTTCGGACGCGGTTTTTGAAAAGATCCAAAATTGATTAAACTATCTTCTAACATTTTAAAAATGGCTGGGTTTGGTTGCTCGCGCTCTGTATACCGCTCAAAATATAAATCAGCTGCCATTTGCTTATGGTTGTTAGATTCAATATAACATTCTAAGATATTATATTTATCAAAATTTTCATATTTACTAATTTTTTTATTATTTAAAATACACACACTTCAATCTGTAGAAATGAAATGTCCCGCATTCACCATGACAACCGTCTACTAAGTGGATATTTTAAGAAAAATTTGAAATGTTGAGGTTAATAGTGAAAATAAATATAGAGTGTTATATATTTTCGAGAAGCCCATGCCAAGCTGAATAAGAAAATTTAAAAATATACAGGGGGTTCTATTTAAAAAACCATAAGTATAGTTAATATCTCAACAAATATTTTTTTTGAAAAAAGTCTGACTACGCCACTGCATTCTACACAGAAAAGTGCCTTTAGAATGTATAATTCATTTTTCCGTGGTTGCTGAAATAAACAAACTATCGAACATCTTCAAAAAGTACAAATCTGAGAATCCCCTGTAGCTTCGAAACCGATCAAGATAGCTACGATCCGTTTGCGCCATTGTATTTTTTCAAAAAAAGAACCTGAGACTGCAATATTAAAATTGGAATATTTCTCACGGTTTCCTAGATACCCTATAGAAACAACCAAAATGGTCCACCCTGTACAGTGTCCCATTCTCGTTTTTGAGTAGAGGTATAAAGATGCGGGTTTCACTGTTGCTACTCTTTTATGAAACTAAAGATGCTACACACAGATTTGTCCTAACCCTCTTAGTTTCCGAAGTACAAGACGAATTTGAATTTGTTGCATTTTTTGACTCCCCTCGTATCTCAGTTAGATACTAAAGGTACCTACATAATGAGCAGCGTTGTTACAAGGGCAAAAATTCTTGTACTATAAATTGTGTCGAAATTGTACTTTTAAGTGGGATTGTACATTTTGGTGCAAAAATGTGGGGTCATGTGATCTCTATTTACCTTTTACCAAGTTTTTACCGTTGGGTGCATCCACACTATCCTAAAACAGCGGAACGGCGTATTGGCTTAACGACCTTGAATCGATTTCCTGCAATTCTATTGGCTGAAATTTTTGCCCGGTGAATTTGACAGATAAAATTTCTGACAGATTAATTTTTCAGCCAATAGAATTGCTGGAAATCGATTCAAGGTCGTTACGCCGATACACCGCCGCCGATCCGCTTTTTTTAGGATAATGTGGATGCACCCTCACAGAATTATACACCATATGCTGTCTTCCTTTCACGCAGTTGAGCAGCTCTGAACTGTTCAAGAACGCGATACTCTGCCTCCATTCAATTGAGTCATAAAGTTCAGAACTGGTTCCGCGCCATATGGAGGCACCAGGCTATCTTGCACAGCTCATTTCAGAACCGTTCTGAGCAACCCAGGGCGTAAAGCTCTGGAACTTGAAATTCGCAAATGGAGGACAGCAATACAGAAGCTACAAAGAGCTTTGAATAGCATTGGTTAAATGTGAACTAATTGTGTGACGTCACGTTTGACATCGGGACACAATAGATCTCTAAGGTCGCAGTGATTAGCCCCCCTCCTACTCACCGCATGGATATCAAACTTACGTTTGACATCCGTGCGGCTTGAACAGCATTTCAGGTGATGCATAATTCTGGGTCTCTGCTCCTAGCGACCTGCATTTCAAATCCACGCATCGCGTATCACCGTTCGTCTAAAAATATGTACGTGGGTTTAAGTTTGGGTTTGAGAAGTAAGAATTGTACATTTTTTCTTGCAATTGTACTCCTTGACTATCAAATGTACCCAAAATAGTACAATTGTACCTATTGTAACAACACTGATAATGAGGCATCTCGACGCGATGCTCGCCGCGATGCATCCTACGCGCACTTACTCGCCGTTTTAAAACAGTGCTTAAAACGTGCGCGTAGGATGCATCGCGGCGAGCATTGCCTCGAGATGCCCCAGTATGTTTGTACCCTAAGTAGCTATAAGATTATAACTTATTGAAAAGGTAAAAACTGAGTCACATACAGCTTTTCAGAATTTTTAGAATTCAATGGCGTAAGTAGTTTTTTGCTGGGAGCTGTTATTCTTGAAAAATAAACCAAACTTTTGTAGTTAAACATCCATTGTATATTAAATCAAATTAAAACTTGACCCCAAAGTTATACAGGGTGAGACAAAATTAATATTGAAGACTGGTCAGTTTTAAAAGCAAGTTACTGTTTTATTTTAAATAGAACACCCACTATATTATTCCGGTATTCAATGAAGAATTGATGATGTCTCTTCAAAATACTATTAAGGTTGCTTATCCTTCAGACAAAGATTTCCCTAGATATTTTTATTTTTATGATTTAGTGTCAGTAGATCTTTATTCAGATCTTTATTATTTTATAAAATCTAGGTGGCTGATGCTAATATAAACTGTAGTTCTCCTTGGAGCCTCTACGCGTCGTATACCCTGCTGGTCATCCAATTTATGTGGTCTGGATTTTAATGCGTGTGATACAGAGAAACAAAATGATATACAGAGAAACAAAATGCAAAGCGGCATACAGTGTTGTTGGTTTTTTACGTTTGAAGGAAAATGTGTGTAGAAAAATATAAGTTACTTTGAAAACTCATGTATACTACCTACTGAAATGATGATAATATATCTAAATTAAATATAATCTATTACAGCTGTAGTACTAACTAGTAGTAACTAACAGTAAACTAGCAGTAACTAACAATGAAAAATAAAGTTCCAACCCTAGATGCGACATTTTTCGTAAACGCCTACTTGTGCGGTGATGCAAAATCCGGCAATACCGCATACATATATACATAATAATACCGCATAGAAGAAACGTGTCGACCTAATTTTTATCTCTTTTTAATACATGTGATTTTCCATTAAGCTGTCTACATCACTGTCTTAAGCTTGATTTTCATGCATCCGTTGTCTGACGATACGTTGATACGATATTAATTTTATTAGTAGAATTTAAAGACTTTGATTGGTTAGAAAATAACGCAGTTTTTAAATTTATTGCATTTTCATGCCTCCGTTTATCGGATATACGTTGGTGTTATTTTATATTTTCGTTTCCATAACGATTTTGCTATTTTACTTATATTTTTATAAAGGTTAGATTAAATTTGTCAAAAAAGTGTCAAAACGTCCGTTATCGTATGAACGGGTCCGTTGACGGGCTGAAGTAAAATATTTACGGATGAAAAGTGGCGCAAAAAACCAAACGTATAACGGATGCATGAAAATCAAGCTTTAAGCTTGATTTTCATGCGTCTTTATACGTTGATACGATGGTCCGACGGTGCTCTGATTGATCATAGCGTTTTTGCGCCACTTTTCATTCGTAAATTTTTTACTCCAGCCCGTCAACGGAGAAAGATCGTACGATAACGGACGTTTTGACACTTTTTTGACAAATTTAATCTAACCCTAATAAAAATATAATAGTACAAGAGCTAACACCGTCGGGAAAACAAGAATTTTAAGATAGCTGGTTCTTTAATACCTTTTGCTATGCTCCCCTAACCAAAGTGCGGGCCGTCTGGCTGTCGGTAGACTACTGCCGTTTCACTACTGCGCATCACATCTGTACAAGATATCCCATTTTCGTGTGTTTTATGGGATTTCTCGTTTATGAGTAGAGATACAATGATGCGATTTTCATATTACTTTGCTATTTTTTTATAAAACTAAATATGCTACACAAAGGTTTGTCCTAGCCTCCTTCGTTCTTGAAATACATGGCTAATTTGTGATGCGCAGTAGTGAACTGATGTTGAATACAGATATGATGCGCGGTAGTGAACTCAACGTCTACCGGCAGCCAGGCGGTCGAAAACGTTGCTAGCACTTAGACTATAAGTAAAACAGCGAAATCTCGTTATGGAAATGAAAATATAAAATTACACCAATCACAAGCAAATCATATATCCAATGAACGGAGTCATGAAAATCCAATAAATTTAAAAACTGCGTAATTTTCTAACCAATTGAAGTCTTTAAATTCAACCAATAAATCATCGTATCGTCGGACAATGGATGCACGAAAATCAAGCTTTACACGTTAAAATCCAGACCGCACAGTTTCGATGAACAAATTGGTATATCAATGTATACTGTAAAGAGATTAAAAAAAAACTAAAATTTACCTGTGCAGAAGAGGAGTGACTTCTTTCTTTGTAGTATCGATTTCAATGGTGGAAACAGACCTGCTCAACGTACGCGAGGCATGTGAGCCGTCAATGTGCCCACAAGATATGCAGTTATGCGATAAAGATCTGGTACGTCTGAGGCTTTTTCTTTGTGGAACAGCATCAATGTTGGTCTTCAGATCTGTAGACTTCTTATGAGAAACTATTGCCGAGTGTGCGTCTTTAGAAGGTTGTATTTTGCTGATGTTCTGTTTAATGAATGGCGTGGAAGTACAAAAACTGTCCAACTGCGATGATGAACTAAAAAGAAATTATGATATTTAAAAACCTAAAGTAACTTCATAAAAATATTCTCGATTTATCTACACTACATATCAGTGTATTTACATTCTGACTATGAAAACACTGCTGACTCATGAAAACACTGACTTTTAAATTGTCACTTATGTCATAATACAATCGGATGAAAAAAAAACGCAACGGAAAATTTTTGGTCAAGTTTAAGATATTATATTTTTTAATTTTAGTCCTATTTAATAATTCTTTTTTTAATTACGGCACACATTTTTCTGTCAGAACCATGTCTCCTGAATATTTTGTTTTTTGACTCATGTCAACATATACCTCGGTTAATTTTTACGAGCAAAATGAACTTGTATACGTATTGTTGTGTACGATTGAATATGGTTTATCGTGTGTCGTAGATTGTGCGAAAATCATTTATCTTGATGGTCGAAATTATGAATATTCGCTTGGTCCTTGAAGGAGAATGGGAAAACATGACACAATATATTTACAGCCTCATTAAGTATGAACCGATTTATAGCAGCCGGGGGAGGTAATACAAAGTATTAGAGTATTTTATTCCAGATAACACTAGAACCTTTCCATATGCAGATGACCTAGCAATAACAGTTGAAGGCAAAGTGTTCGAAGATATCGAGGAGAAGCGCCCTAAAAACAATGTCAACCTATTACAAAAAGAATTCTTTAAAACCCAACCCCACCAAAACTAAAGTGAGTGCATTCCACCTTAATTCGAGACAGGCGACCCGCAGACTTAATGTTACATGGGTCGGGACACTACTAGAACACACAGATAAGCTTACCTATCTTGGCGCCGTGCTGGACAAAACATTGACTTACAAATATCACTGCGAAAAAACACGCAAAAAAGTAGAAGCACGAAATTCCCTTATCACGAAGCTGACCAATAGTAAATGGGGAGCCAAACCTATCGTGGTCAGAACTTCTGCTCAAGCTCTGTGTTTTTCAACTGCAGAATATGCCTGCCCAGTGTGGTGTAGATCTGTCCATACAAAAAAGGTGAATCAGTCTAAATGAAACATGCAGAATAGTGACAGGTTGTAAGAAACCCACCCCCTTAGAAAACCTTTACATGGCCGGAGGTTTTACAGGCCCCGATTTACGCAGAAAAGCTCATGAACATACTGAGAAGTTAAAACAAACCTTTGATGCTCGTTACTCAATTTTTGGCCCACAGTGCGGCACAGGTAGACTTAAATCCAGACGCCGTTTCCTAAGCCCCCTGGATGAACCTCCCTCCCACTACTCACTTAGAGAGGACCCAACAAATGGTGTTTCTAGCGACTGGAAAACCTGGAGAATGCTCAACCGAATCAGAACTGGGGTGGCCCCAGTAAAATCCAATTTGATCAAATGGGGTTTGCTGGACAGAAATGACGACAAATGCGACTGCGGCGCCTTTCAAGACATGGAACATCTTCTTCAATGTCCTGCGTGTCTCCACCGATGCACCCTCGATAACCTATGGCTGGCTAAACGGGAAGCATTGGACGTAGCCCATTACTGGGTTAATAAACTATAATATGATCTGGATACGAAAAAGTAAAGTATTAGAGTATTTATTACACGTTTTTTGTTTGTTTGGACACTTAGTTATGACAGTTATTTTTTTTAATATCCTTAGTTCTGTTAGTGTTATAAATATTTATTAAAACCAAGCCTGTATCGCTACTTTTTAACATTTTTTAAATTAAATTACAAATTGTAAATAATATAGTCTAATCAGTGTCGATACGACATTACAATAGTCACCAAAGCCACCTCTTGATATTAAAAAATAACAGCATAAAATAATGATAGTTGAAAAAATGCAGATTGTTGATAGCAGGTTTATTTCGCTCTTAAAAATTTAACACATGCTTAACCAAGGCATGTGTTGACATGAGGCAAAAAACAAAATGTTCAGGAGACATCTCTTCAATTAACCCTGTATAATAAGCTAAATACGGAAGTTTATAAAAACTGAGTTTATGAATTAAAGTTGATAGATTTATATACGGTTTGCTAAAAAAATCATGAAAATAAAACTAAAAGTAAGAAAAAATATAACACTTTAAACTTGACGAAGAATTTTCCGTTTTTTTTTGCATCTGAGTATATAGGTATTCTTTTGCCAGACAGACTATACCCTTTTAGTATTTACTATGCACATATTGTGATCATCAAGTACTGGTAATTTTAATTCTATGTTGTTCTTACTTGAAATCACACTCTACAATAATTTCTGTCACGCCAATCCCTGTAGTCATATACATATTCAAATTTGACATAAAACGCACATATTATAAGACGCAAATCAATTCATTAAAAAAAGAAAGGAAATAGATTAGTGTCTGGAATCTTTAATTCTTTCGAAACTAAATAGTTATTTTACAAGCCACTCTGATGCTGTTTATTTCGACCATACGGTATTATCAACTACATTATTAAAAATAAATGAAATGTTTCGTTTTTTTTTTCAAAAATTATGCTTTGGAAATATTTACCAAACATTTGTCTGTTTCTAAAATGCTATTATTGACTCAGAACATACATATTTGTATATCTTAAAAAATAGGCAGATCATTGTAAAAAATGTGAATATAAATTCCTAAATAAATTCTCAAATTTTACATTGGGTCATATGAATACAATAAATATACCATTTAAATTTAATTAAAAAAAATAGTTGTTTGCTAGAGACGCTTGTTGATGGCGCGGAATAAAAATATATAAGCTGCTAGTTTCAGAGGTGAATTGAATAAATTACACACACAAATTTTACTTAGTAGGATATACGAGTAATTCGTATAAAGCACAATTCGTTAAATTTATAAAACTTACATTAATAAGACACTAACATCTAACATTTCGTTCATTGTTTACGCATTGAAATACGAAGGCGATTCTTCAGCCATCCGGGAAATTCCTTTCGTGATTCGATCAGATACGATCCATTCTTTTTTTCGACTGCGGACGAGTATTTAATTCATCCACGCATTGATAGGTGGAGCGATACGCTCAAAAATAAGCTAATTTGACGATCGTGAGCAGTCTCGGCTGTGGCCGATAACCTTGGCCTTTTTATGTTGAGAACGAGACCGAGATATTGGCCTTATTTTTGGCCGAGAATGACTGTAATCGAGACCGAGATCGAGATCTCGGTCGGACCTTAATTATTATGTATATAAAAAGCAACTACCACAACATACGGAATTTTTAATATGACTGAAATAGATCTAGTATTTTTGACACCTATTTTTATTGTTAGATAGACCACTTGCTAATAAGAAAAAAAAATGGTCAAGTGAGAGTCGGACTCGCAGGGTCCACGAAGTCCAGGTGCACAAAGGGTTCCGTACAATTCATTATCTATACAACATTAGACACTATATTATTATAAACTTTTTTCCGATTTAGCTGAAATTTTGAATGCGCGTATGAGTAATTTTAAAAAAAATGAAGAAACAGATTACTAAAAATTGTATTAATCAATAATAAATATATAAAAAGTAAAAATAAATAAAAAATTAAAAAAAAAACATTAAAAAAAGTCGCCTTGACTAGGATTCGAACCTGCCTTACTACGGCTCCAACGTCATAGCAGCGTTAAGTCCTAACGCCTTAACCACGCTGCCACCGAGGACTTGAAAGATTCTACGTAAAATTCTTACTTAAAAGATAATGTTTAGTGAAAGTACTTTTCTATTTATAAACATTTATTTAATTCTGTTTTTAGTATTTGTTCTTATAGCGGCAACATAGATACATTATCTGTCAAAATTTCAACTGTCTAGCTATAACGGTTCATAAGATAGACCTTTGTGACAGACGGATGGACGGACGGACAGCAAAGTCGTAATAGGGTTCCCGTTTATACCCTTTGGGTAAGGAACCCTAAAAAAACAGATATCTATAATCTAAAGGTAACATATCATTTTTTTAACAAACCATTTCAAAATTCGAAATTTTTAGGAGTTTTACAGAAAAAAATCAACAATATTTTCATTTTTTTTAATTTCCTCTAAAACGATATGGAACTTTAGAAAAGAATAAACGGGATTACACATTTTAAAACAAACTATTTTTTTAAAGAATGCGTTTTTCTCAAAATGTCAATAATAAAAAAAGTATTTTTCTGTTGTAAAGACAATCCGGAAACACTCACCTCAAAGAGTTGTTCTTCATAGGAGTCGTATTCTGTCCTGTGCTACTCAATCTTGAACTCCGGCTTTTCAACTCTGGCGTCCCAACATCTTCACTAACTGTACCATCCTTAACAGAAGCACTTCTCTTAAGACTCTGCGAAGATACGGTAATAACCGAAGTGGTACTCTGTCTAGAATTACGGCTTTTCAATTCTGGTGTTCCCACAAGTTCATTAACTGTACCATCTTTCGCAGAAGTACTTCTAGTTCTCTTAAAACTCGAAAAACTCTGCGATGACACGGATATAACCGAAGTAGTACTCTGATTCAAATCTTGCGAATTCAAACTTGAATTGTTACAACCGCTAGATATACGACTCCTTGCAGATATATTTCCCGATATGTTGCTAAGATGACTGAACGGACTATTTTTTGTTGTACTGGCAGAGCCAATAGTAGGCATTCCTGATATACGCTTGACAGGCGAGAGGACATCTTGCGTGGTCTCGTCAAAAATGCTGTGACGCATTAAAGGCTCATCTTTAGCAGAATTCTTTGCATTTGAATAATTTAAGTCAACTGTATCTTCGTCAGCAATATCTATAATATTTCTTGTAGAATCATTGATAATAATAACACTATCCTTTTCATTTACTGATGGTGTTTTAATATTTTCTGCAATTTTGGAACTTCTTCTTAATCTACCAGTTGAGACATCTTTGGTAAATGAAGAATCTACTTTGCTTACAGTAGATTCATCCAGACTTTGCCTGGATTGGTTTCTGAATGAGCTTCTACTGTTTCTAACAGAACTGACATTATTGATAGTTTCAGCATCACTTTCTGTTAGTTTGAAGCTTGTTCTTGTAGAGACTCTGTTCAGACTGCCTGTTTTAGAATCACTGTCTTTTGTAAATGATGTATCAGCTTCAGGTCCGCTAGATACATTCAAGATTTGTTCAGATGTTCTTCTCAAAAAGCCTCTACTATTTCTAATGACATTCTCATGAATATTTGTAGTGTCAATAGTTTCAATTCCTGACTGCTCAACTGTTAAAAATTGATTATTTTCTATTACTTTGGTACTATTTCTTCTAGATCCACTGCTAGAGTTATCTTGTTTCAATGAAAGATCTGCTTTACTTATATTAGATATTAGTTGAGATTTCCTGCTTACTGAACTTCTACCATTTCTAACAGCACTGGAATTATTACCTTCTGAGGTATAACTTGCTTCTAAAACAGACTCGGAATTTTCTCCATTAACTCGAATATCGTCATTTATAATTGAACTCTTTCTTATAGATCTTCTAACTGAGTTATTTGCAGAAAATGCATCATTTTCAATAAGTAAAGGATCCACTTCACTTACATTAGAGGCATTCAAATTTGTCTGACTTTTTCTGCTCCCCAAAGAGCTTCTACTATTCCTAGTCAAAGCAGATTTATCAGCTGTAGTTTCTGTATCATCACTTAAAACAAAATTATAGCCAGAATCCTCATCTGTATCATTCTCTGTTGTTTTAGAACTCTTTCTTCTGGATCCACTGGGCGAGTTATCTTCTGTAGACGATAGATCTCTTATATTTGAATCAGATATGTTCAAAACTTGTGCTGATTTCCTACTTAAAGAGCTCCTACTATTTCTAACACCACTAGCGTTTTTGGCTGTAGATTCAAGTTCTTCATTGTCACCTAAAATGTAATTGGGCTTCTCATCTGTTAATACTAAACTATCATTATCATTGGTTTTAGTACTCTTTCTAATAGATCTTCTGATTGAGTTATCTGCTTTTAAAACATCATCTTTTAAAAATGAAGTATCTACCTCACTTACATTAGATACATTCAAACTTTGTTGACTTCTTCTTAAAGAACTTCTATTATGAGAACTAACATTATTAGGTATAGTTTCTATATCTTCAATTATAGACTCTTGATCTGTTACAGCTTTATTATCTTCTATTATTTTCATACTGCTTCTTCTAGATATATTGACTGAGCTTACTTGACTCCTTCTTAAGGAGCTTCTATTGTGAGAACTAACATTATTAGTTTCAGCATCCTCAGTTTCAGACTCATCTGTTACAGCTTTATCACCTTTTATTATTTTAATGCTGCTTCTTCTAGATCCATTGACGGAGCTTACTTGTAGACTCTTTCTTCTTAAGGAGCTTCTATTGTGAGAACTAACATTATTAGGTGTAGCTTCAATACCCTCACTTTCAGATTCCTTATCTGTTACAGTTTTGTCATCTTCAATTATTTTGATACTGCCTCTTCTAGATCCATTGACTGGACTTTCTTGGTGGCTCTTTCTTCTTAGGGAGCTTCTATTATGAGAACTAACATTATTGGGAGTAGCTTCTAAATCCTCACTTACAGACTCCTCATCTGTTACAGCTTTATCATCTACTATTTTCATACTGCTTCTTCTAGATACATCGACTGGGCTTTCTTGGTGAGTCTTTCTTCTTAGGGAGCTTCTATTATGAGAACTAACATTATTGGGAGTAGCTTTTAAATCCTCACTTACAGACTCCTCATCTGTTACAGCTTTAGCATCTACTATTTTCATACTGCTTCTTCTAGATACATCGGCTGGGCTTTCTTGGTGAGTCTTTCTTCTTAAGGAGCTTCTATTATGAGAACTAACATTATTGAGAGTAGCTTCTAAATCCTCACTTACAGACTCCTCATCTGTTACAGCTTTATCATCTACTATTTTCATACTGCTTCTTCTAGATACATCGACTGGGCTTTCTTGGTGAGTCTTTCTTCTTAAGGAGCTTCTATTATGAGAACTAACATTATTGAGAGTAGCTTCTAAATCCTCACTTACAGACTCCCCCTCTGTTACAGCTTTATCATCTACTATTTTCATACTGCTTCTTCTAGATACATTGGCTGGGCTTTCTTGGTGACTCTTTCTTCTTAAGGAGCTTCTACTGTGAGGACTGACATTATTAGGTGTAGTTTCAATATCCCCACTTACAGATTCCTCATCTGTGACAGCTTTATCGTCTTCTATTATTTTAATTCTACTATTCCTAGTAGAAGTAGCCCTATTAACTGGAGACTGAAAATCATCAGCGTCTAAATTATAATCAGAATGTTCATCAGTGACAGCTTTAATATTTTGCATGATTTTTGAGCTCCTTCTCGATGTATTTATTGATTTGTCTCGAGTTAGTGAAGAATCTGCTTCACTCAAATAAGATTTGTTCAAACTTTGTCGAGATTCTCTTCTTAAAGAACTTCTGTCAGGTTTTGGTGATTCATTTACAGAATACCTCGATTTTCTTACAGATGCATCAAGTTCATTTGACAAACTTTTATTCAAAGGAGTAGTTTTTACCGAGGGTGAATTTGTGGACTGTCTGAAAGATTTTCTTCCAGAAATATTAGACATATTCGGTGAATGGTCTTTAACTTCTTTGTATGTCTCATTATTAGAAATTATCGAACTTGATATATCGTTGAAGACTGATTCTTCATCCACATTAACAACTAAAGATCCTTCTATATTGCTGCGACTATTTCTCAACGACCTTGATAGTTTCTTTGATATTTCTTCATTAGTAGTAGTCTGGTCTCCAATAAATGAATTTGGTGATACATTTTTTGGTGTAGACTCCAGAGAACTTGGTATATTTAAAGGAGAACCTTCTGTTGGAGCTTCGGAAGCAAAAGAATATCGGCTTCTCTCGTGAGCTTTATTTAAAGTTCTTCTTAATAAAGAATTTCGGCTATTTCTTTTATCTTTTGGTGTGGGATTCTTTAATACATTTATTTTTCCCGTAGAGACTGATCTTGGCGAATTAAGGTTATTTTTTGAAACATTTAAACTTCTTCTACCAGATTTTATGTTTGATGTTGAAGGTCTTAGGTCTTCATCATTGGATATATTCAATGACTGTGAAAGTAGTATGTTTCTGGAAGACACTTTAGAAGTTGAATTGGATTTATTAGTGTGCTTCCCCAAAGATATTCCTCGTCTTCCGCTTGGAAATAATCGGATATTTTTTGAAACCTTTGATCTACAGGAAGAGAAAAAGATTAAGATATATAAAAATAAGTTTTTTTATTACTTTTAATATATTCCTAAACTTACTCTGTTTTGCATCTTGGCGAAATGTTGGATTTACTTGGTGTCATATGAACTGGCTTAGTATTGGGTGATCTGAAATATTTTTTATTTTTTAAAATGAAAATTTATTTTGAGTATTATGAAAAAATATTAACCAGACAATTTAGGATAGATTAAGATACACAATTTAAAATTATTCTGAGGTATACAGGGTGCTTCAAAACAAGCGTGGCGTATTCTATGTTTTTTTAAGTGCAACAGCTTTTATCAATTCATTTTTAGATTTTGCGGAAAATTCTATACTTTTTTTATATATGTATGTATATTTCTAATATTATAAGGAAAGTTCTATAGAGATAAAGAAAAAAATATATGTAAAGAATACCGCAAATATAATAGAATACCGCAAATACCGTATGATCGAATAAAAACGGCGTCAGCGATGGAAATGAAGATCGCTGTCGTTTTATATGAAAAATTATATGGGAAATGTCAGCGATTGTCATTTCCTAGCCAACTGGACGCCGTTTTTTTTTCGATCATACGGTATCTACACAACTGTTTATTGTTAAAAATTAAAATATAGGTAGCTTTTAACATTTTAAATACAAAAAATGTTCGTTTTCTAATTCTGCACCCAAAAAAAATAATATACAGAGTGTTGCATTAAAAAAATTAGATATAGCATAATAAATATGGCAGTTAGTTATGCAAAAAAATACCCTAATAGGGTTGGGTAACGGGTGTAACGACGCTTAGAAAATTAATTCTTCTATAATAAAAAAGTTAGGAATTTTGTTTAAGTGGGTAGCTAACCAAACCAAACCAAATCAAACCTAAAGTATGTATTAGGATATATTTTAGGAAAATATTTTAACCTCTACAGGGTGGCTCAAAAAAGTGTGAGTGGATCGGGATGGTCTTAGATCGGATTTTCTTAAATGGAACACCCTGTATATTATTGCATTTTTGGCTTCCTTTTTGATCACTTTACAAAATCCCAAAATATTATATATTAAATATGTTTTGATAGTTTCAAAGATATTAATAAATAAGCAAAAAAATATTTTTTTCCATACAATAAATACTATAAATAATTATTCAATACTATAAATACAGGGCGGCGCCTCTTATACGACGCGGAGGCTCCAAGGAGAACAGTTTGTAATGAAATGAATTTTTGTGAGCATATGTAGATTGAATTAGAGCATTTTTTAAAAATATAGAGTAGTACATGGTGTCGCCAAAAAACAAAGTTGTGTTTTTTGTACTGGAACATCCTATATATCATTTTATTTTCGGATTCTAGGAAAAAAATAAAGGTGAGTTTCACTAGAGAAGTATATGAGTAAAATGTAAGGTTTTTAACATATTTAACATTTTCCAAAAATGAAGAACAAATTTTAAATGCTAATAAAAGCTACCTAAATTGAAACTTACCCAGTAGGGTCTAATATTTAGGTAAAATAACTTTTGTATTTTAAGTCAAATTACAAACAAAAATTTATACAGAGTGAGAGAAAATTAATATTGAACATTGGCCACATTTAAAAGCAAGCTAGTCTTTTATTTGAAATGGAACACTCAGACTTACAATAAATTATTAAATGTTTCACGATTAGTAGTTTATTAAATTTAAAATTAATGCTGGCGTAAATAGCTAAATATTTCTCCGAAATTGTTGTATTCCGTCTTGAATTCAAGACAAAGAAAAGAGTAAAGATAATAGTAAGAGTAAAAAAAAGTATTATTAAAGAGTAAAGGTTCAAGAGAGAAAAACTGTAAATAGTTCTTATATAGATAAATGTTTATTGGAATAAAAACTACTGTATTTTAATTTAGAGAAAGCATCATCCGAATTTGTTCATTTTTTTAGACAAATCTAATCTCACAGGCCGAGTCCGCGCATTTGGCCTGTGACAGGCTTAGTGGGAAAAAAGCTTGGCCTGTCATACTTGATCTGGCCCACAAACGCAAAGATTTCATTCGAAAGCCGGGTCCTAAGGTGTTAGTATATAGTCCTAAGGTTTAATTTGTTATAAGAATTTTTTATTGGTTATCATACAAAGCATGCTTGTAAAATTAAAATAGGCATAACTTACTTTTTAGGTGATGTTTTGTATGATATTTTTAATAGGGGATGTATTGATCTTTTTCTTGTAGGTAAATGCCTCAGTTCATCCTTAAAATCCTGCAAAGTAATTAAAAGTTATTAGTAAATAAGTATAATTAACAATTATCAAGAAGCGTGTCATATTATTTATGACATCACACAGAAACCTAAAACGTCTTTTGTGATCTAAAAATTAACTTTCGTTAGATATGACATTTATTTTGTCTGCTATAGCATAAGAGCCATTGCTGTTACGGATACAACACTGTGCGAACTGTTAGATCACACTAATAGACGTTCTTTTGTAAAAAGCTCTACTGTAAAATTTTTAAAATGTTATTTATAACTTGTGTTATGAAAAGCAAACATATGTCTATGTCTGTTTTTCTCTTAAGAAATCAAAGATAGCTAAATCTAAACTAGTACATTTCTTATACAGGTACTTACATGATGCAGAGTTTTCTCATTAAAATACTGAAACACTGTTCCCAGAATATCAAATTGATCTTTGTGCTTCAGTATTGTTGGTTTAATCACAGGCTTGTTATTTATAGTTACAGTAGATCCTTCCGATTTATTTGTCAGAATAGCCTAAAAACCATAATTTAAAATCGTGCATTGCATTGTAACACTATAATACACACTATTCCGTTTTCGTTTACACTGAGCACTGCATGTTCTCCCAGTAGCAGTGGATGGGGTTTCTTTAATCTGATTTCATTAGAAGCAGCTGAACCGAATCGTTGTTCTCCAATTGCCAGTTGAAAAGGCTCACTCGTTTTACCTTTTTTCGTACAAAACACGATATATCCATTATTTGCCATCTTATTTTCCTTTTATTTACGACACGTACCGATGACAATCTGAAACAAACCAAACAACGAACCGTTACGTTTTGAAAACACACGCTACATAACAATCGCGGAGGGGGAAACGTAATTTCATATGAGCCAATCAGACGTATGAAATCCAGTCATACCAATTTCATTATATTTAACCGTAACTGCCAGATTATCGATTAATTCTGCAACATTGTATTTGATTATCATATCAATTTTCTTTCTCCACAATGTGGATACACTAATTTTTAATAAAATAGTAATTCAAAATAGTTTCGCACTATATTATTTAGAATTAAAACATAAAAACTCACCGCACAACGTTCGAACGGCTTCACCGCGACATTTTTAATTTCAAACTGACGTTTGACTAGAGATGAGCGATATTTCACGAACTGTGATTTTTTCACTGATATTTAAAAATCACATATCACGATCGTTACTTTTTTTGCGAAGAAAGCGTGAATTGATATGTGATTTTCACAGTATGCAAACGAGCAAAAAGTCGACAGACTTGTTTATCCGTTAAGTTATTTAATATAACATAAACAAAATGGAAATACCGATACCGATTACTATTGCCGGCCGCCTCGCTTTCGTTTAATATCGCTTTTTTTAAAACTATAAACGGTGATGGTACATTTTAGGTACGTCGTCAATCTTGAAGTTATTGATGTAAATTTTGGGGTCTGGTTTCTCTTCTCCCCGCATTTTTAAATCGGAATTACTTGATTCGCCGCGGATATTTACTGCTTTAGACCCTACTATATTTTTAAACTATAAAACCACTTGAGTAATTTTGCATTGACTACCTTAAAGTTTACCGTTAATTTATTTCTCATAAAAATATATTTCATGGTTGATAAAACAAAAAAAATTGTAACAGAAAAGGTAACAGGAACAGGTTACCAAAATATGTTACATCCGGCAACACTGCTTTGACCACAGCTTCTGGAGCGACGACATGAAAACGGTGGCTGTTAAAGTAGGGATGAGGAAGTATATCGATATAATGGAATATCTATACCACAGCTTTGACAACAGCCAATTTTTTATAAACTATTAAAATTAATTTGACATTGACAAAATCATAGTTTGACAATTTAAGGTTGTTATAGGTTTGTCTAGCTCTTTTATTTTAAAATGATTGACATTTTCAGTGAACAAAACCCGTAACCGACCAGTTGCTTTCGATTTCCAGTGAAAACTAATCCAAAATTGGTTAACAAATGGTCGGAAAATGCGATAAATTCCAGCCTTAAGAATATATCTTATGATAAACCAAGTTATCCAAGTTATCGAGTTTGTGGAAAATGTTTTTGTAGAGAAAATTTCAAAGCAGGAAGGACAGATTTAAAACAAAATGTATCGCTTTTACATCTTTCTAATGGTAAGTACATATTTATAACTAAAGGTCAGGGCAGACACAGCTACTTTTTTTTTACCTACGGCGTATTTTGATCACTGTTACCAACAACTCTAAATAAATAAAAATATACAAGCGTAGCGTTAATTTAAAAGCGTCCATGTTCCCGGCACGTTCCCGGTATGAGCATGCGCGTTAGAGCAACAAGACGCCATCCGTCAATCGAAACGTAAATATCGAACACCCGACATTACTCCGCCACCTCCGCGTCAAAAATAGTACCCATTTGTGTTATTTATTTTATAAAAACTGTTTTAAGAAACCGAATATTCCTCACCTAGGTCTTTCACAAATGTCTTTTACTTTGTTTTGGTAGCAAAATTTTTATTTTAAATGCAATCCTCGCGACAGCCCTAAAGTGAATCGTCACCGTTTGTTCTTCCCAAAACATTAAAATTTGTCATATTTAATTTTAATCTAACAAAAAAACCACCAATTTTGACGATCAAGAAGGCAAAATCACATCATATCCATGTATTCATGCATGGTGGGCGGAAAAAGGACTCTAGGGTGGGGATCAGGGTTCGGAAGTAGTTAATTAAGACGTAATTTACCTGATTAACTACGTGTAGTTTTTCTTCAAAAACTACGTCTTTTCCCGTTCATTAACTACATGAAAACTACGTTAATAAACTATGTATTGATATTATGAATCATTTTGCTTTGTATGAGGGTGGGGATCCTTAACAGTTCTGTTTGACGATTCATTTGACACATTTGAATTTGATTTGAAATTTTGTAGATTTGTCAGTCTTTACGGAGCTTATTTTATGTTATTTATTATTTATTGTACTACTGATAGTTGTATAAAGGTAGTAAATCTAGATGGAAATTGTGGCAGAACTTAAATTAACAGTGACACTATCGCGATTTATCGAAAAAGACTCTAAAATAATTAGTTGTTTAGCGTGCGGTAGATCTCGGCGAAAATCGAGTGAAATAATGGAACAACTTTTTGCTAGTAGTAGACTATATAATATACATACGTGTAGTGAACCGATCATTTATGAAATTCACTTAAATTAACTAATTATATATTTATTATATATTTTTTCTTGCATTTTTGCTTTTATTTACTACTTGTCAAAGATTAGATGTCAAAGAATTTAGATACGTCAATTTGACTTACCCGCTTCAGTAGCGTATCGGATGTTTGTGTTATTATTAAAACTTATTTATTTTTATTATAATAATATGTTTTTATAACAATTTTATTTATTTTATTATTATTGAGTCTACCCCACGTCTACCCTACATCATAGTTTTACACGGTGGTTTTACATTTTTTAAATAAAATTAGAACGGCACTGATAAATCGGAATTTAAGTCGGCCATATTTGAGTCCCATCGCGGTGTACCTAAGATTTTTGATATGCTCCTTCCTAGTCTTCTTATTCAAAGGTAAATACAGATACACATATACTTGATCCCTAATTCGTTTTAATTATTTTATATTGACTGTTGTTTAAATTTTATATGTTGTCATTTTATTATAGCTATAGCTGGTACTTCTTATTCTCGTACAGCACAGCCTATGTTTAAGTTACAGGGTGTCCGATCAACTACAAGTACTAGCTCTGAGATATCAGGTATATATAGGTGTTATATGTATTTCAAACTTTGAATAGAAAGATTAAGGAATGAGTATAATGGTGGAAGGAATGAGGGTGGTATTCATGCATGGTGGGAATCGACATCATAGGTACCATCCTTGACAGTTCTGATTGACGTTTTATTTGAAACCTTTGAATTTAATTTGAAATTTTGTGTATTTGTTTGTCTTTCGTTAGCTTATTTTATGCTATTTACTATTTATTCTACAATCGGTTTTGTTTAGAGGTAGTAAAGCTTAAATTAAAAAAGTGTTACATATGTTTCTTGCATTTTCTGTATTATTTACAACTTGTCAAAAATAATTAAGATACGTCAATTTCAACCAAGCCAACTTGACGCCGTTTTTTTTTTCATATATATTTTGCTTAATTTACAGTGTATATACTTTTAAAATCAACTTACTGTCAATACCTAATCTGTGCTACTATGAACAAAAACTGGCTGATTATTCCCCAACCGTCTTTGCCGCCGCTTTTTTTCGATCCTATGGTTTTGTTTTCTAATATGTTATTAAAACCTGACAACCTTTATGTAAGTTATTTAATCTACAAGTTTCAAATAATCTATTATTTTTTGTACCATACTATCAAACATTTTTGTGATTAATTAGGATGATCTTATTTGTGAGTTTGACGATACGAGTGCCCATCCCTAAATGTGTATTACTGGTTGCGTTAATTATTACTTTTTTCTTTTTATTTTTTAAAATACCAAATCCACTTTATTGGATTATGCGCTAATTATTTGTTAAAATGTTTAATAAATACGTTAAAAAAGCAAGAAATATATGTTACAATTCTTCGTAAAAGTACTTCTCCGGTCTCGTGCTTATGTATGTACTTAAATAACAAATTTTATATCATTAATCATTTTTGCAAATATTAGGTATTATGGCATATCAATACTTGATCTATGCTAAGTACTATTTTGTTCAGTACCCTTTAATATAAGTTGTAATCATAGAAATCAAGTAAATAACTTTCTTTTATTACATATTTTGCTTCGTTGATATTTTAGCCTCCGTAGTTGATATCAATTTTATAATTTATAATAATATAATTAACAACACCCAGCTGTGTTATAAACATTCTTTCTTTGTTTATAAATTCAGAATGGCATACTTGTATTATTATTATTAATTGAAGGTATTAAGTAACCTAAATTTATTATATTTTTCCAAGTTTATTATATTATAATATTGTCTGCAAAATACAAATATTGTTTTTATTCAGATAATATACAGACACAGTAATTTAACAATATATTTGCTAAGATAGTCTCGTTATTTTATTAACAATATTTATACGCTTATGTAATATTCCTAGTTTATAACTTAAGGGTCCTAGAGCTAGTTCTAACTTTTTTTTTAAATTTGAAAAAATATGAAAATAAATAGTGCGTTTTCCTATGATACTTTAACAGCAAAAATATGACGTTGATCAAAATTAATAATATCCACGTATCAAAGAATGAAATCAAAATTATATTGCCATAGAAAGACCTCTTGATTTTTACTACATCAAAAAAAATCAACCATATTTTTATGTTTTTTTTTACTAATTTTCTCTAAAACGGTATGGAAATTTGGAAAAACATTAATTGAATTACATACATACATACATACAGCCGTTACTCGCTGACGAGTATTCGACACACATAAAGAAGATGGTCACGCAAGGCGTTTTCTTTCATGAGTTTTTCTGTGACTGAAAGGCCCGATACGTGATGTTATGTGCCTACCGCACTCCGGACATTCAAAAATCTCATTGCTTTGTTGCCTCTTTACTTTTTGGTTGCCGCTGTTAACTGAGTTTACAACCCTTCTCCAGTGAGTTCTATTGCGAGCTGCTTTTTCCCACTCATTCTGCATGTTAATTCCCTTTAAATTTTCGTGGAAAATGTCCTTGTATCTTTTCAGTTGTCCACCGGGCCTCCTCTTACCGTCTACAAGCTCACCGTAAAGCAGAGATTTTGGTATGCGGTTTTCTTGCATTCTGCATACGTGAGCAGCCCATCTTAAGCGGGATTTTGTGACCATGACTCCAATACTCTCGCAGTTAGCTTTTTCAAGGACCGATACGTTTGAGACATGATGGAACCACCGGACTCTTAAGAGAGAGTTGTCTTAAGGTGTCTCTGTTGCAACTTGTTTAATGCGTTCATGTGTCGGCGGTAAGGCACCCAGGTTTCGCTCCCATATAACATGGTGGGAATTATAATTGCTCGGTATAGGTACTGCAAGTTTTGTTTTTGTACTCAAGTCATGATTGTAGAAAACCCTGTCTTTTAATTTCCAGAGTGCTCTTGAGGCGCTACTAATCCTGTGCAGAGTCAGAGTCAATATTGGCCTTTTCCGATATCAAACTGCCAAGGTAATTGAATTCCGCCACATATTCGAATAGTTCTTCTCCGATTTTTACAGCATTGTTGTGATCTTCCGGGGGAGTGCACATTATTTTAGTTTTGTCGATGTTTAGCTTAAGGCCCAAAGCCTCGTATGCCCAGGTATATGTGTATTAAACATTTCTTGTAATTGTTGTACCGTGTTTGCAACTAGAGCGCATCGTCAGCGTATTGAAGTTCTGTGATAAATATGAACGTATTGTACGTGTTTTTGCCCTGAGTCTTTTTATGTTGAACAGACCGCCGTCATATCTGTATCTAATGCCCAATCCTCTCTCCTGCAGTTTGCTGTCCACTATAATGGAGAGCGCTGCCATGAATATGTTGAATAGGAGAGGCGCTAAGACACATCCCTGCCTAACTCCTGTATTTGTTAGGAATGGGTCGCTCAGTAATCCATAGTGATCCATGATGTGACACTCTTGACTTGTTGTTATGGAGGCTTTTACACACTGTAAGAAATTTGTTGGGTACTCCGAACTTTTCCATAATTGCCCAAAGCGCATCTCTGTTCACCGAGTCGAATGCTTTTGTTAGATCGATGAATGCGACATAAAGTTTAGATTGCTGCTCTTTTACTTTTTCCTGTAGTTGACGGATGGAAAATATGGAATCGACGGTGCCGCGGTTGGTACGAAAACCCGTTTGCGATTCTGGAAGGATTTTTTCTATATATGGGTGCAGACGGTTTGACATTATTTTTGCAAGAATTTTTCCGCCGATAGCCAATAGCGAAATTCCCCGGTGATTTCCGCAGTCTGATGCACTTCCTTTGTTCTTAAATATATTCACTATGTTCGCGTTGCGAAAATCCTGAGGTACCTCTCCGCTTTCCCATACGACATCAAAGAGAGCCTTAAGATGACCAATAAGTTCTTTACTTGCACACTTATAGATTTCCGCCGGAATTATTTCTTGTTCTGTTATTGGGATGTCTAATAAATCGAGGCTGTTATACTGAGGTATTGTGTTTAGTGCTTCCATATTGGGGTTGTTTTCTTGGTTAAGGATATGGCTGTAATGTTCTTTCCAGCGATTTCTGATTTGTTCTTCCTCTTTTAGAAGTTCGCCATTTTGAGCCATGATTGGGCAGCTTACCTTCTTAGTTGGACCGTATACTTATTTTACAGCCTCGAAGAATTTACGATAATCGTGATGCGTGGCGTACTCTTGAATCTGATTTGCTTTTTGTGACCACCAGTTATCCTTTACTTGGCGCAGTTCTCTTCGAAGCGTGTTGTTGGCTGCTTTAAAGTTGTCTATCAGTCTTGGATTATGTGGATTTGCAGTGACGGCTTGATGTGCTCTATGCTTTTGTTCCAACAAAGCCTGTATATGCGGTTGATTTTCGTCAAACCAGTCTGGTTGTTTCTTTTTGTTCGACTTTCCCAGTACTGCTTCGCTGGTTTTATGAATCGCATCCCTTAATTGTGTCCAGCCTTGTTCAGCTTCCAATATTGAGATTGAAGCTATCGGTGGAAGTGATTCTTTGATGGCTTCCCGAAGGGCGTCGGCGGTATTGTTGTTCTCTAGACCACGTACGTTCAATCTGGTCATGTTGTTTTGCTTTTTACAGCGTGGATGTTTGGGTTTTAACTGGATTTTCATTTTTGAAATTAAAAGTCGGTAGTCAGTGCCGCATTCGGCATCTATTCTAGCTTTTGTGAGCCTAACATCTTTTAGATGCGCCCTTCGAACGATTATGTGGTCCAATTGATGCCAGTGGCCTGATCTAGGATTAATTGAATTAACCAATTTAGAACGACCAAATTTTTTTATGAAGAATGTATTTTTCTCAAAATGTCAATAATAAAAAGTTTTTGCTAAAAAAAAATGTTTTTTGTAAAGACAATCTGGGTACATACTGTAGAGTGCCATGGCTGTGATAAAACAACACATTATTGAATGTTTTCTAATGGAACGAGGGTTGCTCATTAGCATATTTGGAAAAACCATGTTTTACGAGTAGTTTTGCACCATAAACTTACTTTTTCAAGCAAAATTTTCGTTATAAAATATTATAATATAGGTACAGGGTGTTTCAAAAAACAATTGCCATCTCTCAGAGATTCCTCACGTAAAAATAAGACTTTTTCATATCAACATAGGTCCGATTCTGCTTTGTTTCGTAGCTACAGGGTGTTAAAATCTTAATAATCTTTCGATTTATTATAATTTTCTTCCAAGTACTTTAGTGATTTGAATGAAGTTTTGAGGGTAAAAGTTACTATAAGTGTTACATTTTTTTTAATGCTAAAAAAGTGTCAATAAATTCATCAGGGACGTGCATATGGGTTATCACTGGAATATTCTTGAAAAAACGTGCGCCACTGACTTTTTTCTTTTGATATCAAAATTGTGTAGGCCGTTTAATGCCAATTAAAAATTATCTCTTAACAATTTGTCGAATTCGGCCTCCTTGATAAGATAAAGGCAATTTTATTAATCAAAATTAATAAAATAAAAATAAAAATAAAATTAATAAATTATATATTTTACCTAATTTATTATTAAATATTATTACTATTAGTCCAACATACAGCAATTTCAAATAAAAAAAAACAAATGTGAGATAATTACAAAAAACCTAGGTTTTGCTATTAGATTAGCATCAAGGCAAATTAATAAAATTGCGTTTATCTCACCAAACCGAAATGGACAAAAAAAAGAGTCAACTTTTAATCGGCATTAAACTGCTTACACTATTTCTCTAACGAGAGAAAAAAAGTCAGTGGGATACCTGCTTTTTTTAGAAAAATATTCCAGTGATAACCCATATGCACGTACCTGGTGAATATATCGACACTCTTTTAGCTTTAAAATATGGCGCATTTATAGTAACTTTTACCCTCAAAATTTCATTCGGAACGCTAAAAGTAGGTACTTGGAAGAAAATTATAATAAATCGAAAAAATATTAAGATTTTAACACCCTGTAGCTACGAAACAAAGCAGAATCGGATCTATGTTGATATGAAAAATAAATCTTATTTTTACGTGAGGAATCTCCCCACGAGAGATGGCACATGTTTTTTGAAACACCCTGTATAATATTAAGCAAAAATGTCAAAATTTGATATTATGACATGTCATTCTATTCAAAATGTAATTTTTTATAGAATAAAGTTAAAAAATACCGAGGGTCGAGGGTACCATTTAAAAGTTGTAGTCATTACCGGTGAAACAGGAAGTAACCGAAAATTTGTTTAAAAAAATAGAAGGATTATTAAAGTGGCGAGCCTACTTTAAAAATACCCGGTATTTGCACTTATGCAAGGCTCATCCTGTATAAGAAACCACCCTTTATCCCTTTACAAAGAATCACTCTAAAGTTATTGTTTCGCATTTGGTTTGTAACACCCTGAGTACCTCCAAGTAGGTACCAAGCAGTAGGTACCCCAACAAGCCATCGACGACTGGGTGTCTTAAAACTTTCATTTTCTCATTGATTCAAGCCACTTGAAAAGCCGCCAGTACTTGTTACAGATAGACCCGTCCGTGGTAGTACCCGGTCTTTTATCAGTACCGCTGCACTCGTACGACGGCTATAATAGCGTAGGAATCGTCGCACAATCATTTTTTTCGACCTGGACCACTGGCCTTTCCAGATAAAATCTGTTTGTTCCGTTATCGCTTCCACTTAACTATGCGCCTACTTTGATTCGAAGTACTGCCTTTGTTTCATTGAGTGAAGAAGTCCGTGATTTGTGTTGTGATTAGGAATTATTTCCCGCCAAAATTGAGAGTAAGATTGTTTTTCCTTTTGTTTTGTTTTTGATTAAATTTTAATAAGTGTGTAAGTAAACATGAATAATTGGGCTTTAGAGATAAAATTGTGACATATTTTATGAACTAAATAATATATTTAACTTTTCGATCATACGGTAGTGGTAGTATATTGTTTTATTAGGAGTAAAACTTATACTTCTCGTGACAGTGAAAATGATACACTCAAGATACACTCTTTGAATTTGACAATTTAATGTCAACTTTATAATACATTTTTGTTCTTTGGTTCTTAGGCGTAAAAGCGCTTTTTTATCGAGGCGTTAAAGTGTCTTTTCTATATTGCCAATCGCGTCGCAAAAATTAATATTTTTGTGACGTTTGAATAAAATATTTTAAAATTAACCAAGAAGTAAAAAATATTGATAATATAATTTAGGTATCTACTACTTATACATCAATCTCAATATGACGTTTTCATATACTCACTTTGGTTAAAAATGTAATTTGATTAATGATATTACACATAAAATTTAAACAATAATATTGTGATTTTGGTTCACCCTATATATAACATCGTCAAATATATAAATTTAAAAAAGTAAAATCCTATAGAGTTTTTTTATATTATATTATTTATATTAATATTTTAGTAGATCGATATATTCGAAATTATTATACAGGGTGGCGCACCTCATTCGCCTCGGTTGATTATACGAAAACGGAAAGATGTAGAAACAAAATATTTTATGTGTATATGAAGGAAGGCAATGTGCATAATTTTAAATTGTTTTGAAATGTAAAGGGTATGTCAGAACTAAGATCCACACCAAAGTTATATTTTTTCTTATGGAACACCTGGTATTTGATTTCATATTTGGATCCGTGGACACAAAATAAGGTATTCATTATAAGGGTTAAATATGTTTACAAGCGTTGGTTCTTGATATATTTATAGATATTTAAATATGCATGCTATTATAAAACAGATTGTAACAACCCTGTACATTGATTGCCAGAATTAATTCTTGTGCTGACTTTTAAAAGTCAGGGTAAAACTAACAAATTTCAAGTCTTTCAACAATAATTTTCTTCCACACTTTGGCTTTTATTGAGATTCCCTGTATACTAGCCAGTCAGGTACCTAGAATGTTTCATTTATATTTGTTGGAATTCTTGAACCCACTGTACCAGTTTTTGGGAACCTTTGGGATCATTCAAAAGTAGGTACTTGAAAGGCACAATAAAGAAAAGATACCTACTATAAATATAAACAACTTAATGCAAAAATCGATAAGTATTTATAGAAATAATAATAATATGGTACAGTACGATAGAAAAAAACGGCCTCACGTTGTCTTGGAAGTTACGATCGATGACATTCCCCATATAATTTTACATACAAAATGAGAACGATCTTTATTTCCAAGCCAACTTTGACGCCGTTTTTTTATGGTATAGTGTTTTCACACGATCGTATAGTGTCTGTCATTTTAATTTACAGGAATGTTGTATTTTCTATCATTTTTTGGATATCGTCTGTCGAAATGTTCCCTGATTCGTTGGGCAGATTTGATATGTGTGCATGTGTGCAATCAACTTTGAAATTTAAATGAGATATGACATCTGTTATCTGTTATTATATTATTACAGATTATAAACTTTGATTTTCTTTATTGTTTTTCGTGGTTCCAATTTTCGGAATCGGTTACTAGTTAGGTTACTAGTTTGCGCACATAGCACGCCCACTTATGGCCTGTAAAATTGTGCACAACAGCGCCTGACCGGCACAGTTATTAGAGAGATATCGGAAAACCGAATAGCGTCATGCAGTATTTACGCGTACCTTATCATGGTTACGATATGCGCGAGTTAATTTTTAGTGCAACACCCGCTAATAACGTTACCGCCTGACGTAATTTGCGGATCAATTACACCAAGCGCTATTTCTAAATAACGTTTAAAAATTGCTTAAATGGGATGTGCGGGTATTTGACAACCGGGGCCGGCCGGCGAGATCCTTTATTTTAGGTTATGTTTGAATTGTTTTGAATTATTACTTTAGTTTTATTAGGTAATTTGATATTTAAGTAGCTGGGATTAGTTTTAATTAAATAAATATGGCCCAAAATATGGATTCCACCTCTTCCAATATTAAAGAACCTATAAAGAGGCTTAGGTTTACAGCAGATGACGACTTAGCCCTTCTAAGAGAATTTGTTGCTTGTTGTCTTAAACCCACTGGCAAACGTTGGATAATAAAGCACTGGAAATAAGTACTTTAGCCCTTTAGTTTTAAAATACCTAGTAAACAAAACAATTTCAAAGTTTTAAATTCAAAGTTAGGTTAAGTTTAAATAGCGGAAGCGACGCGAACAGAATTCTTTCCGATCCGATAACTATAAATGAAGAGTGTTATACCACCTCACGTAAAGGAAATAACACCTGGCCTTATTAACGTCCATGCACGCTATTCGGTTTAGCGATACCTCTCTATTACGCTGTTTATTGTTATTTTGTGCGAGTTTATTTTTGCGCACAGGAAATTTTACTCGTCTGCACATCGCAATAAAAATACAATTTTCGTACTACGAATTAGGGACAATATTTTTATCTGTATACTTATAGGATACCTGTGATATCTGTGATATTATTTTGTTAGACAGACTGTGTTTTTTAAACGTGTATTGGTTTTCTATAGACTTCAAATAACAAACCATTAGACAATATGCAATGCAAGGACTTGTGTATTGTCAAACTGGACGTAATAGTCAAAATAATCATTGAATTCTAAATTCTCTATGGGGTTCATAGTTAAAGTAATCACCAAGTTCAAACAAAAGTATTGAAACTGATGGACCATACACATAAATTGTAAAGGCAAAGCATAACAAATAGACATTGTGTAATGTGTAATAATTGTATAATATTGCTATATTTTACTATTTGATATGGGTTTTTGACATTAATAATAATCATTTGTTACATCATAAACGAAATTAACTTACTTATGTATGTATTATATTATCTATTATTTTTTTAAAGCAAATTATTAAAAATAGTTTTCAAACAATGGTGCAACGCCCAGATTTTTGTTATTATTTTTTACATAAGCTTGAACTATAGATATTAAATATTATAGATTGTTGGTTGTAATGTAACGAAGAAGAATCCTTAAGCTTAGTTAAGTAACTTTTATTTTAACTAAAATTGAGTTAAAAATAATTTAATAATAAATATATTGGTAATACTCTTCATTATAAATAAAATGATGATACATAGTGTTAAATTTGTTGATTTGTTGTCATTTAAAGAACGTTTGCGTCAACTATCTCATATTAATGTAGTTTCTTCAAATTAATTGCAGTTAATTATTAAGTTAATAAACTATTAAAAGAACAAAAAAAAATCTGTAGATATTAGCATTCTCTTTATTAATTTTAATATCTATGGTGCGTTTAATGAATGCGGAAAGACTAATATGAAAAATAACTGTTTTGCTACAAATACCACGAATGATAATAACATGGTTCCTGAAATAAAATTTGTTTTTAATAGATCTTTGAGATTAGTAACTTCCTGTTTTACCAGATTCCTGGGAGAAAGTGATACATGATAATAATCAGTTTTATTTATACCTAAATCTTCTAAAATGCTTATAGTAAAGTTCTTATAGGTGTTTAAATACTCTTGAAAGGATTATAATTTACTTAACAAAGGTACCTACAGTACGTACCTATTGCAAGAAGGTTGATTGAAGTGAAATGTCATTGTCGAATAGATCATACTTATTACTTGCCTTGTAGTTATGTATTTATCTTGAGATTGAAATTTTAATTTAATAATAAATATTATTAACAATTAAATAAACCATTCTTACAGTGTACAGGGTGTCCCATTTTTGTGTGTTTTATGGAGTTTCTCGTTTATGAGTGGAGATACAAAAATGGGGTTTTCATGTCGTGGCACTCGCCATAGTTTCACAGAGATGTATTTAGGAAAAAATGAGTTCACAATAAAATAAAATAAAAAAAATGATCATCGAGTAAAAACTTGCTTGAAAACAGAATATTTTCACATTTCGTGTAGGTAACAATTCTTCTGTATCTGAAAATCTTCTGATGGGAAGAAATGCGGAAAAAATATATAATGACATATATTTATATTATTATCTATTTCAGAGATTTTCTACAACTTTTTTTTGATTTAAAACAAGTTTAATTTTCTGTAGATAACTGGATTCGGCATAAAATTCTGCATATAGTACACCGTCTTTATTTAAAGCACACTGCAGTGTTGCCATTCTATTTCTTATTTACTAAAACTTTGGTTTAAAACATTATATACGAAAAGTGGTAAAAAACTAGAGTGAATATAACTTTATTAATACTTAGCTATGTTTTCTTAAACACGAAGGATACCAGAATAAATTCGTGTAGAAAAATTTACTTTATCGTATACAGGATATTTTTTATGGCGTCACCAAAATCGTAATATTTAAAATATTGTATATCATTTTTTTTTTAAATGCAACACCTTGTATATTATTTTTCTGCCAGATGCAGAATTAAAAAGTGAACATTTTTTGTATTTAAAGTGTTCTTAAATTTTTAGCCGTTTTGCAAATATGTTCTGCATTTCATTACATATGGGATTTTCAACGATAAAATATCAGACAAAGATCATATTACTTTGATAAAAATTTACTGTTGAAAGAGCTATATGTAATATAATACTGCGAATATCTGCGAGACCGTTAAAAATTTAGAAACACTTTAAATAAAAAAAATGTTCACTTTTTAATTCTGCATCTGACAGAAAAATAATATACAGAATGTTGCATTTAAAAAAATTGAGATATACCATTTTAAATATTCCGATTTTGGCGACGTCATAAAAAATACCCTATATAGAATAATGTATATAGAATGATGTAAAATAATTAAAAAAAATAAAACAAACTTTACCATAACTTTTTTTGTGACACCCTGTATATAACAAAATATTTTAAGATGCGCC